GTAAATTACTTCCCCCACTACACCCAGGTTTCATTATATAGTTTTATCACGTTCAACTAAAGTAAATTACTTCCCCACTACACCCAGGTTTTATTATATAGTTTCAGATGAAGTAAAAATAAAATAAATTGCTCGTAAAATAGAAATATTATATGTTTTCGATAAAACTCCATTTATTGAAGAGCTATTGAGAGGAACAAAATTGTTTTGAATTTCTAATATATAAATATAAACTTGCTTTCATTTAGTTGTACGTGAAATCAAAACTAGAGTAGCTATGGGGTGTATAGTTGGACTAGTAGTTTTTTCATCTTTGCATGGAGGGTCACTTAAAATTACGCTTTCAGTCCCTTTGACTCTCAACCTTAAAATGTTTTAATTTGACCATACGTAACTATTTAACCATCAAATCTGTTTCGCAAAACAAGTAAATTAAACGATCTCTTTTGATGGTCCTGTTGGGAACTTAAATTTTAATCACGGCTAATTTTCGGCGATCTAAACAATTTTTAAGGCTCAGACATTTATACATTTAGCAATCTTAATTTGTTTCTACCTGAAGATTCTTTAAAACAAAATTGGGACGCAGATAATGAAGAGAAAAAAACCAATAAAAATTAATGAAATGCCTAAGTGCGACAGTCTGCTGGTCCATGGCATCTAGATCTAAGGCTTCACAGACAGGTATACCTACGGCCACCTCATCCTAGACCATAGAAACACATTACATCAACAGAGGTTGCGGGGATCAAAACTAGTGATTATAAAGGTGAAGTGAAATTATCATTTCTTTATGTCTAATAAATTTATATATTTGGCTTATCTATTTGAGTCTAACGTCAAAACGGCTGAACTAATCTGGCAATTCTAAGACCACACAGAGCTGGGAACTTTAGAATGGTGGATATCGAGATCATGGGATAGAATTTATTTTCAAGGCTGTCATTGGTCAATACAATTTACGAACTATATTCCTGCACTCTCATTGGAGAAAACAATGTACAGATATCCAAAGAGAGAGAAAAAGAGTGGATTAAGGACTAAGATTAAAAGTTTCCACAGTGGATATTCGGATTAAGTAGTTGGGCTAAAAGGTTATCCATTCTAAAGTTCCCAGCTCTGGTCTGGTCAGAATATATTTAATTGTTTTAGTAATCTTTTAAGAAAAACAAGAGAATTCGCGAAATCGTTTGGTTTTAATAAAAAAGAAAAGAAACATGGTGAACACTGAACTTGTAAAGGTTCCAACATCTCAAAACTATATTCTGTTAAATTTGGTTTTATTAAATAAAATCAGACTTCTAAGGTTGTGTTGTAATTAAAGGGGTTCTTATAATGTTAATTTATCTTGACTCTCTATCTGGATATCTGTCAGGTTTACTAATAAATAGAGTTGGTCATCGTTCAGACTTTTATAGATAAGGTAATCTATACAAAGTCAATCTTGGTTTAATCAGCTCTCTATGGTATTCGGGAAAACCACTGTTCAGCTAGGGAAAGTGTACGGGTTCTCAGTCCAGCTCTGATGGTCAGGAAACTATCTAGCTCAGCTTGCGCTTTTTATTAGATTCTGGAAAACCGTTGTTCAACTGCTCCTGTTCAGGATCTATCTGAGCAGCTTCCTCAAACTCAAATATCTTGTTCAGCTATTCTGGTTCAGGATCTATCTGAGCAGTTTCCTCAAACTCAAATATAACGTTCAGCTGCTCCGGATCAGGATCCATCTGAGCAGCTTCCTAGAACTCAAATATCTCGTTCAGCTGCTCCTGATCAGGATCTATCTAACAGCTTCCTCAACCTTACATATGTCATTCAGCTGCTCCAGATCAGGATTTATCTGAGCAGCTTCCTTGCTTCTGCTGCTTCTACAACAGGTCTGTGAAGAGCTGCTCTATAAGGGAACAGCGTCTTCTGTATCAAGATCATCTCCTGCTTCTACACAGGTTTGTGAAGAGCTGCTCTATAGGAGCAGCGTCCCTCATATCAGGCTCATCTAGTTTTGCTGCTGATTCTACATCAGGTCTGTGAAGAGCTGCTCTACAATGAGCAGCGTCTTCGAACTCAGGATCATCTGGTTCTGCTGCTGATTCTACATCAGGTCTGTGAATAGCTGCTCTACAATGAGCAGCATCTCTGAACTCAGGATCATCTGGTTCTTCTGCTGACTCTACAACAGGTCTGTGAAGAGCTGTCTAAAAGAGCAGCGTCTCCTGCATCAGGATCATCTTCTGCTCCTGGAGTCATAGGTCTGGCTTGATCTTCTAACTTCTCTAGATCACCTGCAAGATAGGGTTCTTGCAAAGGGTAATCTGGAGAAGATAGGGCAGCATCTGATATCTTGGTGATGCTGAGGATTCCGAGGATGCATATTCATGTATAATGATGGGGGAGGAGGCTGGTGGCCTCCTTCGTTCTCTGACAGGCATGTTAAAGATCTGTTAGCAATCTGATAGCTGTATCAAAGTTCATGCCCCCAGACATTGGTTGTATAAACGGAGGCTTAGTTCGACCGTCTATACTATTCAAGGTTCCTGGGTGCACTAACTCTATCTCCAGGTTCTTTCTTGTGCCATGACTCAGAGAAATGGTTGAGGAGTTTAGTATCACTAACCATACTCTAAAAACTATAGTTGTCCCACTTTTATTCTACAGTTTCAAGATGACTTCACAAATTAAAATTGTAGCCTGGAGTTGTGAAAATTAGCTTAGGAGAAAATGAAGGAAAAACTAACCTAAAACAACAGTTTTTTCTTTGATTTTTGTTTTCAAGACAATCAATATTTTCTGTAACAAGCAATAATTAAAAATTATGAAGAGGAAGACTAATTGATGAGATGTATTTTCTTCTCCGAGAAAACACCAATTGTTCGCCAAAATGTCAAGATAGTTGAGAACTTTATTAAATGTCTACTTAGAAAATTTCCTTTAAATTTGTTTTTAGTAATTTGTCGTATTTTTTAATAAAAATCGGTTGTCTTTTACAATACCTCGATAAGTTGAGGAGGTTCACATTCTATCACCATATTAGACCCACAGTTTATACAGCAAACCTATGCAGTTCATAAGCGTCAATTAACTCAAGATTCAATTACGTCACCAAAGCTACATTTTTTTCTATGATTTTACCTCTAATTTCTTTTTCCGCCGTCGCCCTGCCTCTAGTTCCTGGCTAAATATACTCTGACATTTGACACATTGTAGATGGGTCAACCTACCCATATCTCTAGCTAGTTCTTCTAGAAGACTACCTAAACATATTCTACTGTAGATAATCTACCCATATCTCTAGCTAGTTCTTCTAGTAGACTACCTAAACATATTCTACTGTGGATAACCTAGCCATATCTCTAGCTAGTTCTTCTAGTAGACTACCTAAACATATTCTACTGTAGATAATCTACCCATATCTCTAGCTAGTTCTTCTAGTAGACTACCTAAACATATTCTACTGTGGATAACCTAGCCATATCTCTAGCTAGTTCTTCTAGTAGACTACCTAAACATATTCTACTGTAGATAACATAGCCATATCTCTAGCTAGTTCTTCTAGAAGACTACCTAAACATATAATATGTAGATAATCTACCCATATCTCTAGCTAGTTCTTCTAGTAGACTACCTAAACATATTCTACTGTAGATAACCTAGCCATATCTCTAGCTAGCTCTTCTAGTAGATTTCCTAAACATATTCTACTGTAGATAACCTAGCCATATCTCTAGCTAGCTCTTCTAGTAGACTTCCTAAACATTACTAATGTAGATACTAGATATATATTACCTAGCAATATCATTGTGAATCGAAAAAGCCAAGTTTTAAATAGAAGGTCACTTAAAATTACGTCTTAAAGTCCCTTTAATTTAACCAGGCTAGATCATTACTTTAAAATCCTGCGCCACATGATAATTCAGATAAGTCTACAATCTACAGCATTTCTAGACAGTTTACACTCTATTATCATCTACATTCTACATTCTACAGTCTACATCAGTGCTTAGGATCCTACCATTTGAATGTAGATTCTTAGCATTTCTTTACAGTTTACACTCTACTATACTCTACAATCTACATTCTACAGTCTACATCAGTGCTTAGGATCCTACCATTTGAATGCAGATTCTTAGCATTTCTATACAGTTTACACTCTATTATCGTCTACAATCTACATTCTACAGTCTACATCAGTGCTTAGGATCCTACCACGTGGATGCGCGGATCCTTAGCACTTCTTTACAGTATACACTCTACTATACTCTACAATCTGCATTCTACTCTATACAGTCTACCTACAACCTAGATCTGTGTTTAGGAGTTCACCATTTGGATGCAGATCATTAGCAGTGCCTTACGGTATTCACTATTTAGTATTTACATGTTTTTAATTCTTAAGAAATATTAGATGAAAATATGTTCCCTACCTGTTGCACTAACCAGCCTGGCATACCCCTCCTCAGACAAGATATAAGTTCTCTCCCGCCGATCCCGCCGCACCGTATTAAACCTAAGATGTGCGGTTATCCGCCCACCTTCGCACTTCAGCATGTCACATCCTTCTAGACTATGAAGGAACCATTTGACCCTGGTTCCTCCCTTCTCCCCCTGCTCACGAATATACTCAGAATCAATGGTTAATACCAGCTTCTCCCCAACCCCGCTATCGTCTCCAGGAATTACTCTCTCCGCTGAAAGACGACATTCTCTGTCAGGGCCTGCCGGGCTCGACTCTTTCTCAGTTCGGCGATACATTGAGTAGAAACTATCCGTCATTTCGTCACCGCCGAGAGAAGATTTAGATGTTTTATGAAGTCTAGTCGGGGCAGCTGGAGATAGTTTCTGATGAGCTTCTACCTGTACTTGAGGCTGAGCTGGTTGGACGGTATCAGGAGGGGCAACACACTCCACAGGGGACGGACTTTCACAACTATCAGTCTAGTCAAAAAATAAATGATAAAAAACTATTAGGAAAATTTTTATTTTATTTTTATTCGAACCTTAATTTCTTTTTTTGTTTTTAACTTTTTCCCAGTTTTGATTTCTGGTTTCTGTTCAGCAGTTGCGTCCGCAGAGGGCTGTTTGAAGAGAAGATCAGGATTCTTAGTGTTTGTTTGTGGTACTGCAGGCAAACCAAGTATTTGGTTTAAAGTTGCTCCGGCCTGCTCTCTGCAAATAATAACACTTATCTTCTCGACACGAAAAATTTTCAATTTTTTTTTGTTAAACCAGAAGAGTGATATGACCCTTAAAGGGGTTTGTCGACGTAATTTTAAGTAACCTAACATTTGAAACTGACATATCCGGTTTACAATAACGTTGTTTTTCTATCTTAAAAACTTGTTGAATTCTGGCAATTTCCTTCATTGTCTTGGCAGCATAAAATACGCAAGTTTGTATAGAAACAACAATAAATACATCTTTAATCAGACAAAGATTTATTGGTTCCATCGGAATGTGACATGCCAATAGACAGAGGGTATACATAAAATCCATTTAACCCCAGAATTACCAAAAATCAAGGTTATAATTGCAAGGAAAGTTAATTGCAGTTAAATATACTCGGCGTACATGTTAAAACCAGTTCTCTCTGGGTGGAATTTGTAAACAAGATTAGATGCATCATATTTCATTAATTTTCGATGTGAAAGATGGATCCCATGTAAGACTGTGACATCCGTCTTGTGTTTACATTACCGCCCAGAGACAGTACACTGCAGTACAAAAGATGCGTACACCTCTGAAATAACTTTCCTTGCACTATAACCTTGCCAAACATAATCTTAAATCAAATTGAATCTTTTGGATCAATGATGTTGATAGAAAGTTCAATTACAGAAAAATGCTTGATCTACAAAGAATAAAATGATGCCACCCAAAATTATTTCTTATTTAATTAAATACTAACAAGGTCCTTTTATCAAAATATTATTTTAATGTCTGAACAATTAAGTTTCGGTTTTTATGCCAAATACTGAAACCTTGAAAACTTAACAAGATAACAATCAGAATCACGAAAATCTTATTCATTTAATCAAAAAACAAAAAAAACTTCAAGTGATTTAGGATAAAGCGTAGATTAAAAGAGCCGGAAACCTTAATATCCTTTTCCCCAAAATTCTGTAACCCCTCCCCTCAGAGATAGGAATTTATTTCTCAGACAGTTATATCCATGGATGTTATATCCTCTTTTCCAAGTTTTACCTCAGCCAGTTATCTTCACCGAACTTCTCTCGTAGCTGTTCTAACTGTTTCACAGGATCAGGGGAGTCCTGAATTCATTTTTTTAATTAGAGCTTGGAACTTTTGTGTGAACGCATGCTCTCGATATCCAGTATGAACACTTCATATATAAATATATATATATAGTGGGTATTAAAAACTATTGAAAAGGAAGACGAAATTTTAACAGTGTTAGTTGTATTTGACGTTGTCAACAAGCAAATAGTTTTACAAGTATCTGAAAATCTACTTGTTTCGAGAATGAGTCAATGCAGTGTGTGAACACAACAAATACTATGTTTCATGTTCATTAAAATACAAAATTTCTTATTCCTATTCCACATTCTTCTGGACCCCATTGTACGCTGTCCTTTAATTGGATTTAGTATAATAAAATGTTAACCTTTCTCTGTACATAAACTGGTTCTGCATCTGTAGTAGTCGTGTACTCGGTCTCGGAAGGATGGTCAGAAATTGGCGCCTCACGAATTCGTCGACGACGTTTTTTACGTCGCTGTTTTTCTAATAAATTAATTATGTAAAACAGATTTTTTGTTTCAGATGTAGTTAAATAGCATTAAAAATTTCCATTCATATAATTTTTTTTTGTGCAAGTTATAAGTCAATAATAAAAATCGTGATTTTTTAACCATGGAGAAAAACATATTTTAGATAAAATTTTATTTTCCAGAAATCCTAAATTTGGGAAAATTAAATGAAAAGCGGGAAGTAGTTGAATCACTTCTTATGTCTGCCAAGTTCAAGTTAAAGAAACATGGTTTATCTTAGTCTGCGTAGTTTAAATATGGCCGAGCAATCGTCTAAAAACATTTAAAACAAAATAAAGACTGGAGCAGATACTGGTGCTGTAAGCGTAATTTTAACATATTTACACGTATGCTCTCCTTGTATACAATTAGTTTTGCTATAATTTTGACACAGTTTTATCAATTTCTCGAGACAGAAACATCAGATAGAACTCTTATAGATCTCAATCAACTCCTTAAATGCTTCAGCCTATTCCTCTTTCATTTTTCCTTTACAGTCTCTTTTAGTTGGAAAAACGACGTTATTATTCACATTTTTGATTAGATCAAGGTTTCAAAGATACCGTTGTAAATCTTTAAAAGGAGGATCACTCGAAATTACGCTTGCAGTCCCTTTCAGCTTACCTCCTACGGCTGTTGTAACTGTGACCCCTGAAACAATGCTGCCCTCCCTTGAACCTCTAGCAGAAGCTGATTCAAGGTCAAACCCTTCACTCAGGTCAACTGGAGGTCCAGGACTTACTATTAGTCTTGAGGATCCGACCTGCAAAATAAATTAAGTTTTTATTCATTTTGTGCGAAATGCGAATACCACAGATCACCTTCCAATCTCCTTCCTTCCAATCAACTTCTTACCTATCCAAAAACATAACTTGATTTGTTTAACTAATTATATTCAGTATAGTTGACTAACTTCGGGCCAACCACTCAAAACAACCTACCCTGGTTAGGCGGGTCCAAACTGCAAAGTAAATTGTGTTTGATTATTTGTAATATCTTTATGCTTTGTAGTTGAATAAAAATATGAATGAATATGAATGAATGAATGGTTATGGCATATTTTGTTGTTGTTTAAATATTTATTATTCAAAAACTTGAAATTTAACGTCTAAGACAGATTTCTTGAATGAATCAAAGATATTATTTAACATCAATTATTAAACCATGATAGTAAACAAAAATTTAATTTATGAAATCAGCATTGGTAAACAAAGATAATTTTTTTTTAGAATTTTAATCTTATTTCCTTTCTAAACCTCTGTGTGCATCAAAGATTATCTCTTATCAAAGTATAGTTTTGAAAGTTCTACGATTAAATATATCTAGGAGGTTTGGTGAATTTCAAAATAAAATAAGAATATCTTTTTGCTTCTAAGTTATGAAGGACGAAGGTTATACTTTGTCTTTAATCTAAGTTTAAGAGGTTGGGCGTTTTTTAATAAAATAAGCACAGGGGTATATATATTTTAGAAATTATATTTGATGTGGGGGGGGGGATGAAAAATTGGATATCAATAGGCAACTTTTTTCATTCTTTTGACACCTTTTACCCCAAAAAAATCATTGTTTTACCCCTAAAATAATTTATTTACCACAATTCAGCGAAAAAATCCAATTTTTTTGCGCTCTTCGCAAGCATATTTAACTTCTGGAAAAGACACTTTCAAATAGGGTGGGGGGGGATGATCTTATAAAAAAGATACACCCCTGAAAGAAAACATTTCTAGACAAATCTAGTGATATGAAAGTTTACATAAACTTTGGAATAAATAGTAGAATACACTGGCCAAAAAAATATAGAAATATCAAAGTTAAAGCTTTGAAAGCTCTATGTTAAAATATATCTCGAGGTTTGGTGAATTTTAAAATAAAATAAGAATATATTTTTACTTCAAAGCAAATCTAGTTATATTAAAGTTGAGCCATGAAAGTTCTATGTTGAAATATATCTCGAGGTTTGGTGAATTTCAAAATAAAGTAAGTATATATTACAAGGAAAATCTTGTGATAAAAGAAATTAAAGGGACTGTAAGCGTTTTTTCAGGTAAAAATCCTTTCAAAAGTTGTCCGATTCACAACGGTACCCTTAAAAGCTTTGTCAGATCAAGTATGAATTAAACCCATGTTTTTTATTGGGGGTTCTCTACAAAAGTGAATTGCACATTTCTACTGCAGTAAAACATATAAGCTAGAAAAACAACATTATCTTCCACATTATTGATCAGATCACGGTTTCAAGCGCATCGTTGTAAATCGGGCAATGCCATCTTTGCATGGAGGGTCCTTTGAAATTATGCTTACTGTCACTTTAAGAAATAAAAATTCTCTGTTACTACCTGACTCATTTCTCGTTTTGATAAAGGTAAGGTGTCAAGAATAAACTGAATATTTAGAGTGTCTACATTGAACCAGGAACAGGTTAAATTCCTAAAATATATTTTTCAATTAATAGTTTTATAGTGTCGTTTCCTGTCCTGGTAGGCTCCCTATCCCCTGTCCTATTCTCTATCCCTGTCCTATTCTCTATCCCTGTCCTATTCCCAATCCCTGTCCTATTCCCAATCCCTGTCCTATTCCCAATCCCTGTCCTATTCCCAATCCCTGTCCTATTCCCAATCCCTGTCCTATTCCCTAACCCTGTCCTATTCACTATCCCTATCAGTGTTCTGTCATTAACCTGTTCTATCCCTATCCCTGTCCCTGACCCGTTCTAAACCTATCACAGTCCTTGTACCTAACCCAGTCCCATACCTTTCCTATACCTTTTTATCCCTGTCTCATACCTATCCTAAACCGGTCTTATCCCTGTAATATCCTTGACATATCCATGTCATATCCATGTCATAAACCTGTCCTATCCCTGTCCTGTCACTGTCCTAAAATTGTCCTATACCTGTCCTAAATCTGTCCTATACCTGTGTAAAGGATGAGTAGAGAGAGGGTTGAATCTTGTATCAAGCTGACGAAGACGAGACAAGGCAGAAACTAGAAAAAAACATTTATTACAGAGGTAAATAACATATCTATTATCTATGTCTTATAGGGGTACATAATGTTACAGGGGTACATAATGTATCTATGTATGAGGTAATGCGTGGCTAATGAGGGAGGGAGTAGTACAGGGGTGATGTGGGTGGAGTAGTGCAGGATGTAACCAACAAAACTTATTAAATTCAAGCACATGTAACCAACAAAACTTATTAAATTTCAGCACATGTAACCAACAAAACTTATTAAATTTCAGTACATGGAACAAACAAAATAAGGAAATTTCAGGTACATGTAACCAACAAAACTAAGGAAATTTCAGGTACATGTAACCAACAAAACTAAGGAAATTTCAGGTACATGTAACCACCGATGAGGTTGAAAAATAAAATCCCTGATAGATCAAGGCACTCAAGGGTTAGAATATTCTCTAAACCAGATATCGTCTCTAATCTGAAAAAAAGAAAATATAAGGAATTTATATTTAAGAAAATTGATACATAATATCCTGTGACCCTTTATTTCTATTGTAAATTAGAGTGTCCAATTCTCAACGGTACCTTAAACCCCTTTTCATAAAAAGTCTAGCGGATATATCCCTAATCCCTATATTTCAAGCTGAAATTGAAGTTCTTTGCCGCTCTTTAATTGGAAGGTTACTTAAAATAACGTTTACAGTCCCTTTTAGGAAAAAAAGATGATTGAAATGGAGCAAAAAAGTAAACAAGTAAAATAAAAAAAATTAACCGGATCCGGATCATAGTATTCAAATGGTAAAATCTGATTCTTTTTGAGACGAAATATGTAAAATTAATTGCTTTCCTAAAGCCGTATTGCTTTCTAACCAAACTAGGCAAGCAAATTCCAAAACAAATAAATAAAAACAAAAATATAACAAACAAATAAAAACAAAAAAATAAACATTAAAATAAAAAATTCATCTTTCTTTATTATTTTTTATTTGAATAAAAAATATTCATTACTGGCTTTGGATCAAAAAGAATTTTATTTGTAGCCATAGTTAAATACTAGGTTTTCTGTAAAAAGGAAAATTTTTGACAAAATTCTTCAATTTTAATTATCTGGCGAAGAATCTTAAAATGTTTAAAATCTAAAAAGTACACAATTAGATTAATTATAACAAAGAGGGTCATCAAATAGGGCTGGTCAAAATTAAAAATCAGCAAATTTAAGCAGAAACAATTGGTCGATGAAAAAATAAAAATAAAATTGTTTCTAGCAGAGGCACGAATCGCCCTTAAGGTCTAGAAACATAAAGAATAATATTAGTTTACAAACATTGTCGTGTACTTAGTTGTTGACTATTTAACTGAAAGAGTGCAAAAAGACAAAAAAAACTTCAAGTGATTTAGGATAAAGCGTTTTGAGATTAGATGGAAATGAATGGAAAAAAGTACCTGTTATAACCTAAAGTACCTGTTATAACCTAAAGTACCTGTTATAACCTAAAGAGAGAGTTGTCAAATTTGATTCAGAACTAAGCATGGGTATCTAAAATAAAAAAGTGGGCATTAAAAACAGTGACAAATTTTATTCATAAATAAAAAAATCAAGTGTTAATCCTTAAATTGTGATTTTTTAGCACTTCCATAATTTCGTGTTTGCAGTCGTAACAAAATAATAAATACATGTATTTCAATAAATCAAAAAGTTTTGATGGAATTTTTTTTATTTTTCATCAAAAATATTTCCACATTTTCCTTATTATCCATTATCCCAGTTTTCCTGATGAATAAAATGTTTATTTTTATTAATTTCATCATGAAAACAGTTTTTCCCCTTTTCCTTTTTATACGACTAGTTGAACTGCCCGGCGTGGCCTGTAGAATCTTATAACAGAAAACGACCTCCTGTGTAGGGCTGGGCACGTTCCGACTTTTTTTCAACCGTTAACGGTTAATTAAAACAGTCAAATTCTTTTTTTGAGGTAGCCGTTTGTTTTAGATTATCAGGGGTACGTTCGTGTCGTTAACGATATTTTCCTTTTTTTTAAAGCTACCGTTAACAATCTCAATGTCATTAACGGCAGATATTATAGAAATCGTCAATGGTGCCATCGTTAACAAACCGTTAACGGATATTTTATGTAAAAATAGCTGAACAAATTCCAATACAACATTTAAAAACATCAGAACACGTAAAAAAACATCAAACGCATAAAACTCTAAAATTCAACCAAAAAAGCGAGGGGAAAACAGATGACGGCGTTTAAAAACATTAAAATACATAAAAAATGATCTTTCATTTTCTGCAAGTTTCATTCAAAAAATACAATATGAACCTGAGATTGTAATTTTTTAACCTTAAAATAATGATGGCATTTAATGAAAATTGTTTAATGGTACACTATACGCCTAATTGGTATTAATCCTGTATTAGAAATAAAAAATGAAGTAAAGAGTCAGTAAAGGCAGTAAACACACATTTGAGAAAACTTCTGTATTGTGGCTTGGCTTGAGGTAAAAAATCTAAAAATGATTGGTCCTACCTTTGTTAAAGAGTTAAATGATAGATAGAGAGAGTGAAGCCTCTCCAAACAAATTAGGCCTAAAAAGTAAACTTATAATCTTCATGATTAAATATCAGCGGAAACAGTTCCATTTCTAGAACCAGAGCAGGAGGAGTAGTTCAACTTGGTATATACCTAGTTATACTACTAAATATCAGCGGAAACAGTTCCATTTCTAGAACCAAAGCAGGAGGAGTAATTCAACTTGGTATATACCTAGTTATTCTACTAAATATCAGCGGAAACAGTTCAATTTCTAGAACCCGAGCAGGAGGGTTCAACTTGGTATATACCTAGTTATACTACTTCTTATTATTCTAGAACTCCGATGAAAGATCAACCGTAAAAAAGTTTTGCCCATTAAGATTTTTGTTGTTTTATCCCTAACTTTTTGAAATAATGCCTTTAAAGGGCTTAAAACCTTAGAACTGTGAATATCGAAATCAATGCTTGATCTCCTCTTTTTATTGATCTCAAGTTTGTATCCTTGAAAGTGTATAAAATTCAACCAATCAGAATGTCGAATCCGAACAGCAAATCAGAAGTCGAGAAATTAGAAATTTTGCGCGCCCAATCAAAGAGAAAAACTCTTATTGGTCGCAATCCAGCGGGGATATCCAAAAGAAAGGATTAAAAGTTAATCAAAATTGTACAAAGCGGATACTGAAATTTAGCAATCGGGATTAAGGGTATCCAATTCCAAAGTTTTTAACTCTGAACAAGTTATAAATAAGCTATCGATGTGCTTGTTTCTTTGAACTGTTTATTTTCATTTGCGGTTTGTCTGCGAAAGTGACTTGCGCATTTCTTGTTCCTAAGAAGCAGTGGAGCAATGGAGCCAGAAAACATTTTTTTTTGATCATATTAAGGTATCACTGTGAATCTAGCATTTCCGTCTTTGCAAGGAGCGTCATCTAAAGTTGTGTCTACAGTCCCTTTAAACCTTAATTTAGCGGAAAAGTTCAATATTTCTTGTCTTATTACCTGGTGCATTGTAAATATGGTTATGTGTAGCATCTAGTGTGTGGAGGTGTGGTGTGAGAGAAAGGGCTGATGAGAGTTGTGTGAGGTTGTTGTGTGATAGGACTAGGGTTGTCAGATGGACCCAGGGAGCTCCTCCTCCCAGTCCTCGGACACCAGCCAGCACATCCTCAACATCCTCCACATCTACCTCACTCCAGCATATCTATCCAATCAATCAATCAATTAATCAATTAATCAATCAATAAATCCATTTTTAATCAAGCAATTAAGTAGCCAATTAATCAATAATTTAATAAGTCAATTAATTATGGAATCAATTACTAATTAATCTAAAAATTTAACAGTAAATTACTTAATTAATCAATCTACAACAAATCAATCAATCTATACAATCATTGAATTGAAAAAAAGTAAAATGTAGATTTGTCAAGTAACATGTAGATTTGTCAAGTTAATGTAGATTTGTCAAGTAAAATGTATATTTGTGAAGTTAAATGTAGATTTGTTAAGTAAAATGTAGAATTGTCAAGTAAACTGTATATTTTTCAAGTTAAATGTAGATTTGTTAAGTAAAATGTAGATTTGTCAAGTAAACTGTAGATTTGTCAAGTAAACTGTAGATTTGTCAAGTAAAATGTAGATATGTCAAGTAAACTGTAGATATGTCAAGATAAATGTAGATTTGTCAAGTAAACTGTAGAATCGTCAGTAAAATGTAGGGTTGTCAAGTAAAATTTGTCAAATCAAATCTAGATTTACCAAGCAAAATGTAGAATTGTCAAGTTAAATGTAGATTTGTCAAATCAAATGTAGATTTGTCAAATAAAATGTCAATTTGTCAAATAAAATGTCGATTTGCAAATAAAATGTATATTTGTCAAATAAAATGTAGATTTGTCAAATAAAATGTAGATTTGTCAAATAAAATGTAGACTTGTCAAATAAAATGCAAATTTGTCAAATAAAATGTATAATTGCAAATAAATATAAATTTATCAATTAAAATGAATATTTGTCAGGTACAATGTAGCAAAATGTCACCTTTAGGCTTGTAAGATGACCGGCTAGAGATTGTAGATTAGAGAATTCCGAGATAGAAACCTGTTTCAGTTCCAGCTCAGTTAACAACTTGAAGACTAGGATAGAAACTTTAAAGGGACTGTCACAGAAATATAAATAATCATCTTTACTAAATATGCCTCTTAAGAGCATGGATAATGATTATTGATCGTTTTATTGTAATCTCGGCCTATGGCTTATACGGAAAAGGAACCGCGGAGATATGCTCCAAATCGCGGATTTCAAAACAGATTTACTCCAAATAGGAGATTTACAATATCCAGATAAAATAACAACGTAGATTCTGGTATTGGTAATCTGAAATCTCAGTTCTAAGAAGGATTAAAGTAAACTGTTGCAGGGTTTGTTGTAAATCAAAAAAGGTCAACTTTAATTGAGGGATAGTTTTTAATTGGGATTACATTCCATTTCACTTTAAGAGACCACGTAGATAGGTAAAACCAATATTATAATTTTTGCAAGAATAAAAACAAGATAACTCAATCAATTTTTGTATTTAACTGGAGGATTACTCGAAATTGAGCTCTTTAAGGCACACCATTTTAAAAAAGAGAAATTATAAAAAACCCATATTTTTACCTTCTAAATTAATCCAACCCTTCTCAGGGTCTGATCTTCCTGTGAGAGAGAGGATTTGAACCCGTCCCAGAATATTTTCCAGGGTTTCAAGATCCAAACAGAACAAAGAGTGCAGATCCTAACATATTTATCAATAATAAAGAGGGATTAATAAAACTGTGGAATAGAAAGGCGACTTTTAATGACTTAAAAATAAAATATTTCAAATCAGCATGACTCACAGCTACTCCTCCAAACCTTCCTGAACTGGAATTTACTTTTCAAATAAAACATCTAAATATCTAAGAAGGAAAACACTTCCTGAATATTAATAAAATGTGTATAGAAAACTTTAACGTGAATTATTGTAATTTCAGTTTTCTCAATTACCATTAACATTTTACGATAGTATCAGATTAACAGTGGATTTTTAGTGAAGGGAAGGGGGTATGTTGCACCCTGTGCCCCCCACCATAGTTCCGACATTGCTACAGCTGTCTGAAAATTAATTTTGTCAATTTTCCTGTTTGTCTTTACTGAAGAAATCCAGGATTGTAAACCTATAAAAGTCACAGTTACAATAATGTTCAGCATGTAGAACTGGCTTCAGATAAAATTAAAAGAGAAGGGCCGAACAAAAGGATAATGATATTTATAACAAAAGGGATTGGCTTAGTAGTGAACCGATACCTGGGAGTGTGAGTGAAGAGCATGAAGACAGGACTGAACATGTTGATATCCAAGCAAACTCAAACTCAAGGTTCTATCTCCTCGGACCAGCTCAGGGCCTAGTCTGAACAGAAATATAAGTTAGTTATATCACTGCCCAGTTTGAATATAGAGTTGGATATCTCAGGGCCCAGTTTGAATATAGAGTTGGATATCTCAGGGCCCAGTTTGAATATAGCATTGGATATCTCAGGAACCAGTTTGAGTATTTAGTTGGATATCTCAGGGACCAGTTTGAATATAGAGTTGGATATCTCAGGAACCAGTTTGAATATAGAGTTGGATATCTCAGGGCCCAATTTGAATATAGCGTTGGATATCTCAGGAACCAGTTTGAATATAAGTTATATATTAAAACATATTAAAGGGACTAAAAAGATATTATTAAAAATATATATAGTTAGTTTTCCAACTTAAAAATTGTTATTTCTGTAAATTAGTTCTTTGTCTCTATTGCTTAGAATTCGTAAGTCATTTCAATAAAGAAACCACATTGAACAATTATTTATTTTTAGACTTTTTATCATTTAATAAAGCTATGGCAAGTGTTTCAAGGATACCGTTGTGTATCGGGCATTAAAATTACGAATACAGAAAAATGAATTCGGAAAAAAGTTTCAATTTTATAATCTTTTTTATCAAAGTTCTTCAGTCCTACCTGCGTAACAAGTCTATAAGCTTGAGACAAAATTGTTTGGATTTCGTGGAAACTTTAACGTCGGACATTTTTATACTTGCTTATTTTTCCATCTGAAATCAATATTTTTACTCTTAACGTGAACTTAATTTTAACATCATTGTTTTAAACAATATTGAACAAAATTGCAAATTATTTTAAACTCACATAATTTCGTATTAATAAAATACAATTTATTATTAATTTAACCTTAACTAAAAACAGAATTTACAGCCATTTTTATGATGCAGATTTCTAAAATTGCGGAGAAACAAAAGGTATCGTTTATCTTAGAATCTCTTTGCATAAATCTTTCAATTGGTTTTGGACTGTTAAAAGCTCCGAAAAACTAACCTTACGTTAAAGTGGATTTTATAAATTTGTGTTAACGCATAACTAAAAATAAATAATTACCTTCCAAAACAAAAACTAAAATACTTAATTATTTGACAATTTTTCATCGATGCTATACAGTATACACATTGCACAAGATATGAAAGAGGACTAACTTCAAAGAGAATGGCCAAGAATGTTAAATAAGATAAGAGGAATTTCCAAACGGAGAACCAGAGCGGATACAGGGAATGTGGCGGCAGCTCAGTCGCTCACCCCTAGAAAATTGCTAACCCCTGAAGCTTACTCCTTTAAGGATGAGCAACAGGATATAGCGAGAAATTTCTTAAATTCCAAAATCCAAACAGTGAAATAAATTAAATGTAGTTCAAAATAAAAGACTCACTATTATTAAGTAGTTATGTTTAATTTTAAATTCGCAATCAATTCAGTATTGTGAGAATGGCTTTAATGAGATCATGTGAATGTGATTGTAAATAAATCGACTACAACTAAAAATGAGAAAAAAAGTGACACAGAAAACTGTTAAATATTAATTCAAATGTTTCACTCGCCAATTTTTAATTGCACCATTAACACACGTTAAAAGTTTTGCTCATAAAAATTTAAGTCCATTTATCCGCCCCTGACTCTTCCCATCTCCGGACCCAAACTCTTTGCAAAAACAAATGAAAAAAATTGATGAATAGATCTAAAGAAAACAAAAGAATACCCGAATTATGACGGGAATGCTGAAGCGGCAGTATGATTTTATTAACACGACTGAGAATACGGAACTGCGTTCTTAATCTTAATATTTATAAATGTGCGTGTTCTAGTCATGAGGTGTAAGACGAGGGGTAGGAAGGGGGGGAGGGGCTAGCAGCCTAGCAGCGTGTTTAGCTGAAAATATAAAAATTAACAGGGGGAAGGGGAAGTCAAATGATCATGAAATTGCAAATTTTTCTTTTGAAGACTTTGACGCACATTCTTTTAAATACAATATTTACCGGTTGATTTACGATTTAACTAAAAAATGCTGCTATAGTTTTTTACAGCAATATTCTAAAATACTTTCTCAAATGAATTAACCGTGAAACAAGAACTGTCAAATAACAATTCCTTCTTCATTTTAAAGCTTTTTTTATTTTATTTTAAGTGTATGCGACATGCGAACTGTAACTGTTTAAATGATAATTCTCAAAAAATGTTAATGTTAATTCTTTTAAAGAAGTAAAACTTGAGTCAGCTATAAACGCTGCACCAAGCCAGGCAGCAGCTGATCAGGATTGCTTTGCACGCTTTGCGCTGGGTTCCTTCGTAGAGGATGTGTCCTTCCTGGCCATAGCCTCCATAACCTCCGCCATGAGTTGAGGGTGGCGGATTAGTTCTTCCTTCCAGTCTTTGGTCCTAATAAATTAATCATCATCTTATGAAAGTGTGGAGTAAACTTAATTTAAACTTGTCAGCCTTAAAAAAAAACAAGAATAGCATGTTCCATTCACAGCGGTATCTTTTAGACCCCAGAAAAGGATAATATCGTCGTTTATCTATCTTAAATTTTGTAATATATTGTCCACAAAATAAATCCGCCAGTCGGTTAAGAAATCAAAATTGAAAATAATAAATTAGAAAAATATGGATATCTCATTCATCCTTGGTCAGACGAAGGTTTAAAGAAGGATCAATAGACTGGAGATCACGTGATATTAATTTTCAGTCCTTTTAAAGTGACTGCTAAGGTAAACTGAAAGGGGGCCTCTATGAAATTAAATCAAATCATTTTCCAATCTAAAAGTCCTTCAATTAAGAATTACACAATTAGTCCAGCAGTAAAACAAGCAATGCAACAGTCCGCTAGGGAATCAAAAAAATAAGGTTTCCTGAACACTTTGAATATAGGCCGTCGTCTTTCTTTTTATTATGAAATATTAATTATAATTTGGTGATTTGCAATTTATTTATTTCTTGAAATGTCCAATAAACAATAAATTTCATTACACATTTCAGACATTTTTTTATTCTTTTTGAAAAGAAACGAAGACGACAATTATTCTATAGTTTCTATACAAACCATAATAGAAGTTAAAGATGCCATTTTGTTTAAATACCTGATAACAGTGCTCATATTCTTTACTACAAATGATAGAGCACTTTTCTTTAGAAGATTTGCCTAAAACAATAAAAATATTGTTTTCTGTAGATTTCACGGATTTTTTATTGAAAAAACGTCATTTGAAGAATTTGGAGAAATTTACGAACAGGAAGGAATTAAAAATTCAATATTATGATGATAAAGAAATAATTGATTCTAACATTGATTTTTTCACATTCTATTGAGAAATATGTTCCTATACAACTGATTAGTTTACTGTAGAAATTTTGTAACATTTTTTATTATCGTTCTTGAATAATTAAAAAAAAATTCTTAAAATCATCTCTCCAGAATAGATAATCCAGAAGTATTTTAAAAATTGAATTTGCGCTCTTGCTGAAAATTTTACATCGTAAAAATGTCGCATAGGACTCAAATGAATCCTGAAAAATTCCGCTGAAATACTGCATGCTTTCAGTTCAACGATAAGTTTTTTCTTTGTTCTCAAAAAATACAATGTGTTCCCTACCCACTTTAAAACTGTTTTCTGTATCAAAACTGCACCAAAGTCATCTTTCGTTAACGGTCCATTTTGTTCGTTATTTTCGTTCAAGTGCCACCGTATTATCTATATTTGTCCTCCTATACCTGATACATATCTCCTAGGAGAAGGTGTGCCACTGTATTATCTATATTTGTCCTCCTATACCTGATACATATCTCCTAGGACAAGGTGTGCCACTGTATTATCCATATTTGTCCTCCTATACCTGATACATATCTCCTAGGACAAGGTGTGCCACTGTATTATCTATATTAGTCCTCCTAAACCTGATACATATCTCCTAGAACAAGGTGTGCCACTGTATTATCTATATTTGTCCTCCTATACCTGAAACATATCTCCTAGAACAAGGTGTGCCACTGTATTATCTATATTAGTCCTCCTATACCTGATACATATCTCCTAGGACAAGGTGTGCCACTGTATTATCTATATTTGTCCTCCTATACCTGATACATATCTCCTAGGACAAGGTGTGCCACTGTATTATCTATACTTGTTGTGTTTATCAGTTTCTCTTCACACATACTCTTCAGATGATCAAGTTGATACATATCAGCAGCTGCCAGCAGTTTGTCTGCACCCTAGAAAACAAAACTGGTTTATGCGTAGCATAATCAATGCCTGTACACCACTGTACAGTGTACAAGATCTGACTAGCCAGTAAATTCTGCTTGTCCCGCAAATGATTCTAAAAGGAACTGTTGCCGTAATTTTCATGTGACGCTCCATTTTTAGTGGGAAAAGTCTGGTTCTCAACAGTACCCTTTAAACCTTGGTCTGATAAAAATTATATTTACTTAATCAATAATCAAAGGTCCAGAAAAAATAAATATATTTTTGGGAAAAAAGTTTCAAAAAGGACAAATAACCTTCCAATTTTATATGCCCCCCCCCCCATCATTGAAAATCGTTTCCCCATCCCCCGGGTCAAGGGGGTGGGGGGGGGGTGTAATTCTTAATATTTTTCATCCCTACATGTTCACTTAGGAACTTGACACCCCTGGCCTCTACCTTAGCTAGGTTTGGTGTGTTTCCTGTATAGATGAAGAACAGAAGATCTTCTACAACATCCGAGGAGAGATTCTGAAACATTAGGATTTATTTATTTTATTTATATTGATTGATTGACGTTTATTTCTATGTGCATCCAAAGGCGAGCACCTTAAATGTTTTATTTTATATCTCAAATTTAGATCTATTAAGGACTGATTTCCACCCCTTTCTTCATAAATTCCAACCCGTGGATTCCCGAATTTTCGAGGAGTTTCACATTTATTTTATTCAATTGCCACCCCATTTCTACCTTGATTGCCACCCCCTTTCTACCTTTATTTCCATCCACTTCTTCCTTGATTTCCACCCCTTTCTACCACCTCAATCTACCTTGCTTTCCACCCCTTTATTCCTTGATTAAAACCGTGCTACCTTGATTTCCAACCATTTCTTTCTTGATTTCCATCCCTTTCTACCTTGATTTCCATCCCCTTCTTCCTTGATTTCCACCCCTTTCTACCACCCTAATCTACCTTGCTTTCCACCCCTTTATTCCTTGATTAAACCCCGTTCTACCTTGATTTCCAACCATTTCTTTCTTGGTTTCCACCTATTTCTACCTTAATTCCCATCCCTTTCTTCTAACTTGATTTCCACCCTGTTCTACCTTGGTTTCTACCTCTTTCTACCTTAATTTCCACCTTTTTCTACCTGGATTTCCTCCTTTTTCTACCTTAATTTCCTCCTGTTTGTTTACCTTGATTTCCACCTTCCCTGAGGTTGCTTCCTCCATGTCGTTTTGGAACATGGCTCTAAACACAGGGGACCTCCAGCTTAGCATGAACTTATGGCAGTCGAAGGTCTTGCTCTCGCATACAATCTGAATTGGTAATTACTTAAATAAACACTGTTAATAAAAGTAAATAGCTATTAGGACTCAGTCCCACAGGTGAATAGGACCCGCTCGAGCAGTGCATCCCGATCAACACTGCTATGATCGGCAGCTCCCGGATTAACATGGCTCACAGCTGGCTCATCAAAATTCAAAATTGCAAACTCTTTGGTCAATTTAACTCTTTTCCCGACCCCTTAAAACGTTACAAATTTATAAAAAAGGGAAATTCTGGGCTGGGAGAATGGAAGCGGTCAAAATTTGATAAGATAAATTGGAAAATTGTCTCTGGGAGGTTTATCGGACTCTAAGGGAGACTGCAAGCGTAACCTCAAAATAACTCTCCATGCAAAGATGGCAATGTACGATTTACAACGGTACCCTTGAATGCTTTGTCTGATAAAGTATGAATTAGATATGCATGTTTTTGTTTATTTAAACTGTTTATTTTCATTTGTGATTTCTCTACAAAAGTAATTTGCACATTTCTTTCAATGAAGAAACAATGAAGAAATTCACAAAAATACGATGCTATTTTCCACAATTTGATCAGAATAATGTTTTAAAGGGGATATAACTTCATAATTCGCACATTGCTATCTTTTCATTGAGGGTTACTTGAAATTACACTTACAGTTCTATTATGTTCGTCTGATTGAAAAAAAGAAAAAGATAAAAATGTTATTTTTACCTTACAGTCTGAGAAACTTGAATCCCGGAAACCACATTCCAAATCCTGAAAATTCAAGACAATTTTCTAAAACAAATTTTAAGTTTGATTTATTTGGGTTCTCTTTAATATTTTTATCAAATTGTATGCAGGATACAATTTTAAGAGCAGTTCATTGAGGGAAAAAATAATTATTCTATCATGCATATTAATTATTTAGAAATCAAACTCATTTTTTTGCAAACACAAATCTTGTCTTACCTGTGATAATTGCTTATGGCATCGTTGTTTATTTTTCGAAACCCCTTTCGAGGTTTCTTCAGGGAACTTAGAACCAGATAAAACTTTCTCATGACCTAAACATTCAGATTGATGAGTTGGTTTCGTGTATTTTTCAAAAAAAAATTTGGTAATTTTTATTTTCATATTTTTTCAAATTGCAATTTTTAAGATTAATTCATCAGGAGCCAGATTAAATGAGTTGAGAGGAGTCGTTGAACTTCTTAGAGACGCGAATAATATCCTTTGACTTTGAATCGATGATTCAAAATTTGAGCCAATAAGCTCATAAGATATAATTGAACCGGCTGCAGGTAGTTCAGCGACCTCCCTCCAATTAATTAAATTTGATTCATCAAATCTGTCCACTTCAGAATTATCCAGGGGCGAACTCCTCTAGAGAGAGAAACAGGAAAGTAAATTTTAGATAAAATGATTTATTAGGATTATATTTATGTATCATGCGTGTCTTAAAGACCAATGTTTCCACGTTAAGGCCTCGAGGTTGTTTGTTTACATTCCTAACACAGCGTGTACACTTTTTGCGTATATTTGCTTTTGGGGTTCATAGTGTATTTTCCCAGACTTAATTTATCTCACCGACAATACTGACGTCACAGATGATAGTAAGAGAATCATCAGGTACGAGGAGTGCAGCTTTAGTCTTCAGATAATCAGCATTTAAGAACTTTCGGAATCCCCAGGAGTCAGGTTTAGACTACGATTAGAAAGATAAAAAGATACAGTCATCGCATAAAGAAAAGTTTTTATTTTAACCTTTTAATAAGAATATGGTCGCTAGGGATATTGTAATTTGTAATTTCTAGAACTCTAAAAATATGTCCTGAAAGTTTAAAGAGCAAATAAGATAAAATAGGATAAGATAAGATCATGAACTACGCGAAACGGAAAAAAATCTGAGATTTTATGGCTTGTTGTATGCTAATTATAAGGAAAAAAATTGTTTAGGGGGAATGAACTGGTGAATAATAATAAAACTTCCAGATTCTTACAAATATATTTTAGCAGTTTGTGAAAAGTTACTTGATTCTGACCTTGAACTCTGTAAACTGTGATTTAACTTTGTTTTGTCTGTTCTTGCTACTATCCAGCACCGTGAATTCGTATCTGGCCTAAAATATGTACAGGCAAATTAATCAATTGAACACCTTGCCCGAAACATATGGAGAGACTCTCAATGTTTTTGTTTTGTTGAAGTACCCTTGAAATAGGGACTACTGTCAACGTATTACGAGAATACGAAAGAAATATTTATCAAAAAGCAAAATGATATTTTGAAAGCAAATTTTTCTCTTAAGGACATTTAAGTGTTGTTAATTTATTTCCCAAGTTCTTGATGATTTTCTAGGGCGCACCGCGTGAAATTTCAATTCTTTTTTAATCAAGAATTTTTACATTTGCCACTGATTTTGCTTCGTAATTTTCCTTTTCCAAATCTCTAAGAAGCCAAGGGAAGACTGCCCCCTCCCCCCTAGTTGTGCCACTTATGGTCATTCCTTTTCCCAAGTTTCTTCAATTAAAAAAGAAGAATTAATTTTAATAAATAGAAAAACGATGATGATTATTTTTCTGGGCGCGCTGAGAAGAATATTCTATTTGAAATCATTGAAAAAAAAAATCATTTTCTCAGTAAATTTCTGATTTTTCAAACTCTAGGAAACTAGAGGGGGGGGGGTGCCCACTCCCCCCTAGTTGTGCCTCCGTAAAAAAAACTAATAATCAATAACGCTCCTACCTTGACAGGTGTTTCTGTTTGATTTGATAAATAAACTGATAAATATCCAACAGCTTCAGATGTATCTCCCTGTTCATTAAATCGATAAAAAATAGAAAAAAATTCCTTATTTTCCCCATATTTGACACTTTTCCAACAAACGATCAAAGAACTTAACTTCTAGTTCAGCCTCTTTTTTAAGCTGAGCTGGCAGTGCAGAAAAAGTACTTACTTACTTAACACTATGAATCTTTGGTTAAACTACTTCTCCCTTATTCATAAATTCCCATCTCTGATTTGTTTATTTTGGTGCAAACACTACATAAAAATTGAATAAAAAACTCTTCTTTTTTAGATCTTTCCTTAGGGTAGAGTTTGAGTTTCCACTGTGTAGCTTGATCATCATTATCTCTAGAAAAATAATATTAATATAATATAATAATACAAATTTATTATACTTAAATTTTCTTTACCGATGAATTTTTTTCTTTAGGATCAATTAATTTTAACCGTGTGAAAAAGTTCCCTGGAAAACTGTCTGGCTGAGAGAGAAACTTGTTTCAAATTCTTCAAATAGAAATAAAAGTAAAGTGCGAACACTCCCTTATTGTCAATATTTTGCTCTTACTCAGGATTCTTACACTTTAAGTAAAAATTATATCTTATTTTTTATCTTTGATTATAAGTTTATTTTTCTAAAAGAAAGAACATTTTTCTGATTTTTTATGGTGCCTTTTGTTCGATTTATTCACAAACTCTCACATTTTTTAGTTTACTATTCTTAAACCATCCTTTCAAGCTTTCATCTATAAATTTTTACACTTTTATTCTTTTTAAATTTTTTAAATTTTTTCAATCCTTACTTTGCTGACCTGAATTCTTTTTGAATAAAATACGAGCCTGAACTGGATAATTAATTCTTACATTATTATTACAAACCAATAAGGAAGTTGTCACTTTTATGAAAACTTATTATTTTGACACAAACCTGATCGTAAATTTAGACGACCAAAGAAAACTTCCATTTGTCTCAGGGCGTTCAGAGAATCTGAATCCAGAACAGAAATATTTTTAAATAATTTTTTCAAGGGCTCTGAAAACTTAAATATAATAGAGGGCTATGTTAATAATATTTCATAAAAATTCCATCAGAGGTAGAAACTTTGGTGTGGAGTATTGTTATTCTTCAATGCATTATCAGGATATTCAATGTGGATACTATTAAACTTGAGGATTAAGTCTTGATCTTTCAATTTATTATTAATTAGTTATTGTGGATTACAATTAACTGTAGAAACTTTTTTAAAGAAACAAAAATGCGCGCGCGCGCACTGAAAAAAAATTATTTAAAAAGCGCGGAAATTTTTTCATGACATCAAAGAAAGACTAACGTGTTTCTAAACAGATTAAGCAGTTCAGGATTGAAACAGACAGTTAAAATATTTAAGATAAAAAGGGAGCGCGCGCCATAATTAGGTCTAAATGCGCGTGGAGCTAATTTTTTTTGAGAAAGAATGTATAATAATACAAAATTAAATTCCTGAAAATTGCAGTAGGTTAGGATAAAAACCGATCATATAACTACTTAAAATAAAGACACGCGCATCAAAGTAGAAACTTAGCGCACGCGGAGCAAATATTCCAGAGTATGAAAAGTTATATAATATCTTTATGAGCAAATCCTAGAAATTTCAGCAATCTATGATAAAATTTTGTCCTGCAACTGATGAAATTGTCAGGCACGCTCACCATAGCCCAGTTTGATGCTCATACAGAATATTTTTAATAATGAAAAAAAATTGAGTTATTTTGAACAAAAATAATAAATTTTTAAAACAAAAAATGCCATTCTGGACACATAGTGTGTAGGTCTAAATAAGTTGCTTAGTCCAAAGTTTGTATATTTGGGGGGGAAACGAAAAATTCACTGGCAGGGTTGTCCCTCTCTATGTTACTGTGATTGAAAAACATTTTTTTTATGCAAGATACAGTAAGGACTGTGCAAAAAGTTTGTATTGCCCCAAGTAGCAATAAAAGACGTTTGGATTTTTTAAATTATTTTTTGAATAGATTCCTTTCGATGGTCCAGGCAAATGTATGTTTTACATCTTCTGAGGTCTTGGTTCTAAAATAGAAATATATGATCTAATGTTCAAATTATTCATCATATTGATTATTCACAAATTACTTCTATTCAATAACAAGTTAACATTTCAGATGAAATTTTTTTTAATGCCAAGTTTTTTTAATATTCTTCTTTTGAATTTCAGACAATCAATTTAAGAAATCCTTAAAAAAAAACAAATTAAAATTTTCGTTGAAACAATAAATTCTTATACTGTTAAACGTTATATATTAACATTTGCTTATTGATAATTGTAAATAATTATAATTACAACTTTATTCAAAATTTATATAAAATTTAATTACTATGATTAACATTTTAAAGACAATCAAATTTTCGTGAAGAAAAAAAAACAATAACATAGAGCAGAGCACAACAAATACTTGAGATTGAAAGCTAAATTTTACTACTTATCCACATATGTTTTAATAAAAAATCAATTTTCATAATTCTATGACAAATTGCTTGTTTTTCGTTTTGTTATTTTAAAATACCTAGGCTTCCTTCTCCTGTAAAAAATTGTAGCTTTTAACTATATATTTGAAAGACGGCCATATAAAATCATTTTAAATTTTTGACGGATCTATTTTGTCGAATTGGCGCATGCATTTTCAAAAAACAGATACCAACTATTTTCCAGAATTTTTTTTCTCAATTTTGATGTTTCATAACCCTTCTCTGGGGTCATGTGAGGTCCGGATCGTTTTAGCTGTTTGGACGCTTATAGGTTACAAACAAACAAACAGACAGAGCGGCAAAGTATATAGATGGAAGATAGATTTAATTACAATATGCGTACCTGCACCAAGATTCACTATCTATCGGCGGACGAATTGGAGTTTCCTCATCGTCGTTATTTTGTCCAGAACTATACATTTTAATCTAAATATTTAACAAGTATTAAAAAATTCTTTGTTTACAATCTTCAACCGGGCTAGGTTTACAAGCAATAAATTCGATTAGAAAAAAGAGATTCTTAAAAATATAAAATATAAACAACTTCTTATGAGCCATCACAGATATATAACTAGATCCCGAAAAGTAAAAAAACATAAAAAACAATAGTTGATTATCACTATCTCCTTTTAAACAGGATAGACGGCTCCGGTCATGTCGGCAAACCACTTCTTGGCATCCTTGCAGGTCGGTCCTGTGCACATCGGGCAGGTCATCAACATCTGGGGTTTAACTTTCTCCCCGGACTTGAGATGGGTGGCAACTATGTCCGTGAGGCAGTCAATAAACATTGGATCATCATTCGGGGCAGCACAGCGTCCAATCCTTTCCGCTCCAACCTCCTCCCCCAGCTCAGCAGCGTATTCAATATCCAACTCATGCAGGGTTTCAATATGATCGTTTACAAATGCAATAGGGATCAGCATTAGGTTCTTCTGTCCTCGTTTAACCAGAGCCTTGATGGTCTGCTCAGTTCCAGGTTCAAGCCAGGGCAGGGGACCAACTTTACTCTGCCAGGTCACCCTAAAGGGGTTTGACCAGCCTAGCTCCTGCATAACAAGTTGAGCCGTAGCTCCGATCTCAGCTGGATACGGGTCCCCGCGGTTCATCACGTACTGGGGAACAGAGTGAGCTGAAAAGAGAAGAACAACTTTGGAACGAACTTCCTCGGGAAAATTAAGCAATTCCTTCTGGATGTTTTGAGCAAAAGTTTTCACAAGAAGAGGGTGTGTGGGCCACCTATCAATGACAGACCATGTAACACCATCAGCCCCTGGTGGTCTTAGGGGGAAGTTCTCCTGGTAATATCTGTAGATCGCGTTCATACTGGATCCTGATGTTGTACAACTGTACTGCGGATACTGGGAGAATGCAACCACGTGGGACACCCCGTCCTTCTCTATTTGTTGCAAAGCAGACTCGGTAGAAGGGTTGGCATACCTAAACCCCACATAGGGTTTATGGGGAGCAGTTTCAGGACTAATCTTATCCAGTTTCTCACACATTAGGTCTCCTACAGACAGGGTTATATATTAATCCATGTTGCAATGAACCCTCCCCCCCTCTTAACAACCTTTCGTGATTTTGAAACAAGATAAAAGACAAAAACTTAAAATAAAAAAATAGCTAATAAAATTGCTGGGGCAATAATTCATGAAAAAAATATCAATGTTTTTACATAATCTAGAATAATTTCTGACATTATCATTATTCGTCTCGATCCAAGAGAACGTTGTNATTTCTAATGTTGCTGCTAGGACAGACAGGACTAGGAGGCCGGGCGCTGCAGCAACAAGTCATGAATATGTTATGATGAAGGGGTGGAAGGAGTGGGGCGGGATGGTCCAAAATCCTTCTATAAGAAATACCCATGATTAATTAAAATATGAACTCTGCCTTGAAGCTGAGTCCACTTAGCGATAGGAGATCCTCCTCCAATCTCGTTATACTTCTCAATAATACTCGGCGTCCTTCGTTTAGCGATCCAAGGACCAAGTTTGCTCTGGAACGGGAGTTTAATGATATCCCGGTCCGCGAACAGATTTTTCAGAAACTGTTCCACTTCAGAACTATTCCTTGGTCCACCCATATTCAGCATCAAGATACCCGTCTTGGCTTTGGCCGACGTAGACGCATGTCTTCCAGAGCTGGAAATTAAGTCTAAGAGGGCTTTTGCTGAAAGACTTCGACTTTTAGAAGTTAGCATGCTTTAGTTCAGTACTTTTTCTTGTTTAAAGTTTAAAGGTTGTGAGGGACCGAGGGTGTATTTATGTTGCCTTGAATAACGACTGGCTCTGTATTATCACGGACAAGAAATCAGCTGACTCAGCGGAAAAGAACAAAAATAAAAAAAAGGAAATTTTTATTTCATATAAAATTTTTAAAAATGATATTTGAGCAGTATTCTTTCTTAAAATGTTTGACCTAATCTTGTGCGGAATCAACATTTTTTTTACAGCACCTCAGAAAAAGGATAAATAATTGTACGTGGCATTCGCGCTGTAAACCAAGAAATCTGAGATAAAAATTGGTTACTACTCCTCTTTTTTCAGATTTAAGATACCAGCAATGAGGTATATAGAAATAAACGATTATCAATCAATCAATCTTTTTTTCCACTGTCAGCAAAATTCGAGGATTTAATCCCCAAAAAGGTCAGATTTTTGGATTTACAAAAATCTCTTAACCGCGAATGCCTGAATGCTATTACGTATTTTTTGAGGGGACACGTCTGGACGTTTAATTCAACATTGAGAAGTACTATAAATCTTTTCTCAGAGACTAGCCTGTTCTAGCCGTAGTGGTCGACCCAGTAACTTAACTTAACGTAACCCTAAAGTTAAACTAATTTTGATGAAAATTGCTGAAATTGAAGGTCTGTCCTGACCGCAACGTTCGGTTCCTAGCATGTCTTAGCCGCAGTGGTCGGTTCCGACATGTCCTAGCCGCAGCGCTCGGCCCATAATATGGCCTAACTTAATCTAACCCTGAAATAACTCAAAAGAAATTTTTTTGATGTAAATGGTTGAAATCTAGGTAATGTACTAAATTGATAGAAGGGGTAAGGATGGGGGGTTCCAAAAATCGTTCTCCAGGACAGACCCGGTTTTTAGCCCCAAGCCCCCCCCCCCCATCCCTTCATAATGCTATTCATGTATAATTAAGTTTTTAAGTTTTTGCATTGAATTCATTAACTCAATTTCAGATGGAACAATATCAATCTCAGGAAATAATTTTTTTGGAGTCTATTCCAATAAATCAGAAAGTGAAGATTAACGGGGATTGGTAAGTTCACTTTAATTATAAAAAATAATATGTTTAATAAACGTTTCGTAAGTACAGTTTAATTTACGTGTACTCTTCAGATATTTCAAAGTTGTTAATTTCGCAAAAAAAAAACTATATTTGGACCCCCCTCCTCCTATCAATTTTGTAGATGCAATTCATGCAACACTTGGATATAATTGGTTATGTGGCCATAGCTCCCGACCTCCTAGCTTGTCCTAGCCGCGGCGCTCGGTCCAGAAATTGTCTTAACCTAACCTGACCTTGAAATAATACAAATAAATAATAATAATTTTGCTGAAAACTTGTTGGTCATGTATAAACAGTTTAATTTACGTGTACTCTTCAGATATTCCAAAGTTGTTAATTTCGCAAAAAAACTATATTTGGACCCCCCTCCTCCTATCAACTTTGTAGATGCAATTCATGCAACACTTGGATATAATTGGTTATGTGGCCACAGCTCCCGACCCCCTAGCTTGTCCTAGCCGCGGCGCTCGGCCTTCCAAAATATCCTAGCCGCAGCGCTCGGTCCAGAAATTGTCTTAACCTAACCTGACCTTGAAATAATACAAATAAATAATAATAATTTTGCTGAAAACTTGTTGGTCATGTATAAAACTGATATGAGGGGGGTGGGGGTCCAAAAATCGTATACTAGGACGGACCGCAATATTTATTTAGAGATCTTGAAGTTTTAATGGAAAATACGTAATTATAAATGTTAGAATTAATAAACACAGAGCCTGAGCTTCTTGTTGGTAAAATCTCAATTCTCTAACTACTCAATTCATTTAGGAGAACTGCCAAGAACTTTCTGGAAAATAGTATAGGTATTCAGTTCAAATTAATGATTCTAATTTATTTCTTGCATTTGATCAAGGAACTATATACAGGAACGCCCAACTCAGATATACGCATATTATGTATTGTATACTGTGGGAGGAATGTAAACAAGCCCAGTGACCCCACAGAAGTTGAAAGGAATGGACTAAAGCTCTGATGTGATATTACAGTCCAACAAAAAACAAGTTAATATACCAAGTTAGAGCGAATACTTATGATTTTTGGCTTTCTGGTCAATATGGAAAATACAATAGCAATATATTCTTATTCCACCCCTTGGGCCCTTTTCCCTCAAAAATGATGCGTTGCCCCTGAATTCTTTGTTTTGATCTCCTCCCACTGCAGTTCCTGCAGTACACAGATTTGACGCCTCAGATATGACGATTCCTGGTCTACATATTTCTTGCATTTGATTGAGTGCTTTTTGTCTGCATGCAAAAAGGCCACACAAGAAATGATTATATTGTTACTACATTCACGATGCAAATTTAGAGTAAGGAGATTGGACATATTTTTATCTAGTATCATGCAATAATTGAAATAAATTCTATTTTGATGATTTGTGGAAGGGGGTGCGCTAGAAATTCAAATGGTTTTGTCCAAAACACTTAACTGTTAGTAAGTTATAAGATTTTAGCACACACGAATTATCCTTTATTGTGCCAATTACATTGTTTCTAAACCTATAAATATACTTCTTCACCGTCAATTATTAATTAATCTATTTGGTCGTTTTTTTTATTTCAAGGTGGATTAGGGAAAACCCGGATATCTAAGAATATACATACAGGTATACTTTTTAAAAGGACTGTCTCATTTACAAACAAATCATTAGTTTATTTAACGGTTCTTAATTAGTTGTTCTCAGATGATTATTTATTGTATGATATTCTTGGAATATATTACCGCCAAAAATCGCAAATTCGAACTTTTTAATTGCCACAAAAATTAGCACATCACAGCACAACAGTCTATTAGAACAAGTTTAATTTTTTTTTTATTTATTAATCAATTTTTAGGATGTTTTAAAGGTTTCAGACGATATGTATATAGTCAAGGCACTGATGATATGTAAAATTTTAAAATAAAGGTTACAAAAAGTGCAGTATTTTTTATTGGGGGGGGGGGGGGTTAAAAACTATGAGCGATGAAAATTGCAATTTGATTGTTAGTTTATTTTAAAACATTGTATAATGAAATGAAATTTTTTTACCAATATTTGTTAAATTTGTTGAAGGATTATTAATAATGAAGTTCAATTAAAGGGAGTGACCGGCAATGCATGTTAGTTGAACTGAGAGTGTAGTATTGTGGAAAAATTTGTTGGATTCATTTGAGTCATATAAAACGTTTAGTGATGTATAATTACTGAGTTTGAGCAGTCGACATTCAAAATCATCCATTTGGGGGGTTACGTTTTGAGAATCGATTTTTTAAAAATTATTAAATAACCACGTAGAAAAATGTAAAAAAAATCTACAGTAAACTAATCAAATGTTTAGGAACTTATTTTTCAAAATAAATTTGTCAATAAATCAATGTAATAATTAATTATTTCTTTTTCATCATTAAATTGAATTTCTTATTAGAATGTATATGAAGAATAGTATGATCAGAAAAGCTTTAAATTAAAACATTGGAAAGTACAGATACATTGCCAGGAAAGTACAGATACATTGGCAGGAAAGTACAGATACATTGCCAGGAAAGTACAGATACATTGCCAGGAAAGTACAGATAAATTGCCAGGAAAGTACAGATAAATTGCCAGGAAAGTACAGATACATTGCCAGGAAAGTAAGCCAATAAAGGAATAACAAATTCATTGATTATAAAACAACACATAAAAAAATGTCCTTTTTTTGGCAAGAAATTACTTGATTTTCTTTATTGCATTATACGTGACTAATTAATCATTAATATTTATATTTTTAAGGAAATTCATCATGAAGATGTTCGGCAATTTGTAAAAATAAAAATTAAGAGACCTCAGAGCAGTGCTACGGTAACATATCATTCATTCAGTTAACTCAATACGTTCAGAGCTGAACACTTTAGAATTAGATATCCTTAATCCCGATTACTTAATCTGAGTGTCCAATGGACTCACTTTTGATTTTCTTCTTAAACCGTTCTTTCTTGGATATAGTAGAGAAAAATCAAAAACCAGTTTGTAAATTAGAGAGTTCCTCCCATTTCTGAATATAATCTTAAATGGCGCGCAAAATTTCACATTTTTCGGCTTCATATACGCGAATCTGATTGGTTGAATTTTATACACTTTTCAGGATACAAGATTAGATTAGTCTCGATATTAAGAAAAAGAGAAGATCAAGTCTTAATCTCGATATCCACCATTCTAAAGTTTTCAGCTCTGATCATTTTCTGAAAACTATCATAACCATCGAATTGGTATCATATCAATTGGACTAATGATCGATTGAACTAACGTTTCTAACGTTTCTTTGGACTAATAATTATTTGGACTAAATATCAAAATTTTTAAAGTAAATTTGTTCAATTGAAGGAGAAGTTTACTTGAAGTACGAGGTTCTAAATACATTAGAGATTTTATGACTAAACTCAGAGGAGTGAATTAAAAAATAGTTTTTATTTAATTGAAACTGTAATTTAGTATCATTAAAATTTCAATCGGGTAGAAAAGAATGTGTGCATGTAAATACAAACAATAACAAATTTACTTTTAGAGTGAAGATCTGGTTCAAGCCGCATTAGAGCAAACCAACAACCCTAAATTAGCCTTTCAGTAAGTGGAAGCTTCTGACCTTCCCTTTTAAAATTATAAAAGATTTAACAAGAAAATGATTCAGTAAATTTGAAAAATTAATTTAAAAAATTATTTTTTATTTGAGCAAGACTTTTGATAATTCAAATTATCCATTTATTGTCATCGCTTGTCTGCAAAAACGGGTTGCCTGATTGTGCTTGCAATATTTTTAATCTCACACAACCCAGAGCAAAGTTCGTTGAAAGTCAGTATTATAAAGGTTTTCTTCAAAAAGTGTTAATTTCAAAAATCCACCATTGAAAACTCTAAAACCTCAAAAAAATAAAATAAAATTGATTTAACTATGACAATGTAAAAAGCAAACATTTGGATGTAAACCCCCGAAAAATTGAGACTGATTAAAATCACAAAATCGCATGAGAGCCTAGAATATTTACTATTTATCTTCGCCATAGTTTTTATATTTTTGCTGTATAGTACAATTATTTTACTTAGACTTGTAGAGAAGCTAACAAAGAACAAACCTAATGATAGAACAACTAAGAGGGTATGTTCACAAGTCACATTTAGTTAGTAAGTTCAGAAATATTGAAATAGTAACTTTGTCAAAGGATTCGTTTGATTTTCTTATTTTCTATGAATTTATTCGCAGATTTCTACACATTCTTCAAATGTCGTCTTTTCAATAAAAATTTGGGAATAATTCAGAGATTATAGAAACTCATAATTGAATAAGATTACTTATTTTCGACGATACGATTAGTTTTTTTTTCTCAGCCTATTCCTAAACAACTAATTAGTTTACTGTAGAATTTTGTTTACATTTTTTGTCGTCGTTTTATTGTAATTAAAAAAAGCAATTTTGAAAACGTATCCACCCAAAAGTACGATTTTGAACGTCAACTTTGCGCTCAAACTTTGGATTTACAGATCTTCAAAAAATTCTATATATCTCAAATGAATCCTAAAGAGTTTGTCCACAACACTAACTACTACTCAACTACTACTGTTCAACTAACTTACATAGCCGGTCTGTCCCTTTAATAGATAAATTGTAGGTCACGCAATTTTAAGCAGAAAAAGTAACGAAAGTCCCCATTATTATCTTAAAAAAAGATCAATTTTTTCTTTTCTATTTTCATTCTTTAATTAATGTTTATTTTCGTTCAAAAAAAATTTCAAATTAATAAATTTTGCCGTTCGTAAACAGAATCTTCTGGTAATTTTCAAAACCTTGCCGTTAGTTGCTCAACCTTAGACATGATAGGTGAAATCTTGATTATTTATTATTTTATTTCTACAGAAGGTGAGCTGTGCTATGACAAAGAAGAAACTGTTGGAAGAAAAAAAAGGTAAATTTGAAACAAGTTATTGCATTTTTTGACTAAGAACTCATCTTATGAATTTAGTAAATTTTGAAAATACATTGTTTACAAAATGATTTTAAAAAAATCATGCAATATAGCCTTAAACATGTGGTGTGTTAAAATATTCCTCTGAAGAAAACCATAAATCACTTATAGTTGATAATATTTTGATTCAAGAGTCAACTAAATTAAATATGAAAATCTTTTTGATATCGTTTTGCATTAATATTGGAATAAAGATTTTATTTTATTAAAATTTCACTTTCAGCTACCAAAACGTACAAAAATAATTTTTAAAACAAATAAAAAAAAAAAAACGTTAAGTGTGTGAAAGGTACCAATTACAGTATATACAGGAGAGAATGCCGTGGCAGATGTGACAAAGGACCTAGGGATACAAATCCACAGATTAGAGAACCCCACCACTCACTTTCTTAAAGTCAGCGAACACCAATATAATAGTGGAACTAACTATCAAACCTTCTACAGAGAATTTAGAGCTGCCATCGTGGGGAACCTTAAAAAACGAGGACATCGAATACAATACCAAATTAACCATGAACTGGAATCTGATGAAACGGTGTCACCAACCTTCGAGGAAACTATTGTCCTCTGGTGTCTGGAAAAAATTGATCCTCGTCTTCCCTCTCATGTTAATAAAACATTTGGCCATCTAATGACTGGGCATACAACTCTTAAAGACCTCCAAATACAGATCTTTCAACACATTGGTAGCATGATCAGGGATCTTAATGACATTGAAGCTAACAGGGCTACAACATTTAGAATATTTTCTTGATATTCCTTTGAAGACAACGACAAGGTCGGGCTTGCAGCATTCAGAGCATAAACGTTTGCCATTTCACCAATATGGAAACAATTTATACCAAAAACAATCATGCCAGATCTGTCAAATAGTAGGAAGGCCTTCTGCCATTGCTTTTAATTACTCCCAAGCCAACTGCAAGCCAAGAACGCTATATTTGATGTAGCCGCTCTTGAAGACCCAAGAACTATGATCCCATCCCCGTCTCTTACCTACCCTTACCATTGAGATAGGTGCATTTTAAATCAAACTACTAAACGTAGAGCATGAAAAAGATATTATGTCTCACACATCTATTAATATTTTACTTTCAGAGTGAATTTACAAAATGGATAATAGTTGTGTTGGGTGTTATTGGCCTAAATGTCAAGGTATGGTAATGAATCTAAAATAAATTAAACCAATTAAAATCAATCCTGAGGCTATTAAAGTGCTCAATTCTAGAATAATATTCCTTAACCCCCCCTCTCATTAACTCATTTTTTAAACAATTAAATATAATGCAATAAGTTCAAGCCATTGTTTTGTTTAGATTCAGAATTGAGGCCTCGGTCCTATGATAGTTTTTATGATCTTCAGCACCGACAAAGACCAAAGATCTATGATTCTGAACTTGATCTCTCCAACCTTAAATCTCATACAGAAGATCAACCATTAGAAGATTCCCAAAGGAAACAGTTATCAACAGTTTGTCATCTAGAGAGGTTCAAAGTTTATCACGGAGAAAAAAATCATCCTCAAGGTAGTTCTTTTATTTCCTTGTATTTAATCCGAGATTCAAATTTTATTATTAAACATGTGTATTGTGTACAGTTATTAAAATATTGTTAATTTTACTAGCATAGATTTCATAAATACCATTGTGAGTTCTTAATGAATCTTAAACATTTTAGTGCAGTGTAATTTAGAATCTAAGAGTTTAAAAAAATAGATTTAAAATTTCAACCTTGTGTATTTTAGAAAGGAAAGATTGGGAATGCTATCTTGGTTGAATCTAATGGGTGACTGTGATTTAAAACGTAATAAAAGATAAAAAATTCAGGTAGTATGCTCAAGCTCAAGTCACATTCGAAAATTAATTAAACTTTATGTCGATTTATATTAATATTTTTTATCAACTTTATTTGTAATTAGGATGAGTTCGATTTTAGTTTAGGAAGTGCTATAGAAACCAGCCAAACAGAACGAGGTATTTCAGAAACGACAAAAATTCTCTATATTTTTTTTAACTTTCTCTCACGCGTGACACTTCAGCTAGTTCAATTCAAGATGCTAAACCTGCCAAAAAATTTAATACTTTGTAGAATCTGAAGACCCAGTAGAGCCTGTTGATTGGAGAAAGCTACACGCAGCTTGCCAAGGGTAGGATTAAAAATTATCAAAATTAAGATAAGTTACCACTTATACCAATATCGCTCTTTTTTGTGAGCTTAACATTTTTTTAAAGATGTTACTTTAAAGTTGAACATTATTACATCAGTTAAAATAAGCACAAGAATCGAAAGGCTAAAAATCTAGAATTTCTCATATTTTGTTGGTATATATCAAATATATTTATTTCATATTTTAAATCAATACAATGAAGACTACTTACAATTTTTATTTCTAACAGCATAGATACACATTATACATCATACACATGTTTTGTAGCCAAAGGTATATGTCATCTTTTTTTATGGCTGCCTGCGAACTGCAAAATGTACACAGTACTTATTTGTTCATAGTACGTACTTTGTCATGTACATTGTACACAGTATACTATGGATTGTACACACTACACAGTATACTATGGATTGAATATTGTAAGACTTGTTTTAGTCCGCTTTCACAGAGGACACAATATTAAGGTGAACATTTGGCGTCCAGACACGTTTGATTAAACCAAAAAATCATTCTGTATTTTATTTTTACATATTGGCCAATATTGATTTTGGTGAATGTTGTCTAATAATATGTTTACTTTTTAGTATTATAATACCATGAGATCACCAATCACCATGTTCCTCTTAATAGGAATTAGGATACTCTATTGGTATTCCCAAATGTTTACATTGCCTGGCAGTAATTTATTGTAGAATCTTCTGTGTTATATGATGAAAGCTTACATTAAAACTTAAATCCAAAGGTCGTCTTCATTGTATCGATCAAAACACTGACCACTGTTGGAAATGTAGAAATGAGATTTTTATTTTGTCATAATGCATATAAGCATTGTTTAGGTTAAGGTTTGACTTTGTGGACGAAATTTTGGAGTCTTCCTTTACTAGAAGATTGGACCCAGCAGAACAAGGGTATTGGAAAATATTTTAAAAAATGTTCTGTGAAACTTTCTTTATAATTTTTGTTTTGTTTCAGGACCTCTAAACCTTTCATACAATCCATTGATCACAAACAGGTTAGTTCTCATAGTTTTGGATACAAACAAACAACCCAACGGACAAGACAATTATTGATTGTTAAATAGGTCAAGAGACCTGGCCCTAATTTTTCTCTTTTTGCTTACCTAACTGTTGGAAAAAGAGAGATTGTCAAAATTATTCATATCTCTAACCATCGAGTTTTAGCATACAAATAAGCCACAAAAGAAGATAAATAATTCGAAAATTCTTTTTCCGTTTAAAAAATCAGTAAATCTTAAAGAAATATTCATGACCTGGATCCGGATCTATTTTTTTTTCAGTTCGGATCCAGGATCCGGATCTGCATCAAAATCAAATGGATCCTTAGCACTGGTGCTGATAATATATTTATTTACATAAAATCAGGTTCTTTTATCTCGTGTTGAACCTCTTCATCTCTCCCACGCTATGAGACGAAGAGATCATATTTTCCATTGTTACGAATATCTTCTACTCGACAGACTGGAGACAGATACTCCACTCTGGAATAAACTTTGCCAAAGGTAATTTTTCTTGAATCCAAAACTTTTGATTAAGATAGAGATAAATAAACATCCTAAGCTTGTAAATTTATAATTCATTACATTTGTAAATAATAAAATGTGAATAGAGTATTATTATATCATAAAAAATCTTTTTCCCCAAAAGCTTAGAAATCAGCTTTAGTTATGAAGGTTAATCTCGGGAAACATATTGCCCAAAATATGCTGGAGGGAGTGTAAGCCTAATTTCAAGCGACCCTTCATGCGAAGATGGCAATGCTCGATTTTCAAGGGTAACCTTAATCTGATCAATAATGTTTTCCTTACATGAAAAGTGATAAATTCTGATAATTTCTCATTGTATCGTTGTAAATCGGGCATTGCTATCTTTGCATAGAGGGTCACTTAAAACTACGCTGAGAGTCCCTTTAATTCTTAGGTTTGGATACTGTGAGGAGTGCAGAGAAACTAAAGGGATCTGTAGTCAACCTAATCCTCATTCATCACCCAACACTAGGGTAGGACACTGCTGAAAAGGAACAATCATGGTTTCTCTAGTTTTTCTTTGAAATATGCATTATTATCTCAATTTTCAGAAAATGACACCTAGGGAATTTTTAATAAATCCGTTTTTAAGAAATTTCAGAAATCAAGTGCTTTTACAGGAAATCTTTTTAATCGCAAATGGCCTAAACAGCCATAAGACGCTTTGCAGCACAAAATCAAATCCCTAAGTCAACTGCCTGGCAGTCTAAAAACGGCATGAAAAAGTTTTTTTTAATGTCATTTTTATTGATTTCGCTTCAAAAAGTCTCCTTTAAGTCAGTGTTTAGGTAGTCATACAGTTCACATTGGGTCTTGAATTTTTACTATAACATATACCATATAACTGTTAAAGAAAATTTTCAAAATTTGGGGACCCAGCCATTTGCGGGTTCAAAAGTGTTTTTAAAAACACTGAAAAAGCTTGATTTACCCTTGAAACTACAGTTACAGTTGATTTTAGACCTTAAAAAGCGCTTAAAAATGGATTTACTTAAAATTCCCTAGGTGTCATTTTCTGAGACTTGTGATCATAACTCAGCAGTCTGCATATTTATGATTGCCAAAGAAAAATCTAGGTGTTATGACTTCAGGTTCATTTTCAGCAGGATATTAAAGGTATTGTTCACCTTTTTTAAACACACAGAAATATCCGAATGTTTGAAATTTTGATCTGTTTGGTTAAACAGTCGTCAAGGTTTAGCCAAGAACCACTGTGTCCATGTTAATTCACAAACTGATCAATTTTGTAAGCTTTTTCATCATAACGTGATTTGCAGGATATGTTTCAAGCTAGTGCGATCAAACCCGATCTATGGTTTTTAGGCCTTACTCTCAAGGATTCAAGGGTAAGCTTATTTTATTCTGAAAAAAGGTTAAAAAATATTTTTTTGTTTTTGTTTTTTTAGGACAAGCTGATACATTTTATCCGAAGCGAAATGCCGCGCAGAAATTTTGAAGTTTCCTCCACTGTGAGTTACCCATCGTCTTCCTCTGAAATGGTATCGAAAGATTTCCTCGGCCTGGTCAACTCTACCAGCTTCCTCTCAAGCTATCTCTCAGCATTCAACTTCGTCGAACTTAGACTAGGAACCAATCATAATCGTTATTTTTATTTTCTCTCCAATTTGATAATCCACATTCACGAACCACAAACATTTGTTCTAAGAAAGAACAAGAAAGTTTCATAGGTTTTCTTGAGTTTTNTTTTAATTCTTATAAATTCTGAAAATAAATGCACACCGGTACACTGATTGTACACTGTACAATGTACAGGTCGAATGTGTAAGCTGGAACGATTGTACTTGACCCACAACCTCCTCACAAACAGAACTACCCGCAGATCCATCCCGTTCACAATATCATTCTGCAGGTAAACAAGGGAACCCATAAAACTGTAGATAAGGAAGACGATATTATAGGAATCATATGTTTATTTGATTTGTTAAACATAAAACTGTTTTAATAGTTAGTCTGAAAATCATCTTATCATGTAAAATCGGGACTGTGTCTACTGCACAATAGCAGTGTTTCATGTCAATAGACTAGCTGTCCTCTCATTCTACACTTACAGTCTTAAAAATACTCTGATATCGGGTTTTAGAACACTAAAGATGTTTCTCTGATTTAATCAGATGTCAAGTGTGGTTTATATTTTTCGTGTATTTTTATTGGGAATAGCCCAATGTACAAATAATATTTTTTTTTATTTTACGGAATTTAATAGGAATTCGTAGATTGGGCTCAGAACTACGTAAATTGCGATGACATGCATATTTAAAAATTAGTGAACAATTCCTTGTAGGCGATTAGTAGAGGTGTACTTGGATAACAACCAGCTGGATGCTCTGCCCTGTATTCTCTTACGAGTCCCATCTCTGGAGCGGGTGCATAGACATGGAAACCATAATTATTTCAAGGTTATACATCTACAATATTACTAGGAATTCATTAGTTGATTTTAATTTATTTGATTGATTGATTGATTGATTGATTGATTGATTGATTGAATGATTGATTGATTGATTGATTGATTGAATGATTGACTAAGTTTATACTGTTTGATTGATCAAATAAATCAGTCTTCTCGCAACCAAATTTTCTGACTTACCTGCTTTTTGAGCTTTTTTATAGTTACTGGTTTATTTGTTGATTGATTAATTGATTGCTTTTGATCAAGTAAATGTTTACCATATTGATTGATTGCCCGACCAACTGATTTATGAAATACTTAATCTAAATCATGTCTATGTTTTACAAGATTAATTGATTCATCAATTGATTGAATCACTGGTTTATTGGTTGGTTTATTGCTTTTGAACAAGCGCATGTTTAATTATATTAATTGACCGACCAACTTACTGATGAACAACTTTTTTTTTACTTAATTGACTGGTTGATGTAATTGATTGATTGATTGTTTGATTTAGAACACGTTTATGTTCTACCACACTGATATACAAGACCGGATATTGATGATGCCAGGAATGAATTTAAACAAAATGTTTCTGAGGAAGGATTTAAAGGTAGAATAAATCTGATAAACATGTTTTTAACCCTCTATTGTTGTGTTGTGCGCAGGGGCGAATACTGGAATATTCTTAGAAGTTTTTCTCCAATTTCCTTAGCTCTCCCCATTGCTTTCGGAGGGAACAATTTTCCATGTGTGAGCCATAGCTTCAGGTTCAACCCCTGTATCCACCCCTTGATACATTCTAGTACTTTACATGTCTGTATAATACAGAAAGAATTCCATTATAATGTTCTGTGAATAGTTTTTTAAAAAAATAACTTAAGGCACAGTTTTCTGAGGTAAAGGGTATAAATCATTTAAAATAAAGACAAAACTTCTTTCGTTAGGGAAGTGATCCCCCCCCCCCCTAATATTTTTAATAATCCCTGAAAATAGAGACCGACTGGATTTTAAATAAACTTGAGAAATGTTTAGAATTTGGCAGCAGGCGCAGTTCTATCATCTCGTGTGGATTTCTACAATAATCCTACAGTTCCACCAGGAGTTAAGGAATACCTCTCTCTCAAAGCAAACAATGCAGAGGTAAGTGGAGTTAAATCCTACAGTTCCACCAGGAGTTAAGGAATACCTCTCTCTCAAAGCAAACAATGCAGAGGTAAGTGGAGTTAAATCCTACAGTTCCACCAGGAGTTAAGGAATACCTCTCTCTCAAAGCAAACAATGCAGAGGTAATTGAAGTTAAAAAATTCAACGTAATAATTAAGGGTTCTTATTCACAATTATTTCCTTCAAATCTAAAAAAAAGATTTTCTTCTTTTTTTAACAGAAAATTTGGCCCGATTCGGCTTTTTTAGTGAGCATTAGACATGTAAAACTGTAAAACCAGAAAACTGTGAACAAATGTAGATGTGCTATCACTGATAAATGTAAATGTAAATGTATTATCTGAAAAATAGTATTTTCAGTTTTTTATCAGTTTTGTTTCTTTATGAATGGAACCATAGACGAAAAGTAAAAGTAAAAGATTGGCATGTTCGATTCACATTGGTTACATGTCTGCAGGACAGGATACTTCAACTGTATGTAGGTTGAATGTTATTAATAAAGATAATGAGAATGATCAAGGAGGAATGAGATCTCCATGTTTTTAACTTTTAAATATAATATTTTCAATTTTGGTTTCTCTTCGATAAACTGACTAACGGAATTCTGCTTCGGAAACAATTGTAAGATTTAAAAACTTTTCAAGGTAAAAAAAACTAGATATTTTCCACATTTTGGATCTGAAAAGGGTTCCAAGGGCACCGTTGTGAATCCGACATGTCCCTCGTAAACTCATTTAAAATTGGTTCGCTTAATATTGCGTTGCAAAGTCCCTTTTATAAACCATCTACTTTATTATTTGTAGTTATGCGACCAGTGTAGTCGTGTATTGACCAGCTCAAGTCCCAGCTACCGTGTTTTTACCTTCAAGAATCCATACCTAGGGAACACATGTGTTCCTTTCCAGCACACAGCGTGCACGCTCCTTTGCGCGGAGGATATAGAAATACCTGCGCGTAGGGAACAGATGAATTCGGCGCGTCAACAAGACTTGGAATATGAACAGTAAGTGTATAATTATGAATAATAATATCGTAAACAACCCAGACACTTTTTTATAGTTTTTATTTATGTTAGTGCCAGACTAACCGACATGGTTTGTGTTACTAAAACTGAAAAGGTTTTGGACTTTAAAAAGGCACCACACAAATACTGTGAACTTGTAAAGGTTCTAATATTTCAACTATATTCTGTAAAAGTTTGCTTAATACCATTTTTACCCTTTGAAAAAATAAAAGGAAGAAAGGGAAAGTTTGATTTAGTCCATTTTTTTTGCATATATCTACTCTCATGGTTTGATTGGGAAAATGAAGGAAAAGGAAGTGGTCTATAGGGATAAAAAATAAAATATTTACTTATTTCTAGATACATGCAGCAGTCGATGCAGGATATGCATCAAGAGCGAGGAATTCTAGGTTAGTAATTTTCACTTTTAACCAATTATTAATTTAGTTATTCCTTAACTATAGAGAACATTCTAGCTGAAGCAATATATATAAAGTAGTATGACCGATAACCTATGACCGATTTGCCTCAAATTTGTATTGGGGTACTCAGGAAAACCAGGGAAATGTTCTTAGCATGGTCTTAAGATTGTAAGTTGAGTGGGTCGACTTTTAAAGCTAATTTCGTAATTTATGACCAAGAGCCGGTAAACGGCGGGAGTAAATATGAGTAACCTGGGCTATACCCAGTATACAACATGCATTTATTATAAAATGTTAATAAATAAATGAATTATAAAAGTACCATTGAATACATGAGTTTGAAAATACCAATGCATACGTGAATTTATAAAAGTACCAATGAATACATGAATTTATAAAAGTATACCCATTACCCAATTAGATACATGAATTTATAAAGGTACCAAAGAATATTATGTTTATTATAAGGATCAAGATCTGACACCCTCCGATCAAAAACTTCAAGGTAATTAACTAATTGTATATATGTGTTGTTGCATAAGTTCCATGTTTTATTGCTGGATGTCTCTGTATTACAATGATCCAGTTTTTGTCATACTATGGCAATTAACAGAGGGGTCATGCTTAGAGAGAGAAAAACGATTAAAAAATTTGCGGAGGGTCCATTGAGAAATAACTCCGATAGTCCCTTAAAGCATGGATAATTTATTTCACAAACAAAAGTTTTATTTCACCATAGACAAAAGAACTAACAATTGATAAAATGTTTTTTTTTTAATTGGACATGAAAAGTCAAGTTTTGTCATCCTTTATCTATAGTAAATTTTTATACGTTTTACCCAAAAACCCTCCCTTGGCTCCAGACCTAGCCTCGTCTCCTCGGTCTCTAGAACCAGTTTAGCCAGCCTCGGACCTCGACCTCCGAATACTAATTGTAAAATATTCTAGATTTTTACATCTTACGCGATAAAAAAAACCTTTCTCTCCACATTCAAAAGAATCTAAAAATCTCTGCTTACGATATATGATTTGCTCTTTTTATACAAAGTTGAATGAAATATTATATTTGTTTGTTTAATTTGTTAAACATTTATTTTTTAAAGATGTGATATTTTAACTAGTCTTTGAAGTCAGGCATTTTGGATTTCAAATCTTTTTTCATCTTTCCACAAATTTGTATTTTTGTTTTTATAATGTTACTTATATATGTATTTTATCTGAATTGACCATCTGAATTAAAGTTTAAAAAAATATTATTTCAGATTTCTGATTTTCACAGAATTGAAAAAAAGTACCGAGTGTAGCTGTTAACTATTCTACCTATTCTATAACCAGGGATGAATATATTTTGATATATTAAATTTTGCGAGAAAGAGGGGGGTCAAAAAAGCTGAAGTCTTCAAACAGGGGCATATAATTTTGAAGATTTACACCCCCTCCCTGTCTCGTGTGGGGGGGGGGGTTGACTTTTGATGCCATGGAGAAGAAAAAAAAATAACATAAAAAGACAAGTTTCCTTTCTTTCCTCTTTAAAGATCTTTCGTTTTCTCCTATTCAGAGAAAATAAAACCCTAACATCTGAGGGAAGGTGTGATTGATTTGTCATGAAAATATTAACCTTAGTCTCCTAAATCTTGATTTTAAAAAATATATCCCGCCGTAGAAGAATGGTCTAACAATGAACCAGCAGCAGCAGGGATCAGAACTAGTTCTGTTTGAGCTCCTTCATCTAGAACTTGTTTCTCAGGTCAATATTATCTTCAATTGTACCGTACATGCCTATTATTAACACCTGCTCTGTACACTGTACAGTGTTCATGGTTAAGGTGGGCCCTGTACGGCCCGATCGTCTAAAGGTGCATTAAATATTGGCGTGTTATTTCTTTGTGAATGGGGCTTGACTGTTTGTGAGTTGGCATTTTCTTGTCCCAACACTTTTGTTTTCATATTTTTGATATTATTTAGGCCGTTCAGGGTACAGGATTTGACGTCGAAGGTTTAGAAAAGATAGGATATAGTGCAGGTAATCGTAATATTTAGTTTTAGGAGGTCTTAATCAACTTTTTTTATTGTTCAATTTCAGCTTTAAATGAAACATTAAAGAAATTAAATTTCGAAGTATCATATTATTCTCGGTTTATTTTTATTAAAAAAATTCTTTGTTAACTTAAGGTTACCGCCTTGTGGAGAAATTGGCGAGAGACGGTCCTAAGTTCAAGGTTAGTTTTTAATTATTTTTAATGCCAAGATGGGGTTGTTAGTTCTTTTTTTTTCCATAACAATAAAGACAACCTTGCTAACATTTAGTCTCCAACATGCCGACGTCGAAAATCAAAAGTCGAGGATTATTTACCGGACATCTTCGCTATCGGAACTATAGTCGGTTTAAATGGTTCCTGGGATAATTGAATAATAAACATTTGTTATACATTTTTTAGGACGAATTAGATCTTCTGAAGTTTATCTGTAAAGATTTTTGGGGAGCAGTGTTCAGAAAGCAGATTGATAATCTCAGAACAAATCATCAAGGTTTGAAAACAAGATAATTATCTCGTTTTAGTTTGATTAAGTTAAGGATGATAAGTCCTTTTTATCCTCCACGTGACCTAAAATATTTGTATTCTAGGAGTGTACGTACTGCAGGACAACTGTTTCCGGTTTCTTGGCCGCATATCCGCAGATAGGCAGTACCTCGAGGCCAGTCCTAAGGTAGATACTTTGAAGCTTGACCGAGGTAGTGCATGGTTAAACACAAAAGTAGAGACTTCAGAGACGACTTCACAGAATTTATATTGACTGTTTATTTAAGATTCTCTGCAACTTTAAAATTGTTTTGTTCTTTGAAAAATCACTTAATAATTAATAAGGCAGTTGGACTTACTTTAACCTTGGGATTGTCGTAGTTTTAGAGTTTCAAGTTGGCTTTACAGTCTCATTCTTTCTGGGTAACCCAGTACCTCGAGGAAACTCCTAATGTAGTACAGTACCTAAAGTAAAATCTTATAATTTGAAGAAATATAGGTTTTTAACAGTGGTCCTTTAATTCTGATAGTAAGTACTTTTTTTTCTTAATGCCATTAAAATAATGGAAGACAATTATTTTATGTATGGCCTTACTAATGAGGGGAGGACGTCCAGTCACAACAATTTTTCATCCGAGCCATATTCTCCTCATTTTCTCGTCTGAGCCACCTCGAAATCCTAGTCCGTTTTTAAGTGTAAAAAAATAATATTGGAAGGACGAGGATTTCTAGTTGTCTTAGACGAGAAAATGAGGAGAATGTGGCTCGGACTAGAAATGGTTATAGCTAGCCTTCATCCCCTCAAGTACTAATTTAGGCAGAGTGAGTTTCAGGTAACCTAGGAGTACCTTCAGTAGTTACTGCTGAGATAACTACACTTCCTGCCTATGGTTTCAGGTAACCTAGGAGCACCTTCAGTAGTTATTGCTCAGATAACTACACTTCCTGCCTGTAGGTTTCAGGTAACCTAGGAGTACCTTCAGTAGTTACTGCTGAGATAAATGCACTTCCTGCCTGTAAGTTTAAGGTAACCTAGGAGTACCATCAGTAGTTACTGCTGAGATAACTACACTTCCTGTCTGTAGGTTTCAGGTAATCTAGAAGTACCTTCTGTAGCTACTGCCAAGATAAGTACACTTCCTGTCTTTAGGTTTGAGGTAATCTAGAAGTACCTTCTGTAGTTACTGCCAAGTTAAGTACACTTCCTGTCTGTAGGTTTCAGGTAATCTAGTAGTACCCTCTGTAGTACTGCCAAGTTACGTACACTTCCTGTCTTTAGGTTTCAGGTAATCTAGAGCTACCCTCTGTAGTTACTGCCAAGTTAAGTACACTTCCTGTCTATAGGTTTCAGGTGATCTAGTAGTACCCTCTGTAGGTACTGCCAAGATATGTACACTTCCTGTCTGTATGTTTCAGGTAATCTAGAAGTACCCTCTGTAGTTACTGCCGAGATAAGTACACTTCCTGTCTGTAGGTTTCAGGTAATCTAGAAGTACCCTCTGTAGTTACTGCCGAGATAGTACACTTCCTGTCTGTAGGTTTCAGGTGTACAAACATTGTCCAATTTTTGTACGACTCGACCTCAATCTAGGAAACTTTCTTTTTAAATCTGTAAAACACTCGAGTGGCTTGAAACCTTAATAGCTCATAGTTAAGGTAAACACTAAAACAGTGAGGCAAATTTTGTCTGCATAAATAGTCTAGACTGGTATTTCAGGTTCAAGTTCAGCGAAGTTGATTTCAAGATGGCGACTAAATCAGGTTCCTCCCGAATCATGGACCAGGATGCGCGTCGAGTTCTTGATTCTGCTGCGCGGCAAAGACGCGCACGTAAAGCGCTGGAGAGCCTGGAGAAGGATAATAACCACGAGGACCCTCATGCGGATCTTGTTATGAGTAAAAAAGCGCTAAGTCTATTTCAGGTTATAACTTGTTAAATGATTGTTAAATAGTAAGTAATGGATAACATTTTTTTCTGAAAAAAAGCATTTTTTATTGAATTAAATTGTGACGTCAAATGCTTGTAGGAGGATTCACCTGAGAAGAGACCTAAACGGAAAACAAGAACAACAGAATATTACAAGCAAAGGTTCAGGTAAAAACTTTGTTTCACAGTAACATGTGATAAATATGAAGGTGTAAAATTATAATGACCTGTAAGCATTAGCATTATAAGTCATACTACAGTTAATCTCATTTAGAAGAATACAAAATAAAATTTATTATATGTAAGTGACAAGTGTACACTAAATAATGTGCTGAAAAAAAATAATATGATCAGGAAGAATCTGGATCAACTGCTGGATGAGGAGGCAGGATATGATGATGATTATATTGGATATCTAGCTGCTCAGGTCAGTATACACTTTTAATATTTGGTTTTCTCTGAATGTAAAAGAGTTGAATAAAAGCAATTTTTAGCAGAATACAGTTTTATCAAAAGCTTTTTAAAAATTAGAATATAACAATTTGAAGTATAAGAATTAAAACAATGCCGGACGAAAAAGAGTGTGGTCGGACGAAATAAAGGTGAATTTTGACGTCATTTGGGGTCGGATGAAAAAATGGTGTTGTGTGCCTTCCCTCCCTCACTGTGCTGTACTGTAGGTTCCTAGCTCCTCTGTACCTCCCCGGTCTCTGTGCGCTGTTTGTGGATTTCCCTCAGGATATACTTGTGTTACTTGTGGGACTAAATACTGTACAATCAGGTTTAGTATTTCACACCATTTTTATTCATATTCTTGATTGGCTTTAAATTTTACAATTGAGATACAATTTTTTGTCTGATATCATTCATTTAGAACATTTAGTATTTGATGCTGGTATCAATTATACAATCTGAATATACAGGGTTGCCTGTAAAGGATTAGACTTCAAAGACGAATAAATATTCGTTTATTTTAATATGACATTTCCTATGTTAATTTAAGTAGTCTGTCATAAATATAGTCTTTATATGACCTTTTTAAGTTTCCGTAAAGTTGACGTCTCATACTTTGTGGTCCTAGCTATACTAGTCCTAACTAGCATAAACTTTTTAAAGTCGTCTATTAAGTCTTTATATTAGGAATGTATAATGAAGCTTTGGGCTATTTAACTTGCAATATTAAAGTCATAGCCATGGCAAATTAAAAAATCTGTAGTTCTGCAGTGCTAATAAAAAATATCAAAATATCATAAATGCAATGACTGCAGCCTATGAATTTTAAAATGATAGAATGCTTGTCAAACGATCCCTGAATATTCCAGATTTAAAATAATGTTTTTTTTTAGATGTTTAGACACTCATCAAGAAACACGATGTCTGAAATGGACTGCATGAAATCTTATCTTCTGATTTACTTTAAACGATTTGTTAATGTACCATTTTCATCGTATTTTTTCAGTAATAACAAGAACATAAAAGTGGCATGATTATCGTCTACATTTCTTCGTATTAAAAATGCAAAAAAATGCGATATGCCTGATTAAAGAGAGAACGAAGACAACCGTTTAGTTTTGATAATGAATTAATTAATCATGTTAATTTGGAGGTCTCTTCAGGAATAAAAAATACTATTTTAACTCTTGAAATAAATGATAGTAGTGATGTGTTAGTAAGAATCATGAATTCTCGAGAACAAAGGTTTGACTTTTAACTTACGAGAACAATTTCTTTTAATCAATATCATCTTCCCATTGTCATCCCCGCCCTTTGTCATTTCATTTGAAAGATAAACATATTCAGACTTTAAAAAATAAAAAGCAGAGTTTGAAATATGATAATTAGGAACAAACTTTAATAGATTTAATGTTGGATACGTTTTGAGATTGTTTTTTTATTATTAAATATTGACGACAAAATATGTAACCCAATTCTACAGTAAACTAATGAGGTGTTATGGAACAGGTTGAGAAAATAAAAATTAAGTAATCTTTTTCAATTCTGAGTTTTCCCAAAGATTTTCTGGAATTTTTATTGTAACTGGGCATCTTCTATTTAAATTGTGAACATGTTCTTTTTGTTAACATTTTAAAACAAAGAAGAAAAAAATTTTGCGGATTTTTTTTTAAAAATGTGGTTTTCAAGAATTTAATTTTTTTAATTTTAATTTAATAAAAAACCTTTAACACACATTTTTTTAATTTTCATCATTCCTAAACCTTCCCTGTGGTCACGTGATGTCCCACAAAAAATTTGGGCCCGATCGTTTCAGCCGTTTTGACGTTTATTGGATACAAACATACAGACAAGCCAAATTTATATATACTAGAAATTCAAGGCGCTTCGCGCCCTTCTTTTTTTAGGGCGCTTCGCGCCCATCTTCTATTTAAATTGTGAACATGTTATTATATTTTTAATAATCCCTGAAAATAGAGACCAACTGGATTTTAAATAATCAAGAGAAATGTTTAGAATTTGGCAGCAGGTGCAGTTCTATCATCTCGTGTGGATTTCTACAATAATCCTACAGTTCCACCAGGAGTTAAGGAATACCTCTCTCTCAAAGCAAACAATGCAGAGGTAATTGGAGTTAAATCCTACAGTTCAACCAGAAGTTAAGAAATACCTCTCTCTCAAAGCAAGCAATGCAGAGGTAAGTGGAGTTAAATCCTACAGTTCCACTAGGAGTTAAGGATTACCTCTCTCTCAAAGCAAACAATGCAGAGGTAATTGGGAGTTAAATCCTATAGTTCCACCAGGAGTTAAGGAATATCTCTCTGTCAAAGCAAACAATGCAGAGGTAATTGGAGTTAAATCCTACAGTTCAACCAGGAGTTAAGGAATACCTCTCTGTCAAAGCAAACAATGCAGAGGTAATTGGAGTTAAATCCTACAGTTCCACCAGGAGTTAAGGAATACCTCTTTCTCAAAGCAAACAATGCAGAGGTAATTGGAGTTAAATCCTACAGTTCCACCAGGAGTTAAGGAATACCTCTCTCTTAAAGTTAACAATGTAGAGGTAATTGGAGTTAAATCCTACAGTTCCACTAGGAGTTAAGGAATACCTCTCTCTTAAAGTAAACAATGCAGAGTTAAGTGGAGTTAAATCCTACAGTTCCACCAGGAGTTAAGGAATACCTCTCTCTCAAAGCAAACAATGCAGAGGTAATTGGAGTTAAAAAATTCAACGTAATATTTAAGGGTTCTTATTCACAGTTATTTCCTTCAAATCTTAAAGAGAAGATTTTCTTCTTTTTTAACAGAAAATTTGGCCCATGTACCATTTTCATCGTATTTTTTTCAGTAATTACAAGAACATAAAAGTGTCATGATTATCGTCTACATTTCTTCGTATTAAAAATGCAAAAAAAAATGCGAAATGCATGATTAAAGAGAGAACGAAGACAACAGTTTAGTTTTGATAATGAATTAATTAATCATGTTAATTTGGAGGTCTCTTAAGGAATAGAAAATAATATTTTAACTCTTGAAATAAATCATAGTAGTGATGTGTTAGTAAAAATCATGAATTCTTGAGAACAAAAGTTAGACTTTTAACTCGCGAGAACAATCTCTATTAATCAATATCGTCTTTAAAGCTAAACATATTCAGACTTCAAAAAATACTAAGCAAAGAGTTTGAAATATGATTAGGAACAAACTTTAATAGATTCTATGTTGGATATTCTTTGAGATTGTTTTTTTCTATTATTAAATATTGACGACAAAAATGTAACACAAATTCTACAGCAAACTAATAAGGTGTTATGGAACAGGTTGAGAAAATAAAAATTAAGTAATCTTTTTCAATTCTGAGTTTCTAAAATCTCTCGGTATTCCCAAAGATTTTCTGGAATTTTTATTGAAAAGACGATATTTGAAGAATTTGTAGAAATCTGCGAATAGATTCATAGAATTTAAGAAATTCTATATAATGATAATCGAAATAATTGATTCTAGCAAGGTGCAATTAGTTTACAAAAGAATTTTCACTTTTTTTTTGTCGTCTTTATTTAATAATCTTTAAAAGCTGGTTCTGAACGTCGACTTTGCGCTCAAACTCTGCAACTATAGATCTTTTAAAACGTTTTTTTATGTCCCAAATCAATTTTAAACAATTTCTCGTAAATACTGTAATCTCATTTCAACCACCATACATTGCCGGTCTCTCCCTTTAAACCGTTTTCATTGCTCGAGCTCATGAATAATAATATAATGCACAGTAAATAAATTACTGCGCGCACCCCCTGCTGCAAAGCTTGTATACAGAAGAAAATTCATAAACTTGTAAATATCATTTTCTACAACCGCAGAGAAATGTGAAGATTGAGTATTAATCTTAATATCCTTAACAATATTGGTTAAAATCTAAAGTTATTCTTAGATTATGTATATTTGCTTAACTAAAATCACAATAAGCTTATATCACACAAAAATGTTAAATAATTATTAAATTCTGAAGATTTTTATCATATCGTAATTAACGCATTGTTATTAGCTTGAATCAAAACTTAATAGACTGAATCGTTTCAAATGCTCTATAAATGAAATTTTAAAAAATCCTTAAAGCGAACATTTCAAATAAGCAAATTTTATTTATTACAATTCCACCACTTTCCCCTGATTTTATTTCATTATAACTATCCGACCATATACTACTTGGAAAAAAATTAGTTTTAAAATGTTATTTTAATATTTCACACAAAAGTACATAAGGGTTACCCACAAAGAATGTATAAGGATGACCTAAATATCGTATGCTATAACTGTCCCATAGGTAAATCTAATCTTTTGCACCTAATATGGTTTCTAAAATCTCTTCTTTTGTAGGTAACTCTGTACGCTGAAAATTTTCCGGATTTACATCACTCTCAATATCTTCATAATTAATACTTTATAGTTTTGTCATTTAAACTAAGTACAAAACTAAAACTAAACATGTACTGACAATTTAATTTTGTGTGTACTGTATGGTATGTACAGCCGACCAGTTCTGCCCTGCTTGTACATGAATTGGTTGTACACACTGTCCCGCCTCTACACACAGGAAACTAGGCCACACCTCCCCTCCTAGATCAGACATTTCACCAGCCTGAAGAATAAATAACTATGATTCACTACTTTTTGAGGCAAATACGATGACAAAACCTGATAGCATTATTATTCTCATAATGACTAATGACTAATGAGTATCGAGTGATTGTTAAGAAATCAATAAAGTTACGAAGGGTGAAACCAAAAAGTATTGTTTTAGTACAGAAATTAGATGAATTATTGCATGAGAGGATCCGCATAAAAGCTCTTAGTTTTCTATTTTTGATACTTTTGTCTGATTAATAAAAACAAAACAAACAGGAAGAAAAAATATTAGATCAGTGTCTAGAAGTTGCCCCCCTCTTTATAGTTGTGCCCTAAACTTTCCAGGGGGGACCTTCCCCCTCAAGCCGCCTCTGTTGATATCAATAACATGATTTAGAACCTTTTTGAATCTTAATGACAAATAAATAAATAGAAACGATTGTATTATTTAATCAATCATATCCCACCTTTTCCTTCCATGGATTCCAGACTACAGCATCTGGTAGCCCTGAACTGGTCAGCTCAACCCTCCCCCCGGACACGCCCTCAACAGTCAAGGGTGGAGCAGGTCCCAGGTAAACACGATCCGTCCACCCGGTCAACTCAACCTTATCCCTTTATTAATTGTTCAATTCAATAATATGATGATCATGATAAATGAAGGTTTCCATGAAGAAATCATGCATTTTTAAGAAAACTTGTAATGATCCTAAAATGTTGATTAATATGTTTTTGATCTTGTAAATCTAACCTAGTCTCTGGAAGTGTAGGTGTTCCAGATATAGTTTTATCTACAAACTGCAGGCCGGTCAACCCACTTACTCGCGAAGCTGTTACATCATCAACCCTATAGTTAAATTGATATAATCACATAACACTCCCTGGCCAAGGCATTTCCAATTGTGGAGTGCAAATAAATTTTACAAAATTTTACAAAATAAATTGTATTTAGTAGAATTTTATTAACGAAAAATAAACTTTCTAGGATACAAGGAAGGTATAACTTGTTCAATTGTACATTTGATAAATACTTTGTGTTGAATCACCTTTCAAAGACGACCTTATTATAAGTCGTCTCCAAATTGTCATTGTTTAGTGAGACACCTTATACCTGAAGTAGGTATGAAGGGCGGTAGTAAATATAATCTCCTTGTTTCCAGTATTCTCCAGGTTCAGCTCCAACCTTAGTTTATCCTTCTCCAGCACTACCTGGATATTTTCAAATACAGTGAAACCCTTAATAACGAATACATCGAAAGAATTCATCAAATGTCGTATTCTTCACTTTCTGATAATGGAATGTTGCAGATATTTAGTTTTTTAATTAAATGATTATATGAAACTCTTAAAAACTGTTCCCGCATATTCATGGCTATTTATTTATTTTCGCAAATACTGAAATTTACGTAATATAGTATAAAACTTATTGAAAAATTGTCAAGACGACATTTGATAAATTCTTCCGATGTATTCGTTATTAAGGGTTTCACTGTTTAAAAATCCTACAGGGTGGATCCAGGATCCGGATATTTATCAAAATGAAATGGATCCCAAGCACTGGTTTTAAATAGAGGGAAAATTAAACTGAAATTACGTCATTAGTCCCTTTTAGATGCTTTCAAAAAGTAAATCGTAAAAATTTTTAAAAATTTAAACAAAGAAACCAAATATCTTGTAAAAACCTTATATGATAAAAAGTTACCTTAAAGTCCAGTATAAACTTGAAATCCCAAATCTTCCGGGACTCCTCAGTATCACGCAACCTATCAAAATTGTTATTCACTAGATTTGTACCTCAGTCCTCACCTTTCCCTCGAAAAATATGAGTCTTTTTTTCCTAAAGCATAAATTATACGTATACTCAAATGATATATCACATATCTGCCTAAAAGAGAAAACCTAATTTATTAACATAATAAAGAAAAGAAGAAAGCGAAGATTTTCTTTAATTCAGTTGCAGAAAAAGCATTGGGTCAACTCATACTGGGTACACTAGACGGGTTGGTACAAGCAAAGACTAGACCGGTATCCTTGTACAAAAAAGACAGACCACATTTTGGAAATGTCAGAACTGGGTATTTCGTGATTATTATCTCTAGAATTTTACTTCTAAAATCACGTTTGACAAATAAATATAAAGCAAACTAAATCAAAATCAAAGACGACGTTCAAGTCATCTTGCTACTGTCATGTTTCGTGGGACACTCTATCTTGTATACAAATTGAATTTAAACTTTTTATAAGAAAAATTACCTAAAAGTAACTGAAGCATCAGACTCAGTTACAGCTGGAGGGGTTGCAACCTAATCAAAATTAACAAAAATATTTTTTTTAAGTAAAACTTTCAACAATAAGAAGCAGAAAAATGTGAAATAAGAAGACAACATGAAAGCAATAATTATGTGTATTTATGATTGTTACAAACTTACGAAGCCAATAGTTTCAAAAGTAACTTATTATAATCACTTATGAAGTGAAATGGGTCTAATTACACTGCATAATTACTGCGTCTCATGTTCATTGGATAATATAAAGTCATAACTTGAGTCTAGAAGTCGTCTTTCAATTCTAGAGTTTTCTGGGTCTGTATTTGATTTAATTCTATAAATGCGAGTAAGCAAGTAACATTATATATTTAAAAAGTATTTCATACATACAGATGACTTTGAACAAAGTCATCGTGCAGAAAATAGAATTATCTTTTAAAATAAGTACATAGATGACGAGTAGAGAACTATAGCTTGTAGTACACAATATATATATAAATATAAGGGAACTGAACATGGAAAATTATTAAATAAAATTACATCCCAATACTATCATTTAAAGTTGTATCATCTTAATTGTTCTTTTATAGCACAAATTGTTTTACAAAATGACCAAACTCCCAAGTGGAAATCCTGGCAAACCCATGCTGAATGAGAATGAGACTGTAGAGAAAACATAAAACTCTTAAAGTTCATCGGATTCAAAGGCTCAATTATGGGATCTACCTTGGCATAGTCTTTATATGACTCTTTACTTGATTTGGATTTGGATTATTTAAAGTCATAACTTGAGTCTAAAAGTCGTCTTTCAATTCTAGAGTTTTCTGGGTCTGTATGTGATTTAATTCTATATATGCGAGTAAGCAAGTAACAGTATAAATTTAAAAAGAAATGCATACTTAAAGATGACTTTGAACAAAGTCATCGTGCAGAAAAAAAACTAAGAAATGTAGCTTAGAACGTACACAAATATAGTTTGTAACACATCCTATATATAAATATAAGGGAACTGAACATGGAAAATTATTAAATAGTATTATATCCCAATACCATTGCTTGAAGTTGTATAATCTTATTTGTTTTTGATAGTATAATTTGTTTTCAGAATAGCTTTTACAGTTTCTCTTACCGAGATAATTTTAAATTAGTGTGATTTGAGACACCTGGCGACTAAATATTGAACTATATATCCAGAGGTGGCTGGAGGGACAGTAAAGTCTGTACCATGTTAATTGTTAAGTTATTATCCTTAAATACATTTCATTATGAATTGCTAAATGCTGATAGATAAGATATAAATACATTCATCAGACTGTCCCAATAAACTTAGGAATTGAGTGACGTCTATTTGTAAATAATTAGATCTTACTACAGACAAAGGATGAGACCAGAGATAGGAGAGTTACAGATTATCGATTATCAGCTAAAACATGCGATGTTTTCCACAGCATGTTCTATTGTGTACAAGTACTGTACACGACCAATCAGCAAACATCTGTATTCAGGGATATTTAAGGATCCTTTGGATCCGAAACACAAATTCTTCAAAAAAAAACTGAATTCATAAATGTTAAGTTTCATGTTTAAATTGGAATATTTCTTTAAAAGTTGTAAAACTTAACCCCTGAAAGGGTTTTAAGTTCAACAAGTGGCCGTGAGATGGCACTCTAAAAACCTATCGTAAAAACATATTATGTCATGCTGGGTCAACTTAGGCCTTCGTAGCCCACCCTAAGAAAGGAGATAAACAGTTTGTGTAGTCTGTGGATGATACTTAAGAGACGACTTTACAGAATTTTCGTTGTCTGTTTCCTGTTATTTGTGATTCCCTGCATCCGTAAACTTGTTTCTTTCTTTGCTAAATCATATAAATAAAAGACTTTATTCAAGGCAGAAGACTTAATTTAGGGGTCCTCATATTTTAAGAGTTTTAGATCGTCTTAATTATCTTTTAGAAATGTATTTTAATTTTTTATTATGCCTGGAATTTATTTTATGAAAACGATAAAAGGATTTCACCTCAAAAATTATGAACATCAATTTAAAAAATATTTTTGTGAGCGTATTTTATTTGTGAGCATGGATCTCCCCATTTTAAAAAGTATACAAAACAATTCATGTTATTTACATATATTAAGTAATAATTTCTGTTTGTATAGATACTCAGGAATGACAGATTTGCCTAAAAACAAACAAATGTGTTTAAAAGCGCCTCTGATTGATTAGCTGTCAGTAAGTAAGTAAGTAATTATTTATTTATGAACTATAACAAAAACATACAAAATTAAGTGTTTCAGGAGAAAATATTTAAAAACCTCCAAAAATAGAGGTTGTGGGAATATTTCCCCCCAATTCTAACAAAAATGTAAAAAATAGAAATCAAAGGAAAAGATAAGTTACATATTTGGATGGTGGGTAATTTTTACTCACATATTTATTTTTATAATTATTTTCCTATCAGCAGCTATAAATAATAAATATAAAGCAAAAATAAATTTATTTTAGTTAAATTTCAGATTAGCTTGTCATTCCATTTTTCGGCATTTTCTGTAAGGTTATTTATTTGATCATAATTTCATACTTCTTTTTCGCATTGACAGCAAAACATAGATTTTGGGTTTCTTACCTTGTTCTTTTCTGTCAAATCAAATTAACATAATAATATTATTATCTCAAAACTTATAAATTTTGAAACAATATCATTTAATCCAATGCCTAGTCCAACGCATACAATCAGATCTTGATTTATTATTAAAAAAACTTTAATATAATTTTAAGTGGTCTTTCAAACAAAGATTAAAATTCAGAATTTTTTATTAATATATTTGTATAAAAATATAAGTAATAATTTTATAGATGATTAAAATCGACAGTTTAATTCATAATTTTCTAACAAATGTTGAGAATGGAATCTTAAATTAAAAACCAATGCAATAATATGTTTATTATCATTTCTATGAAAAAAAAATCTTCATGAAACTCTTTTATTTAGATTAATGAATAATAATTAATTAAAATTACAAAAAAAATATTTTGTTGATTGAAAAATATTTTGAGTTTGAGAATTTATTATATATTTTTTGATTTGAACTTATTTTGTATTAGAGTGATTTTCAGACTGAACTCATCCCTGAATCCAATATTGCGAATAATATTTTAACAATTATGAATTAAAAAGAAGTTTTTCCTGATCTAAATTTTTGGAATTTATATAATATTGAAAAAAAAGCATTGCAATAGGGGTAAGGTTACCTTATTGCTTTACTCCCATTAAGAACAGAGTTTGGGCTTAGAAATATAAGATCCTTGTCGCCAACTTTCCATTCGGTCAGAGTAGCCCCAAACTTGTAAATTCTAAAATGTATGCATTAAAGGGACTTTAAATGTAAGTTCAAGACGTGGCCTGATTCTTTAAAAATAGTTTTATCTGGAAGGATTAGACACTTAAAAAAATAATATTGTAAGGACGAGGATTTTGAGGTGGCTCGGACGAGAAAATGAGGAGAATGTGGTTCGGACTAGAGATTGATGTGGTTGGCCTTCCTCCCCTCACTCACAACTATTTTTCAACAAAATTAATTATTGATGTTTATTTTATTATTTCAGGAGTAGGTTAGGATTAAGACAATATCAACTCGAGCACTGCGGCTAGGAAAGGCTAGGGCCATGGGGGTCGTGTGCTGCGGCCGCAAGTCTATGTGTATTGTGATAATATATGAGCATCTGTACAAATTGATAGGAGGGTGGGGCCTCCCCGGAGGAGGGGGTCCAAAAAGCGTACTCTAGGAAATTAACGAGTGTTCTTCAAATTTGAATATATTCATTTTAATTTAAAACCTGAAGTGCAACAATTGAAAAAAGCAAATATACCTGCAGGACGAGTTTTCAAAGTTTAGCTCTACAGTCTCCATCTTAAAATCGTTGACCCCGAATTTAATTATTCCAAAATACAAGAATAATAATATAAATAATAAACTGGAAATGTTTCTTGAGGATTGAAGGTGAATCAATGTTTACTTTCACTATTAAATTAAAGGCTGTCTGCAATGAAGCGATAAGTTCGTCTGCATAATCGGCGAACGTATTAATGGAGTTGCGCAGAAAACGAAAATACAAATGAAAATGATGGGGTGTGCACTATTTATAGAGATAATTTTTTACTTAACTTTTACCAATAAGTTTTTTCCTTGACATTCGAATTATAAAAATTTTAATTTAGATGTTTTTAAAATTTATTCCTACCGAACACATTACCCCTAAAAGTGTACGCAACTCTTAAACTTATATATCAATCAGCTGTTTCCATGTAAAATTCAGTAAATTATGAATTACTCTTAAAGTCCGCGTTTCGTAAGGGTTTAAAATAACATTTAAGGTGCTCGCCTTTGGATTCACATAGAAATAAACGTTAATCAATCAATAAGGGTTTAAAATTAATCTGTTAAATGTTAGCTTGTAAAAGTATTCTCTTCGTTAATAGATTCGTGGTAAGGATCTTAAAACGTTATTTTTTATCAATGTTTTATGTTAAATCACATACATTGTATGAAATAAGTCCCTTAATATAGAGATTGCTGCATTAAACACAAAATTATAATGTTCTGGAATTAATATCAAATTGGACAGTAATCAACTAAGCAATTGGGAATAAAATATTCCACAAATGAAATTTTGAAGGAACTGTTAAATATTTTATAACAAAAACTGTTGGCTAAGAATCAGAGGAACAAAGCAGATAGAGCGAATTATTAAACGCCATAGTTGAAATTAGAAGGTATATCTCAAGACTTATCATCCTGAATCTCAGAATATATTGAGAAGTGAAGATTAATTGGATATGAGGATATGTTGGATATATTCATCAAACTTTAGTTAATAAAACATAAACACAGAATATATTGAGAAGCGAAGATTAACTGGATATGAGGATATATTGGATATATTCATCAAACTTTAGTTAATAAAACATAAACACAGAATATATTGAGAAGTGAAGATTAATTGGAAATGAGGATATGTTGGATATATTCTTCACACTTTAGTTAATAAAACATAAACACAGAATATATTGAGAAGCGAAGATTAATTGGATATGAGGATATGTTGGATATATTCTTCACACTTTAGTTAATAAAACATAAACACAGAATATATTGAGAAGTGAAGATTAATTGGATATGAGGATATATTGGATATATTCATCAAACTTTAGTTAATAAAACATAAACACAGAATATATTGAGAAGCGAAGATTAATTGGATATGAGGATATGTTGGATATATTCATCAAACTTTAGTTAATAAAACATAAACACAGAATATATTGAGAAGCGAAGATTAATTGGACATGAGGATATATTGGATATATTCATCAAACTTTAGTTAATAAAACATAAACACAGAATATATTGAGAAGCGAAGATTAATTGGATATGAGGATATATTGGATATATTCATCAAACTTTAGTTAATAAAACATAAACACAGAATATATTGAGAAGCGAAGATTAACTGGATATGAGGATATGTTGGATATATTCATCAAACTTTAGTTAATAAAACATAAACACAGAATATATTGAGAAGTGAAGATTAACTGGATATGAGGATTCATCAAACTTAAATTTATAAAACACAAACACAGATTTACAGATGATTTACAGATTTACTAATTGAGTATAAACTAAATTTTCCCTGAAGAGTCGGCCTGTTTTGGACCTGAATTTTAAACGTACGTAAATTTATAGATTTACAGTTATTATTTTTGTGCCATGGCGCCTGGGCCAATATCCTTAGTTTTTAATCTAGCCGCAACGTTCTGACAAACTGGGGGGGTCCAAAAATCGCTCTCTAGGAAATAACCTAATTTGGTTCTTTTCAAATATAATGAAATTCTTTTCTTTTTTATTAAATTACAAGGGAAAAGTATTCAAGTAACGCTCCCCTACCCCTTGCACACTCACAACCTAACACATATGTTAATTTTGTGGGCACTAAATTTGAAAATTTTATTTTAAATTTTTAGACGGTTATGTAAAGGACCGCTCTTGCATTATATTTATGAAAGTACTTTTACGGAAAATAATGAAAAAGTATTTTGGAAAGTGCTACGAAAAGCAGTCTCATGCCATATATTAAATAGAATATTATCGTTCTGTTATATTATGCTTTTTATTTTTAGATTGTTAATTTTCATCAATAATAAAGTTGATAAGACAAGAATTCTCTTACAAACATTTTATGTTAGTAATTTTTATCTTTTATTAAAGTTTGACTCCTAATTGAGTTTATTTTACAAAATTTTAATATTTTGCATTTTAATTTTGAATAAAATCCAGGAAAAGTAAATTAAAAATATTGTTAAAATGAATATCGAGCAGGAAAACTTGTTATATTCAATTCAAAACTTTTTAATGCTATTGGAGGAGGTAAATTAAGTGTTGACGGGGGGAATATTTGTCCAGAAAAGACTGAACTTTTGTGTTGTGAATCTTAGGATCAACCATGCAGATTTACGGATTGATTTTTGTTCCTCTTCGATATCCTGCAATGGTCATAACATATGAAGGGAGGATGATTTTTAATGGAATATATAGATATATAGATCAACCGTTTAAGATTAACAATATCCACAATGTACAGGACAGTCTACAGTAGCAGCAGAGGTTGGAGGGCATGCTGGTCAACTAGGTAAAGCAACTTCTGGTACAACTAGTAGAGTTGTAGGCTGGTGGCTAGCAGGATGTGCAGGTACACCGCCCCTCATTCCCTCCCTTATTCTGATGCTCCCTGACCCACCCATCTCGGCGTTTCCCCTCATTCCAGGAGTTTATATTTTCTCAAAAAAAAATAATTTTCTTCCCCTCCCTTTTGAAAATCTTGAAATATGAAAAAAATGAATTTTTGATTTAAAATTATCGAAAAGAATAAAAAAAATTGCTTTTTGAAGTTAATTTTTCATTTTTTTTCAAATCATCAATAATAAATATTTCTGAAAAAATACACCCTTATGTGTTTTAAAAGTCAAAGTGGAATAAACTATTTAGCATTTCAAGAAACATTAAGTAGTCGGAACTTGTGCATTCGATTTTTTCAGAACTCAAACTTAAACTTTTCCTTTACCTTTTTGAAACCATTGATTTAAAAAAATTCATACAAAATGATAGAAATTCATATAAAAAATGATAAATTGTCTTAAATTAAGCAATCAAATATTGAAAGTAAGAAGACAAGTCTACTTGTTAAATTCCAAAAATTTAAAGATTTATCTTAATGCTTTGGTCAGATCACTAGAATTGAACGTCAAACAAGTTACAAAATATCATATTCAAACATTGATAAAATAATTCCGAGATTTTATAAAAATAATTACGTAATTTTTAAGATAAATGTATTTTCTTTAAAAACACATTTTGGTGGAATGTTTGAAAAATAATTATTCAGGGATGTGTTTCGGAGCTGTGATGCTTGGAGGAGTCACCCGTCTGACAGAGTCAGGTAAATCTTTAATCATTTATCAGATGAAATGGATTTTTTCCTTTTTTCTGGGCGGTCTGGGGGGCCCACAATGGGGTCTCTTGCAGATTTCAATTCCTTATGATTCCTTAAGATACATGAAAGGTGTTCCTGAGGGCCAGATTCATTAATTTTTCTGTCAGAACAACTTCATGTTTTTACTAAATATATTTTCAAAATGTCATTACAAAATGTTGGAATTAAGAGATTGTTGCCTTTTTGAACATAAACAGACACACACACATAGGGCAGTCTTTTTACCGTAGATATTCTCGATGGCCAGAAAATGTAGATTTATAGACATGATTATTCTGATAGGAAGTATCGATAGTTCTTTGTCTTGAAGAAATGTGAAAGGGACTATCGTCTTAATTTGAAGGGAACCTCTAATTCAAGAGGGGCAACGGTATCATTGAAACCTTAATCTGATCAATATTGCTCGAATAGTGTTTTATTTTTGATAATTTCTCTATTGTCTTTGAAGCAAGAAATACGTTAGTCAGTTTCAAAAACAAAAATGTATATTTTTATTTCATAATTGATTAGACAACGATTCTAAGTGTACCGTTGTGAATACGACATGCCGCTCTATCAATTAGGGTCACATGAAATTGAGTTTACAGTCCCTTTGACTTGAGGTAGGCTCACTGCTCAAGAAATTAGTATTGTGTGTATTTTTAAAGTTAAAACTCACTTTTGAGGAATATATTATGTTCAAACAAAAGGAAGAATTAAATTGAAAAATCAGGAACATTGAAAGTTAATTAATTGATTTAATCAACTTTACCTTTAATACGAATTGTAAAGGTCATTGTTCTCACCTGTTCTAGGTTTAAGTATGACAGATTGGAAACTACTTGGCCGACCCCCTCCACGCACACAGGTATATGTCGCTTTCCGGTCAAACCATTATTAATTGCAAATTGATACATCATTTTACTGTTAAACAGTGCTTAGGTTCCGGATCCGTTGAATTCGCAACATTTTGTCTTCCTTGATCCGGATCCGGATCCAAGGGGCAAAATATCAACCGAAGACATGAATGTTGCTCTTGAAACAGAAATTAAAATTTTAAAATAATAATATATTATTACTGGGCTTGCAAAGTTGCAAGGCGTTTTGCGCCCTTATTATATTTATATTGTAAACATTTTCTCTTTATATACATTGTAAAAAAAAAGTTTGGAGACTTTACAAAAAAAATTCTTGGATTTTAAAAATTAAATGTAAATTGAATTTTGTTAGAGGCTGATTTTTGAAATTTTGATCATCCATAAACCTTCCTTGGGATCATGTGAGGTGCCACAAAAAATTGGGCCCAAACGATTCAGCCGTTTTGACCTTTGGGATAGAAACAAACAAACAAACAGACAGAAAATTAAAGTATATTTTTTATTTATAGATTAACAAACATTCCCAATTTTCTGAATGGTTCACGAAGTTTCAGCCAAAAAAAAGAAAGAAAAAAAAAGGAAAAATTGAAAATTTTCATGTTAAAAAAATCATTAAAATGAAAGTTTTTAAAAAAATTAATATTTAAAGCAATGTTTAGGACCTGTATCCGGATCCGGATCTATTTTTTTCAAGGGCGGATCCACTGATCCGGATCCGCGTAAAATTGCAGTGCTAAACTTTACTGAATGTTGACAAATTTTAATTAATAAAATTGAGATAAATTATTTCGAAAATCCACCAAGTAAAGCTGAAAAATCTTCAAAATCGATTGGTATTGCCCATATTTGTGATCTCTTTTTGTCTGTTTGTCCGATCATAACTCAAGAACCCTTTGACCGATTTGCCTCCAATTTTGATTATATGGAACTCAGGAGAACCTTGGGAATGTTCTTAGCTTGGTTTAAAAGTTGAGTGGCTTGACTTTTATAGAGAGAGTTTATTTTCCAGACAAAGTTGGGTCTCTAAGTCTCTTATATAGGAAATCTATTCGCTCATGTATATTTGTTTCTATATATGCTAGCTATAGCTGACCAAACGGCTCGACCAATGAGCTGAAAATTGTTGAGGAAACCCATGTGTGCCCGGGGTGTAACAAAGGCTAAAAAAATTCTCATTTTTTTCCAAAATCGAAAAAATAAAACTTTTAAAATCAACATTTTTGTTTCAAACTTGAAAAATAATTGCACAGCAACGCCAGGCACTTGAGCTAGTTAGTAGTTACATATATATTGTTAAAATTCAGGATGAGTGGATGGTGGAGTTGGATAAATACAAACTCTCTCCTGAATATAAATACAAGAACTTTGATATTACCATGGATCAGTTCAAGTTCATCTGGTACATGGAGTACGGTCACAGGTCTGTACACTCTTCATTAACATGTACACTGTACACTGTACAGTACGATACTACTCATTCTTCTTCTACTTCATTCGATTTTTGAAGAAATTAAAGTTTTTGTTAGTTGATTTACCTTGATGTGCTATAGATTTAAGTTGGTTGTTTGATCTTCGACAATTTGATTTGATTTGATTCGATTCGATTCAATTTGATTCAATTCGATTCAATTCAATTAGATTTGATTTGATTTGATTTGATTTGATTTGATTTGATTTGATTTGATTCGATTCGATTCGATTTTTTTATTAGGATGTGGGGTAGAACTATTGGAGCAGTATTCTATATTCCTGCTGGTATAATGTGGGCCAGGTAAAAGTAATTTTAGTTATAAAAAAATGTAAGATAATATTTATATATTTTTGTAAATAAATATTTGATAACTTTAGAGGAATGTTCTCCCCTGCCATAAAGAAGAGAGTTGCATTTGCTGGTGTTCTCCTGGCTTGTCAGGGATTAATCTGTTAAATTTATATTTTATCAATCTTAAGGGGTATATAAGAAACATTTCAAGATGGCAATACCCGGTTTACAAGGGTACCCTTGAATGCTTTTCCTGAACAAGTATGAATTGGATGTTTTTGTTTCTAAATAAACAATTTTAACTGTTACGCTTACAATCCCTTATCTGGGACTGTCAGAATATTTTCAAGTTCCGATTGTCAACACTCAAATCTTTGTCTGGCTAAAAAAGGATGAAAAATCATTTGTTTTATATTTATATATGCGGATTTATGCAGAAGAGACAACAAATTCGTTTTATCCCGTTTTATGTCATGCTCAAGGTGAATAAACATCTCAATTTTATGTAGAATTTAACAGATAAAATTAACCCAGGGTCTACTAGGATGGTATATGGTTAAATCAGGTTAGATCATTTTTTTATTTTTTATAGAAATCACCTTTTTTTAAATATCATTCACATATTTTTTTAAATCAACTGAAATATTATTATTTCTATGATGAGTCAAAAAGTTTTGATCCTCATTAAGGGCTTTTTAGGTGAAAATTATCTTTATAATAATAACTAGCTTGGGAACCCAGTGTTGCCCGGTTACTCATAGTTACTCCTGCCGTTTACCTGCACTTGGTCGATTTTCCCGCGGGTGACTAAACCCCCACTCCTGAAATGAAATTTACAATTTTTTTACAATTTTTTTGTTTTGTTTCTGATTTAAAATGAGAAAAATATTGTTCAGGATTGGATCATAATAATTTCCTTGGACCGAGTGATGTACCGCGTGTTTCTCAATACCGCCTTGCCGCGCACCTTTCATCAGCTGTCGTTCTCTACTCAGCACTATTTTGGTCAGCTAAGGTCAGTTTTATCATCAGTCGAGAACTGAAGTATGAATGCTTTTTGGTGAAAGCTTACTCGATCTTTAATCTTTGCCTCAAAAGAACTCATGTTGTCGGCGGCAACTTTATAATTTCATTCATGTTTCAGACTTTGACTTTCGGAAGATTATTTTCCCGTCATGTGCTATTTTTATTATTATTTGGTTGAAAGTGCTTGATAGATTTGAAAATCAGCTTAAATAAATATCTGATTGATATTTGATGTATTGATTGATACTTACTTGTTGACTTGAAGTCTTGAATCAAGAAACCCACTGATAGATACTTGTAGATGATTAATTGATAGGTTGATTGATTGATTGATTTGTTGATTAATTGATTTGTTGATTGATTGATAGGTTGACTGATTAAGATTTTTATTGATCAATATGTTGATTGATTGATGTGTTGATTAATTGATAGGTTGATTGATCGATATGTTAATTGATTGATATATAGTTGATTGATAGATTGATTGATTGCAGGATATCCTGCGTCCTGCGCTACAGTTTGATCCAAGCAAGATAACACCTCAGCTTGCAAGGAATAATCTCTGAACCTTAAACCAATTTCAGATAAAAATAATAAAATAAAAGTAAAGTATGTGCATTGTGCAATGTTTGTGCATGGTATGTTTTCATTTTCCTTTAGTTTAGCTCCTTTAGCCTCATTTAGCCATATTTAGATTTTTTACTTCATTTCCGCTGGCGGTCATCGTTTTAAAGAATTGAAAGTTTTTGAATCTGTTTCCTGAAGTTTTCATACAAGCTTGAAGACCTGTCTCCCGACCTGATTTAGATTTATTCACTTTAAGTTTGGGGAGAGGAAGGAGGGGAGTCTGATTTGATTTGATTTAATGTCTTCCCATCAATCAATTTTTGTTCACTAAGTCTTTACTTTTTGTTTCTAAGAAATTAAATCCATCGCAAATTCTAAATATTTTTGTTTTCTTATATTTTCATCTTCTTATGTACACTGAACCAAGTTACAATGTTATATGTCTCACTTTGTAATACCTATAATCAGAGATAATATTTAAAGTTTCCGAAAGCTGGTGATTTCATCGAAAGGATTAGCGTTTATTACTCTTGTTTCTGGTGCATTTGTAGCAGGTAGGCTTATTTGTTTTTAAAAGGGGTTTATGAGAACTCAATGCATTTAGGATATCAGAAAACTTTTCAAATTTGAACTGGTATCGCTATTTAATAGTTGTAGTTACAAGTGACCTTCCATGGAAAGATGGCAATGTCCGGTTTACAACGATACCCTTTGAACCTTAATTTGATAATTAAAAAAATGTGGAAGATGAAGTCGGTTTTCTGACTCAACATGATTTTATTCTGATCTATTGTAAATCAGACATTGTCATTTATGCATGGAGAGTCAGTTGACATTACGCTTACAGTCCCTTTATGTCTACCAGTATCCCAATTCATAAATATTATTTTCATAGATCAATTTGAAATATTTTTATTGATCACTTTTCTATCGGTCAATAGAAAAATAACCTTGCCTTCTTTCTTTTAGGATTAGATGCTGGACTCGTGTATAACTCTTTTCCTAAGTTTGCTGACAGGAATTAAATCAAAATTGTTGAATCCAATCACGTTTTATTTTGAAAAATGCTCTGCGTTTAGTTAAAATGAAATTAGAAGTGTGCCACTGATAAAGTTTTTATTTTTAAAATGCGGAATGATTATTAGAAAGACGGACAGGTGTTTTCGGCTGGATCAATAATTAAATAAACATTGATTGGTCTTGCTATTAAAAATTGATTTAATAATGTATTAGATGGATCCCTGAAGACATTTTGGCACAATCACCTACTCTTAGGCAGGTTTTTTTTAAATAATTATATTCTTCAAGATATCAGATAAACTTTTTAATGTTTTGTGTTCGATCTCTTAAATTTTGTATAACTAAGAATTAATAAAATTGTTACGTTTTAAATAATGATAATGTTTCAGGAATTTTACTGAGAACCCGACAACTGTACAGTTTGATCACAGAGTGCTTGGTACAACCACGCTAGCCTTGCTGTCAGCTGTAGCTGTACAGGCGGCCCGGCTACCCCTGCCCACTAGAATACAATACGCGGCATTTGCTCTAGGTACGGAAACTATCCTTTTATCTTTCTTTAGCTATAAAAAATTATGATTTTGAATCTTTATCTGAAATGCCGACTCTAATTTGATAATCAATATTGCAATCTTAAAGAGACTATCATTGTAATTTCGAGTCAACCCCCCTCCTATTTAGAGAGGGGTTTGTCCGATTAAATGTAAATTAATAATATTGAAGATATTCACGTTTTTCCGGCTTGAAAAGTGTTAAATTCTAATGTCCTCCATTATTTTGAAATTAGAGGGTCTACAGTTCATTTATAGCTTATGTTAATGTTTTTGAATTTTAATTTAATATCAGGAACCATGGGTTGGATACAGGTTGGTCTGGGTATATCCACACTGCTCCTGTACGTCCCTGTACCGGTCGCAGCAGCGCATCAAAGCGGGGCCCTGGTCACCCTCTCCCTAGCAATGTGGTTGGCCCATGAAGCCAAGTTTCTCAAAGTTTTGAAGAAATTACCAAAATAATATATTTCTCATAACTTCCTCGATCACCAGAAGTGTTTAAACAACAGAGAAGAAACCATTTAAAAGAATAGACTGGTGAAGAACAAAGAAACCAAAAAAAAACAAAACAATTAATTTCTCAAAACAAACAAGGAAGTTCATTTATTAAAATAATAGGCAGGGGTAGATATTTTTTATGAATAAAATTTTGAAAATTTTCCCCCAATTATGAAAATACCTAATCCTGTACTAGAGTTAAGCTTAACGTTTGTCTTGAAATCTTATAAATAGTATTTACTGTGTAACTGGTTAAAAGTTAAAAATTTTTATTTTTGAAATGTAAGAGCACATTCGCTATATTTTTTTTTAAGACATATAAATATTATTAGTAATGATAATAGATGTTCATTACTTTCTAGTAGCTAAAATTATTTTTTTTATGGGGGGGGGGTTTGCCGATATTTTAAGAAATTTTCGTTAAAACATTCATTATTGACTAATATAAATCCTTACCAACTGTTGTAATTGACAGGTTTTTAATTCACATTAAAATCAAGTAGGGTATACATATGACCCCTCCCCCCCTTGTACAACCATTTTAAATTCGTTAAGATTTATAAAATATTAATGTTATGTTGAATTTTTCTGCACTAACGAGTTTTACTCATAAATTCGAAATCAAGGACTCACGGTTATGTAGCTTATTTGCATGTCATTTAAAAGTGTCCAACTCTGAATATTTTTCAGATCAATCAATATATGTACCTGGGTTGACTCCTCTGGTAAGACTAAGCTAAAAGATGACCGCGAGGCTGGGACGAGTCTTTGTTGGATCATGTAAGTTCCACTTCTATCCCTAAACTCTAGGGAACTTTTAAACTTGAATTTAGATAACCCTTTATGTAAAAGATGTAATGCCTGATTCACAACGATTTCTAATATTTTTTTTCAAGAACGTGGTAGACATTGTAGTTTTTCTAGGTTTAAACGTGGTAGACATTGTAGTTTTTCTAGGTTTAAACGTGGTAGACATTGTAGTTTTTCTAGGTTTAAACGTCTTGAATTCTGATAACTGTTGTATGTTTCCTGCAGTAGAGTAGCCACAATTGAAAACAATCAGAATTCAATAATATAAACTTTAAAATCCAATTCATAATCGATCATACAAAGATTTTAAGGATAATGATGTGAATCGGGAAGGTCATCTTTGCATGGAGGATCACTTGAAAAACCCCCTGACAGTTCCTTTGAGTTACCACTCTAAGGGGCTGAAGACGTAGTGTGGTGTATCAGTTTTACACTGGTACTCTTTTATCTTATTATGGATGAATGAGATATCCATTATCTGTCTTGCTAAAATTGGTTAATTTTTATATTTGTGTTTCTCTGTATAAGGGAATTGCACGCTTTAAAATAGCAAAAATTTAAACTTTTTTTAAGAAAGAAAATGACGATATCTTATTCATTGTTTTTCGGATAAAGGTTTAAAAGGCACAGTTGTGGTATGATAACCCTTTATTTAATGGAGATTTGATTGATAGTTTGCCTACAGTCCAANCAATCTAAATAGATTTTCAATTAATCAAACCCAAACACAAGCTAATTTAATAATAAAATTAATCCAAACAATGGTTATTAAAATCGGGAAACCAATTTATCTAAACCATTTTTAACCAAATCATCCAAATAAATCAGTTTTTGTCTAATTTGTCCACAGTAAACCTGTGAATGGGTAATAAGAGTACTTGATGTTAATCATTGATAAACAAACAAGGTATTTTCTAATTTCCTCAAGGTTGGTTTGTTTAGAACCAGTTATGCTGTCACAACACACTACACGGTGAAACCCCGTGAAAAAGACCCTAGATGGGAGGGAGTGGAGATGGAAAGGTAATGATTAATTGATCGATTGATTGATTGATTGAATAGACGATACAATAATTAATTGATCTATTTAGTTGATGGAAAGGTATTATACAATAATTAAATGATCTATTTAGTTGATGGAAAGGTTTTAATTGATTAATTGAATAGATGATACAAAGATTTATTGATCTATTTACTTGATGGACAGGGATTGATTGAATGATTGATTGATTAAATAGACTATACGATGCTTAATTGATCTATTTAATTGATGGAAAGGTATTTATTGATTAATTGAATAGGTGATACAAAGATTTATTGATCTATTTACTTGATGGACAGGGATTGATTGAATAATTGTGTAGTTGATTTATTGATTGATTGATTGATTGATTGATTGATTGATTGATTGATTGAATAGATGATGCAATAATTAACTGATCCATATAAGTGATATTAGATTGATTTATAATTAGCTGTATGTTTCTGATTTGATTGATTTTCGATCAGCAAAATAATTGTTGTTTAATTTATTGATTAATTTATAGATTAAATAATGAAAATTTGATTAAGCTCTATGATAATTCAATGAATAGAGTGTAGGCAATTTGATGACTTATGTTGGTTGTGAAGGGGGGGGATACTTTTGGGGAATTATAGTATTCTCTAAAAATATTGTTATTATAAAGCTTTAGATGCGTTGAGATTCATCTTTAAAGAAAAATTTTAATCCTTCTGAAATTTAAAAAAGAAAATTGCTTGCATTAAAGCAAATGTACTTATATTTATTCAGGGTTACCGACAGAGGATAAGACTGTACTGATTTTTTAAATTCTCTTTTTACATTCAATGTTCCCTACAGGCTAAAACTAGCTTCTTATTTTATTTCCATTAAAATTTTTCGTACAGAAAACAAAATTCAAGCTTAAAGGGACTGTAAGCGTAATTTCATGTGGTTCTTCTTGTAAAAAGGTTAATGCCGGATTAACAACGGTATCCTTTAAATCTTTGTGTGTTCATCTAATAAAGAGATATGTGTGTGTAAACTAATCGAACCCCGCTTGTATTCAGCTGCAATTTCCTGTGTGCGTGACGTACACAACGAACTCAACACGTGGCACACTGGAAACTGCAGCTGAATACAAGCTGATTTCAATAAGTCGAACTATGGACTGAAGGGTCACTTGAAATTACGTTTACAGTCCTTTTAAGATCGTCATAATCTAAGAGATGTAAATCTCCTAAATGGTAGGCTCTTTAAGACTAAAACTACGACCTGCTTTCAAACTTTTAAAAACGTGATTTTTACTCCCCCAAATTTTGAATGGATTTTTTTTCGGTTGCATTAGTTTACTGTTTAAGACAATTCGTGATTTCGTTACCTCTTTATATTAAATCGGGTTTAGCAGCGAAATTTCGACTTCAGGGAGAAAGGAAAAACGATTTCTAAAATTCGTTCTTATATTCGTTATGGTTTCTATTCATGGTAACAATTTAAATTTCTTTCAATTGTATATTTAAAGTTAAGTTTAACTGAATTAACTATCTAGATATGCAGACGAGGCAGATGTTGTAATAGTTGGTGGAGGTCCAGCAGGAATGTCCGCCGCCATCCGCCTTAAACAGCTTGCTAATCAGGTAAATAAGACAGCGGAATATCCGCCTAAAACAGCTGGCTAATCAGGTAAATAAGACAGAGAGGAATATCCGCCTTAAACAGCTGGCATATCAGGTTAATAAGACAGAGAGGAATATCCTTAAACAGCTGGCATATCAGGTTAATAAGACAGAGAGGAATATCCGCCTTAAACAGCTGGCATATCAGGTTAATAAGACAGAGAGGAATATCCTCCATAAACAGCTGGCATATCAGGTAAATAAGACAGCGGAGTATCCGCCTAATATAGCTTGCTAATCAGGTAAATAAGAAAGCGGAAAATCCGCCTAATATAGCTTGCTAATCAGGTAAATAAGACAGCGGAATATCCGCCTAAAACAGCTTTTTAATCAGGTAAATAAGACAGAGAGGAATATCCGCCTTAAACAGCTAGCTAATCAAGTTAATAAGACAGAGAGAAATATCCGCCTTAAACAGCTGGCTTATCAGGTCAAAAAGACAGAGAGGAATATTTGCCTTACATACTTTCTCAGTGTGCCCTATCTTTGAACATTTTGAGCACCTCGCTAATCTATAGCAGGAATCAGCATTGTGACCACTTCTATTGCATTCTGTGCAAACTAATCTTTCTTTGTCCTGTTTATCTACCCTATCTGGTTCTACAGCTTCAATCATGTTATACACTCTCTCTTTTCCTTTCTTTAATAATTCTTGATCACTGTCAGTTCTGTAACGGTGTACAAAATTTATTATAAGAGGTACAGGAGGGTATGTCTTATGTACACTTTCAAACTGATCTGTGTAATCACGTAAGCGCCATTTAACCCTTTCAGGGAGGATCAAGTCCATGGAGAACAATAGCAATTGGCTTTCCTGTTCTTTGCTCTTTCCACTTAAACCTATCAAACGTAGTATCTCTTCGAGATAAGTTCTAAGTGAACTGAACTTATTTTTTGTACACTTCATAATTTCTGATAAAGCGGACAAGCGACTTTCAGACATGTCATAAAGGTTTTAAAGGTTTGCATACAAACTCTTCAGGGAGTCGGTACGATGTAAGTTCATAACTGACCTAATATTCGGAGCTAACCTTCCTAACAAGAGAATCTCAAACTCTTTTTCACTTATTTGAAAATCTAGTGATTCAACTAAAGAGTTCATACTTCGTAAGAAATCACGCACAGAATATGAATCCCCATTTGTGAAAGTCGGTACTGTGGAAAAAATCCTCTGCAATTTTTGAAATCTATCCAAGTCTGTCCTTTTACTAGTCTTTGAAAGACAGTTCTCTGGCGGCGTAATTCCATGATTTACTTTGCAGCCAAACATAATTTGAGTTGGATCAATCTTATCCTTATCTTTCTCCTGACTGTACTTATCAAAAAGATTTCGTATTGCCTTTTCTAACACTTCTCCGCTTACTTCTTTTTTGTCTAAATGTGAAGTAACTTCTCCTAGCGCTCTAATGCGTTCTTCCGCCTCCCCAAACGTGTCCCCAATAAATTCTTGACTATCTGATCTACTTATTCCACTCTTCCCTGAATCTGCTGACTTACTTCTAATTTTTCCCAACATTGTAAACGCAAATTATACTAACTATATTAGTGTACAAATAACAATACCAAGAATCCTGTGAAATCTCTGTTAACACAGCACAACGGGTTTAGTTGAGATGAATTACACTAAACCCACGTACTGAATCAAGGTCGACACACAGACTTCTCAAACGTAGAACAAACATATATTCATAATCAATATTCATTAAACATATAAACATTTACCCCGGAACCCAAGTTGTTCTCCGTCTACACAAACAACAGAATCAGTTGATTAAACACTGAATCCTATTATCTGAGTAAAGTTCAAAGCTTAGATTCCATCAATCATCTCCACAGCAGCAACACAGAATCATATCCTCGGATTGCAAAAAATCTACGTTCCACTGAACACGCATCGCCAACTGACTAAAACAGCTTGCTAATCAGGTAAATAAGACAGCGGAATATACGCCTAAAATAGCTTGCTAATCAGGTAAATAAGACAGCGGAATATCCGCCTAAAACAGCTTCATAATCAGGTAAATAAGACAGAGGGGAATATCCGCCTTAAACAGCTGGCTTATCAGGTTAAAAAGACAGAGAGGAATATTCGCCTTAAACAGCTGGCTTATCAGGTTAATAAGACAGAGAGGAATATTCGCCTTAAACAGCTTGCTAGTCAGGTAAATATGACAGAGAGGAATATCCGCCTTAAACAGCTGGCTTATCAGGTGAAAAAGACAGATAGGAATATTCGCCTTAAACAGCTTGCTAATTAGGTTAATATGACAGAGAGGAATTTCCACTGATTTCCGCCTAACACATCTAACCAATCATGTGAAACTAATTTCTTTTTCTTATACTCTTCAAGTTAATTACATTTTGACATATTGAACCATATTGTCAGGATATTACATTCTGCAAAAATGTTTTGGATAAGTATGTTAACATTTTATGTATATTTATACATTTTAAATCCATGAGATCATTGATCTTATACGACGACGACTTGTACACTGTACAGACAGTGTACACTTTACAGACAGTGTACACTGTACAGACAGTGTACATTGTACAGACAGTGTACACTGTACCAACAATTAAAAATATATAAGTTTCTGACATATTTACTAACCATGCCTGAAACGGTTCAGAAAATACAGTTCTCTCTCTCTGATCCTTCATCTTAGAGCTGTATTAATCAAATAAAACTATATTCACTTTGTGCTCATACAGAATACAAAATAGAGGATTATACAATAGTCAGTGTCCATATCATATAAATGATATGGAAGGGTGGGGGGGGGGGGTGGTATTCTTTTTTCAATAAAGGGGATAAGGGTGGTCTCTAAGAGAGTAAAATGAACAAGATAAACACTCAGAGAAGGTATTTCTCCAAAGGTGTTTTTCTGAGTTTGATTAAAATCTTTCCTTGAAGTGTTTTGTACACAATGGTTGATACCAAAACAACCTCTCCTTTGTCTAATGAGAAATAAAATATCTCTCTTATAAAAATTAAGTTTTTGTTTTTCATCTGTGATAGCCAGGAATTTTAAGAAAGATCCAATTTCAGCTAGGAATGTCTCCTAAATTCCCTGTTTTTAAAACCTCATGTTAAGACTGAGAATGTTTCCGGTCCCCTCTCTAAAAACTACCAGTTTAGGCTAAGAATGTCTTTAAAATCCCGGTTAATCTTGAAATGTAGTTTTAAATCCCGTTCAAGGCAGAGCATGTATCTAAAAAACTATGTTTATGTCTGGTATGTCCTTAAAAAAACTGTTACTGTCGGAAATGTCGTGAAAATGCCTGTCAAGGCTGGAAATTTCTTTAAAAATCCTTATTTAGGTCGGGAATGTATCTAGAAACCCCTATAATGCCAAATTTGTATCTCAAAATCCCTGTTTAGGCTGGGAAGTGGGAATGTATCTAAAACCCCTGGTTAATGCAAGGAACGGATCTAAAATCCTCGGCTTATGCAAGGAATGTCTCTAAAAACCCCAATTAATGCAAGGAATGTCTCTAAGGTCTCATATTTACGCCGGGAATGTATTTAAAACCCCTGTTAATCCAAGGAATATCTCAAAAATCCCATATTTAGACGGACTGAATCTAAAAAAAAAACACGGTTATGCAAGGAATGTCTCTTAAAGCCCATATTAATTCAAGGGATGTATCTAAACAAAAATTATTTATTCAATGAATGTCTCTAAAAACCCATATTTAGGCCGGGAATATATCTTAAAACCTGGACTAATGCAAGGAATGTCTATAAAACAAAAGTTATTTATTTAAGGAATGTCATAAAAAATCCATATTTATTCAAGGAATGTTTCTCGACACCTTTATATACTCAAGGAATGTCTCTCAAAAATCCTATTTATTCAAGAAATGTCTTTGAAAACCCATATTTTATACGAAATTTTTCTTAAAACCAAAATTTAGGCCGGGAATATACCCGGGCTAATGCAAGGAATGCCTCTAAAAAACTATTTTAGGCCGGGAATGTATTTAAAACCCCGGGCTAATGCAAGGAATGCCTCTAAAACCCCATTTTTAGGCCGGGAATGTATTTAAAAACCCGGGCTAATGCAAGGAATGCCTCTAAAACCCCATTTTTAGGCCGGGAATGTATTTAAAAACCCGGGCTAATGCAAGGAATGCCTCTAAAAACCCATATTTAGGCCGGGAATGTATTTAAAAACCCGGGCTAATGCAAGGAATGCCTCTAAAACCCCATTTTTAGGCCGGGAATGTATTTAAAACCCCGGGCTAATGCAAGGAATGTCTCTAAAACCCAATTTTTAGTTCGGGAATGTATTTAAAAACCCGGGCTAATGCAAGGAATGCCTCTAAAACCCCATATTTAGGCCGGGAAGGAAGAATTTCGAGTTTGTGTTATTGAAAAATCCGCTACAGTTGGAGGTCATATATTATCAGGTAACGTTATTCTTGTTTTCATTTTACCCTCGTCTCCCTTTTCAGAAAATAATTTATAATCTTTCAGTTGAAGTTTATCGTGCTTTTTAAAATATTTCTCCTTAAAGTAAATGTTAAAATTGATTTATAAGAAGATTTATTTTGAATTTTTACAAGATTTTCGTTTTCCATTTTTTAATTGATAGTTATTTATCTTTTTTATTTTATTATTATTAGGGATTTTAGTTTGAATTCAATGAGTGACATCTACGATAAACAATGGAACACTGATTATTTCGTTTGCACGCCAATTACGTATAAATCATCGTTTTTCCATTCATGACTAAATAAATTTCCGCCACTTTTTGTACTTCTGTTCATAAGAATCTCATTTAAGAAATAAGTGGGGGAGGGTGCAGTCCACACTTTTAATGGTCAGAGGTCATCTCTATCATCGATTATTGTAAATTTGTAAATCACCATGAATTTTGTTACCTGAATTTTAATGAACAAATTTCGGCCGATAATTAGAAACGCTTTTAAGAGCCTTAATTGCGGTCGCTTAAAATTCCGTTAAAAATCCCTCAATCTCTTATCTAGGAGCCTGCCTGGATCCTAAAGCTTTGAATGAATTGATCCCTGATTGGGCGGAGAAGAAAGCTCCTCTAAACACTCCAGTAACTGAAGACAAGTTTGCTATTCTCACAAGCAAGGAAACGGGGCATTCTTACCATCATACTTTTATAATTTCATAATTCTTATATAATCTTCATAATTCTTCAAAATTTCAGAATTCTTAATAATTTTGATAATTCTTTATAATCTTCATTATTCTTTATAATTTTATAATTCTTTATAATCTTCATAATTCTTCAAAATTTAATAATTCTTTATAATTTTCATAATTCTTTATAATTTTCATAATTCTTTATAATTTCCATAATTCTTTATAATCTTCGTAATACTTTATAATCTTCATAATTCTTTATAATCTTCATAATTATTTTTAATTTTCGTTTTTCTTTAATCTTTATAATCTTCACAATTCTTTATAATCTTCATAATTCTTCATAATTTTATAATTCTTTGTAATTTCATAATTCTTTATAATTTCATAACTTTTTAATTTTCATAATTCTTTATAATCTTCAAAATTCTTTCAAATAATTCTTTAAAATCTTCATAATTCTTTTTAATCTTCATAATCCTTTAAATCTTCATAATTCTTTACAATCTTCATAATTCTTTACAATCTTCATAATTCTTTATAATTTCATAATTCTTTATAATCTTCATAATTCTTTACAATCTTCATAATTCTTTACAATCCTCATAATTCTTTATAATTTCATAAATCTTTATAATTTCATAATTGTTTATAATTTCATAATTCTTTATAATCTTCATAATTCTTTATAATCTTCATAATTCTTTATAATTTTATTATTTTTTATATTTCATGACTTTACTTTTATTTTATTTTTTTTAACAGTGGTTTTAAATTTGCAAAATTCGATAACTGTCATTTGTTTTTTTAATGAAACATTTAAAGATACATTTTCATTTTAGCTTATTTCAAGTTTCTTTTTGGTCTGAAATAGCCTTCTCAAATATGATTTAAATTTAAGGATTTTTAGTTAATAAATCTGTATTTCGAAGTTCAAGTTGTGCAGTCTGAATCTGAATCTGAATTTTATTTTTCTTGTCTCAAGCATTTTTTCATAATTTTAATTTCTCCATGATAGTATAATTTGCCTTGTACAGGCCCGTATCCCTGTGCCTATCCTGCCTGGATTTCCTATGCACAATCATGGAAACTATATTGTCAGGATGGGACATTTTGTACAGTGGCTCGGAGAGCAGGTATGTTGGCCTTTTTTCTTTTCTTTTTCTTATAAACTTTTTATCTCTTTTTTCTCTTGGTTTTGTCATGTGCTTTCTTCATGTCTGTCAAGTTTCTTTTCTTGATTCTCTTGATTGATTTTCTTGATTTTTTATCAAATTTTTTCCGTTGAAGTGACTGTGAAGGAAAAATGAAAGGGAGTACAGGCTGCAACCTAAGCATTTTAGGAGTTGATCCGAGACCCATAAGAGAGTCATATCTGATGTTCCTGTCTCAAGAAATTTATATCAAAATGCGTCAATTTTATTCAAAAATTTATATAAATATATAAAATGTTGTATAAAAATCGTAGGTTCACACAGATCATATTCAGCAAATACGCAATCAATCTAAAACAACGATATTCCAGAAGAACCTGAAAATAGGAGGTTGCTCCTATTATCAATAATATCTATTAAAAATGAAAAAAATTAAATAAAATAATAATAGGAGCCAATTTAGGTTGTTTAGGCTCCTGTGGGACATCGTTATTTTGAGATTGGTTGTAAATTTGCTTAATATGATCTGTTAAAACCTACGATTTTTTTACAAAATTTTAAATATATAAATTTTCGTATAAATTTGACTCAGTTTTAAATCAATTTCTCGAGACAGGAACATCTAATAGAACTCTTATGGTTCTCGATCAACTCCTGAAATGTTTACAGTCCCTTTAATGGGAAAAAATTCTTCCGATTAACTCAAATATTTTATGCTTTCTTCTTTTTCCCAATTCTTGTTTTAGTTTTCATGTATAGATTTCTATTCCAATGTATTTTTTTATTTATGTTTATGTCTTTCTTTTTCCTCTCCTCCCCTCATATCCTTATTCTCACTTAGCCAATAATCTTCCTTTCAGTTTCATCATTCTAACTTTGCTTTTAATTTTCTGTCATTTTTATGTGTGGTGTGTATCATTTAAAACAACCCTTATCGGCTAGATTGGTCCTAAATAATGTATTGTATGTAATATGTATGTTGAAAACAATTTAAAAAATGATTTCTTATTTTTGAAAAAGTAAAACATAAATAAATAAATAAATATATAACTTTTGGTACCTTTCTGTTAATCTGATTTTGAAACATTCGTTAATCCTTTTTACCCTCTATATATATATATACTCTGTCCGTCTGGGTGTTTTGGTGTTTGTTTGTTTGTTTGTTTGTTTTTAACCAATAAGCGTTAAAACGGCTGAACGGATCGGGTCCAAATTTTTTCTGGGGCCTCACATGATCCAAGGGAAGATTTATGGATGGTTAGAATTTACAAAACTTACCTTTAAAAATTTCGATTTTTCAAAATCCACGAAAAAAGTTAAAATCAAAGTTTGCCGCGAAGCGCCCTGATAGCCTAGTTGATATTGATTTTCACTACCTTTGTTTAGGCTGAGAGCTTGGGAGTTGAAATATATCCTGGGTTTGCTGCCTCTGAGGTTCTCTACAACAAGGACGGTTCTGTAGCGGGAGTTGCCACCAACGACGTTGGAATAGCCAAGGACGGAAGCCCGAAGGAGAGTTTTGAGCGCGGCATGGAGTTCCGCGCCAAGTGTACAGTATTCTCCGAGGGATGTCGAGGACATCTTAGCAAGGGGGTCATGAAGAAGTTCGATTTAAACAAAGGTTTGATAGATATTGCAAAATCTTTATTTGAACGTATTTAAACAAAAGTACAAATTCAATAAAACCTAAACGTTTTATTTAATCTTGTGTGTCTTAAACATGAGGTCACTGTACATTTTTGGGTAATCAGATAAATAGTAAAACTGATATCAGAACTCTAACTCATTTTATCAAAAGTAATTTTTTCACAAAAAAGAAATGTTCAGTGGAATAAATGTCGCTTTTTAGAAGCAAAATCAAATAGATAAAAAAAAAAACATTATAATTTTGATTTTACCCGACAAAGTATAAGACATCTAATCATAAATAAATGAATTTTGTCATGTCTGATTGATGCATGTAATATTGATTGTCATTTATAAGAATTTAGTATTTATTTAAAGCATGGAAGGATCAATATGTATTTCATATATGTAGTGCTGGTAAAAAAATGTTTTTTAAATCATTTGGTTATAGCAGAGTTTTCTTTTAAATATCCCGATTACAAGGAAGAAAATGAAAAATGCGGATCGCCTAGAATAAGTCTTCTCCCTAGGGTGTAAACCCCGTGGATACGTTGTTTCGGCGGTTATGAGCGCCGACCCCTATTTCATTGAATGATGGGTTGTCCTTTAATAATAATAATAATAATTTGTCTAATTTTAATAAAAGCTTTTCCTAAATGAGCCCCGGCCACACCAAGATTTGTTGAAAAAAAAAATCTAAAAATAAAAGCTATTTTCTCTCTATTCTTGCACATTAATTTTTTTGCTCTATCAGGGGAAAATTTAATTTTATTAATTTCTTTTTGATGCCATTACAGTGTTAGAATTTGAAAATTTGTTTTGAAATTGACGATAATAATTGAAAGATTATTGTTTGGGGAAGGTTCGGAAGCCCTATGGGGACACTTAATGCCTCAAATAGGTAAAATGAGGTTCTGAAGCTGTGCGTTGGAGGTTGCCTGCCCTCTCTCTTGGAACTAGGATGTCATTAGCGTCTGATTTGATTTGTATTGGTTAGGACCGAAAGTGTCTACTGCATAATTTAAAGTTATATCGTTACAAAGTAGAAGATCCTTAGCGACGTTTTTAATCTAAGCACTGAATAAAGACGACTTTAATTCCACTTATGCTTGTTTTTGAAAATTATTTTTTGTTAAGATAACCAGGATCAGATCTACGGAATTGGAATTAAAGAGCTTTGGCAGGTAGATAAGCAAACCTTTCTTAAAATTGTTTAACCTGTTTTTTAAACTCGTTTTACAAGCATTAAAAAATTCCATGAAGCTAACATTGAAATCTGCATACAAAAATTACAGGTTTTTTGAGAATTCCCTGCTGTTGTTCAAGGATATACAATACAGTATACACCAAACAGAAATCTTAAAAATATCACATATTTGAGATATTAAAGTTTAATTGGAAAAAATATGTAAGATGTGTCCGATTCACAAGAATGAGATATTATTTTTTTAGCTTAAAACTTAAAAGTTGGTTAAAATTGACTCATGGATGATGCAATAAATGATGCAATTGTTAAATAACTTGTCAGAACAACAAGATCTTCCAGATTATTACTCAGATAAATGTTACAAGTGTACCGTTGTCAATCCGACATGTTACAAGTTAAACTGAGGGTCAATTAGAATTAGGTCTAAAATCTTCTAAATCTTGTATTTCAAGGTTGACCCTTCTAAACACAGGCCTGGTCGTATAGAACACACAGTTGGATGGCCGCTACCTGATATAAAAACATACGGCGGGTCATTCCTCTACCATCTTCAAGAGGTTAGTCGCTTAGTCGGTCACCGATTAACTTAGTTACTCATTTAGTCATTTATTTATTCGAGTATTCATCCATTGATTTACCTCGTAATTTATTCATTTAGTCAGTTACTTATGAGCCATTTAGCCATTAAGTTAAGAACTAAATATTTAACCATTTTGTTATTTATAAACAATTTGCAATTATGAATTTATCATGTATCATAGTAGTAGTTTAAATAACTTGGATGTATGAAAAGTCTGAGCTGTTATATTTTGTTTTTCTTCTTCTTTCTTTTATTCTAATTATTTTAACAATTTGATTGTATCATGATGGTTATCATTAACTTATTAACTTTTTTTTATAAATTTATTTAATTTTGGTTTTTGTTGTAAAATTAATTATGTTTAGGATAACTTGGTCGCTGTTGGTTTTGTTATTGGACTAGATTATTCTAATCCATATTTACATCCTTTTAAAACCTTCCAACAATACAAAACTCATCCTTCCATAGCGCCAATATTCGAGGTAAGGTTCGAATCGACCCTCACACAAAATGAACATGTTCTTGGGGCCACACATACATAAAATAAAATAAAGCATCATGGTGTCCCAATAAGCATGGAAATTCAGCAACGACTTTGAAATCATTTATTCATCTAAAATTCAATCTAAAAACTATGATAACCCCTACTTCAACTACAGATCACCTCGGGATATCAAAAAAATGTGCTGCCTAAACTTAACACTATATAGTATACAGGGTGATCCAATGAACATCATGATATTTTGGAAATCCTATGGTTATATTAAATAAAGCTTTTCGCTCATATATAAATATACATCTATATATAAATTTGGCTTGTCTGTCTGTCTGTTTGTTTGTTTGTCTGTCTGTCTGTTTGTATCCAATAAACGTCAAAACGGCTGAACCGATCGGGCCCAAATTTTTTGTGGGACATCTAGGGACCCCAGGGAAGGTTTATGAATGATTGAAATTTTAAAAATTTGTGTTTTAGAGGTTTTAATTTTGTAAAAAAAAAGCCTAGAAATTAGGGCGCGAAGCGCCTTGAATTTCTAGTTATACATATATTTGTATCTATAAATGTTAGCTATTAAAGAAGGAACCAGAATAGGATACAGAGCAAAGGCCCTTAATATTGAATTATTGAATGAGGAACCAGAATAGGATACGGAGCAAGGGCCCTTAATATTGAATTATTGAATGAGGAATCAGAACAGGATACAAAGCAAGGGCCCTTAATATTGAATTATTGAATGAGGAACCATAACAGGATACGGAGCAAGGGCCCTTAATATTGAAGTACTAAGGAAGGAACCAGAATATGATTCAGAGCAAGGGCCCTTAATATTGAATTATTAAAGGAGAAACCAGAATATGATACTGAGCAAGGGCCCTTAATATTGAATTATTAAAGGAGGAACCAGAATATGATAAAGAGCAAGGGCCCTTGATATTGCATTATTAAAGGAGAACCAAAATAGGATACGGAGCAAGGACCCTTAATATTGAATTATTGAAGGAGAACCAGAATATGATACGGAGCAAGGGCCCTTAATATTGAATTATTAAAGGAGGAACCAGAATAGGATACAGAGCAAGGGCCTTTAATTTTGAACTATTAAAGGAGGAACCAGAATATGATACAGAGCAAGGGCCCTTAATATTGAATTATTAAAGGAGGAACCAGAATAGGATACAGAGCAAGGGCCCTTGATATTGCATTATTAAAGGAGAACCAAAATAGGATACGGAGCAAGGACCCTTAATATTGAATTATTGAAGGAGAACCAGAATATGATACGGAGCAAGGGCCCTTAATATTGAATTATTAAAGGAGGAACCAGAATATGATACAGAGCAAGGGCCCTTAATATTGAATTATTAAAGGAGGAACCAGAATAGGAGACGGAGCAAGGGCCCTGAATATTTAATTATTAAGGGTGGAACCAGAATAGGATACGGAGCAAGGGCCCTGAATGAAGGTGGTGTACAATCTATACCTAAGCTGACCTTCCCGGGAGGTTGCCTAGTGGGCTGCGCTCCAGGTAAATAATAAAACATCATTGAAAAAAACAATGAATGAAAAAATCGAAAGAGAAAATTTTATAAAAAAAATACTTAATAATTTGTATAAGTTCAATGAAGGTAGGCGCATTTTATACTTGGTCGGTATTTTGTCATCTTTGTTCCAAGAATATTGTAATTGTAAACTCGTTCTGTACACAGATACATGGATTTTAGCAATAAACGTTATCTATCTATCTATCTATCTATCCATCTATCTATTGCATCTAGCTCTTGAGTTTTGGGTTCAGATACCCTAACAAAACAAAACAATAAATTAACCGAAATCTCTTCCTTTTTTCATTAATATGTTAAACAAACACCCATTTATATAATGATGATTTTTTTATAATATAGAATATGTTTTACTTGTATTGATCAGATTTCTTTTTTTCCCCCCTCATTTTCTCCAAAAAAAATTGGACTTTTTTAGATGAATTTTTTCACTTTAAAAGAAATCTAAATATTTTTTTATTTCTGCTTTGTCAAAAAGCTTGTTCTGTCTAGAAATAACCATCGTATCAAACAAAGTTCGCTAATTTTCATAAAGTTACATACAACATTTTGGCATTACCACATTTTATAAACTTCATGGACTTAAATTTTCTCTGTTTCTTGAAGGTTTCGCCGATTATAACAGCACTGCGAACCAACATAATGAGTTATTAATAGATAAAATGGCATAAAATCGTCTAATTTTTTTATGAACTAATATGAGTATATTTATTATTATATCATATCTGTTTGTTTCCACAGTAGTAAACCTATTGTGTAAGAATTCCCATTATTACATGGTTTAGGAGAAAAATTTCAATATTCTTCCTATCATTTAAGAATGCTTATTATTACGGTGTAGATGTAGTAATTTTCATTCTGTATCGCTCAGTCCGTGTAAGAATGGAAATTATTGCACGGTCAGAGCGTGACAGAGATGTCCTCTCACCCCACAAATATGATTTGTTTTGTTAAGAAATTTTCGTTCAAGAATTTTCATTATAACACTTTTTTCTTTTAGTAGTATCTACGCCTGAAATTATTATAAGAGTTTAACCAAGAACTTATCGAACGAATTTATGAAATGTCGCCTTGACAATTTTTCAATGCGTTTCACTTTTATCCTTAAATCTCAGTAATTGTAAAATAAAATTGTGGGAACAGTTCTAAAGAGCTTCATATAAGTTTTCAATTAAACAACTAAATAATTGCAGCATTACGTATATAGCAGGTTAAGAAAGTGAAATTTTATTTATTCTTTCGATGTTTCCAAAGTACCAGGTTAAACTGTAGGATAAATAATGTATTAACCCTAGGGTTTATGAACGTGCCTAAGATTAAAGGAACCCACTACGCTATGAAGAGTGCTATGCTGGCTGCGGAGGCTATTTGGGACAAAATAGAAGCCGGAGACTCAAGCACTCTAGGTATAGTTAAATTTGCAGATTTTAGCATGTTTGCCAGTTTTCTTATCAAATTGCATTTTTATCCTATGTATTAAAGGAGACGCAATTTTCTTTTGCTTTTCAATGTATCAGGGGCGGAAATAGGGATGAATATTAAATCAATGGCTTACCCCTGGAAAATTGCCCCCACTCCCTAATGCTTGAGGGGGGGGGGGAGCTACAGAAAATAGACAGAACAATCTGAGTTGGCTCACTTCTGGTTAATTCCTGTATTTAAGTTAAAAAGGAAAATTTTATATTTGCAGTTACATTTTACTTTTATAGATTAAAATTGTGTTTATTTCAAGTCTGATATTCGTATATTTATATAAATTGTAATTGTTCATATTTAAGGTCTGATATTCGAATATTTATATAGATTTTAATTGTTTTTATTTCAAGTCTGATATTCGAATATTTATATAAATTGTAATTGTTCTTATTTAAGGTCTGATATTCGTATATTTATATAGATTAAAATTGTGTTTATTTCAAGTCTGATATTCGTATATTTATATAAATTGTAATTGTTCTTATTTAAGGTCTGATATTCGTATATTTATATAGATTAAAATTGTGTTTATTTCAAGTCTGATATTCGTATATTTATATAAATTGTAATTGTTCTTATTTAAGGTCTGATATTCGAATATTTATATAGATTTTAATTGTTTTTATTTCAAATCTGATATTCGAATATTTTTATAGATTAAAATTGTTTTTATTTCAAATCTGATATTCGAATATTTTTATAGATTATAATTGTTTTTATTTCAAATCTGATATTCGAATATTTTTAAAATTCACTTAAAGTGCATTTTCTTAATTATAATTATATTCTAATAAAATCAAACGTTGAAATAATTCTCTTACTTAAAGAAAAGTCTCTTGATTAGTTCTTGAAAGTATGAAAAGAAATAAAAATCAAATTTCTGAAAAGAATTAATGATTTTAAACAAGGTATTGAATTTTAGAAGAAAGAAAAATATTGTATTTCTTTTTTATTTGTTTCATATTTTACGGAATTGTAAAGTGGTGAAAACTAGTATGATAATTGCTTATTTTAAGTAAAATTTTGACAATTTATTATTATTTAAAAAAAGCTGATTTGTCTCCTGAATTTTTTTCTTTTAACAAAGGTCCATATTTTTTTTATCTACAAAACTGATGCCATAAAAAAAGTTATTATTTGATAATATGTTTGTTATCAACTCTTTTACAGAACTATAGTTTAAATAAAACTACAGTTTTAGGATTGAAAGGCTTTATCTTCTTTCGTAATCCTTTTATCTTTAAAATAAAATATATGTGACAGATAAATTTTATTTAATCTATTTATTCATACATGTCACAATTATATTGGTAAAGATAAAGAACAAAAATAAGACGACTTTCGATTTCAATTTTGATTTATGTCAAGCTTTTAAACGGCATGGATACACGAAAACATGGAAACTTGTAGAAGGTGTCTTTTAAAAAGGCTTCTCTTTACCCCCCCATCGTTTTTTTGCGATAACTCAAAAAGTCTTAGCTAGGTAGCTCAAATTTTCTGGATTCTCTAACTAACCCATGCCCCTAACTTAAGGCTAAAAGCTGGGCGTTTATAACTACTGCCCGAGTCTGCAGGCATTCTGCCTATATGCCTTATTTTACCTATACCAGACTAAATCCATATTTAGACTTACTTCCAGTCATTGGATTTCAACATTTTATAGCTCTTTGGAAAGCCAATAACAAAAGCAAGCAGATTGAACAACTTTTGCAAAGAGATTTTGCACAGACGCCTGTAACGGGAATTTGCACATTTTTAGTTATTCTTGAATACACATTTAGGTTTTACAAATTTTGAAAATGTTTTTTACACATTTGAAATCTTTGGGTCAAGAGGGCTTTTCAAAAATATATAATTTATTGCAATTTGAGAATTTCATTTTGTTGACATTTTTTGCATTTAACAAGATTTCGCAATAAATATTTGGATTTTTGCTAATTTGTCATTTTTTTTGCAGATTATTTAAGTAGAGCCCAAGGGCTTTCCAAAAATGTATCAAATGTTATTGATTTTTATCACAATGAGAAAATAGTGGAGAGGGGGTCAATTTAAGCCCCCCCCCCCCCAGGTAGCCAGTCAGTAAACCAGACGTCAGGCTAAAAAGGGTTAATTGCTAGGTATTGAACCTGCTGTATATGACTCAACTCTCCGCTCCTCCTGGATATATGATGATCTACACTCAGTCAGGTAGTCACAGTTAGTCTTGTCAATTGTTTTGGATTCTTTTCAGAAAAAAAGTTAATAAAACTTCCATGATTTCAAAACTTTATTATATTAAAGTTTGCTTTATTTTAAACCTAAAACAAATAAAGATCCGAAAACGATCATTGCGATATGTTCGTTTTTGCATCGTTTTTGGTAATTTTTTGCATCGTTTTTGGTCATTTTTTGCATCGTTTTTTTGCAAATAACTTCTGCCAAGGTCAAATTTTGACATTGTGTACGCAACCAATCTGAAAACGACGATATCCCAGAGGAGCCAGAAAAACGCAGGGTTGGTTCTTTTTATTTATATTTGATAAAAATTTCATTTTTAATATATTTAATTTATAATATAATTGATACGTCTGTATCACGTGATCAAAATTTCCACAAATGGCAGTGCAGAATCTTTGTCACGTGCCTCCGTCTGTATCAAGTGACAGTGATAGAGCACTGCCATTGGTGGGAGTTCTGGTCACGTGATACGGATGCATCAATTATATCTATTAAAAAAGAAAAATTATTAAATTCAAGTAATAGTAGGAGCAAACCAGTTTATTTCAGGCTCCTCTGGGATATCGTCGTTTTCAGATTGGTTGCGTATTTGCTGAATATGATCTGTTTAAAACTGAGATTATTTTACTAAATCTTATACATATATACGTTTTGGTATAACTTTGACACAGTTTTATATCAATTTCTCCAGACAGAAACATCAAATAGAATTCCCATATGTCTCGATCAAATCCTGAAGTTAAGGGTTCAGCCTATACCCCCTTACATTTTCCCTTTACAGTCCCTTCAGAAGCACAGAAAAAGCAGACTAACATTATAAAAATCCATGACTAGGGGGATTTTAAAATTAGGTTGACGAATTAAAGCCGCAAAATATTTCAAATATCAATTTTATTATATTAGTAGGATATCCTGTATTTGCTTAGAACTCGAAAAACTTAATTTTATTATTTTTCTTAACAATTTAAAAATTTTAATAGAAGATTTTAGTTCATTCTTTTCTTTGATCATTAATTTCTATTCAATTTATAAACCTTTGTTATTAATATCTGAAATTCCAATTTAATCCGTTAAACGAAAAATGAAAAAATTACGCAGTTTTATGAAATCGATTGTTAGATGTTTTTTCAATTGAGGAAAATTTGTCAAGGGGTGGCCATGGAAATACAGAGTAGAGAATATTATAGAGAGGAAAGAAAGAGAGTTCCAAGTGTACATTTCATGTAAATGTTCACAAAGTATGCACACGGCATCACATTAATACACTATGATTCCCGGGAACTCCGTTAAAACTCTTTATTTTGAAGTTGTTAAATTAACTTTAAAATAAGCCATAGCTGAATTAAAATCATTACTTTATTAAAAATTCAAACGGAAAAATGTTGGTTTGAAAAGTAAATATGAATGTTGTTCTAGTGCCATATATGTTTTAAGATCGCGAATGTGTTAAGTACACTTAAAATACGGTAAAAGTACAACAAAAGGATGGTTTTACACTTTTTTCCGACTAAATTTCACTATATTATATTCTTTACGTTGTGTATGAAACTTATGGAATAAAGTTAGAAGAATAAATGGAAAATTCTTGTTATTTAGCAACCCCCTCTAAATAAATGTTCTTGCTATTAATGTGGGGTGGAGGGTTGTTATGAAGATGTTTATAGGTACTTTCAAAAGGGGAAACTACAAGGGTATTTTCCCCTACTGTGCAATTTCCCAAGGAGGCAGCTTCCCATCTCTGCTCAAGCCGCAGCACTCGGCCCCCTAGCCGCAGCACTCGGCCCCCTAGCCGCAGCACTCGGCCCCCTAGCCGCAGCGCTCGGCCCCCTAGCTAAAGCGTTTGGCCAAGTACAGCCTGCAACGCCTTAACCTGTCCTAAAGAAAAATGCCGCTAGGGAAAATGAACATTAGGGGGAAGTTGTCCTCGGGAAAAGGGCTTTGGGAAATTGCCTTACACCTTGATAAACAGACAATAATTTTGTTTATTTTTAGAAATGTAAAGCCTGCTTTCCATAAATTCGGTCTGTATGGAGGACTCATGTATACTGGACTTTTCTATATTGTCGGACGCGGCAAAGAACCCTGGACTTTCAAACACGAGGTACTTGGGACTTTATTTTATACTTGGAACTTTTATGACGATCTATAACTATATAAAAAGTAAGTTTTATAGGTTGGATTTGTTAAATGAAAAAAAAGTTGAATAAATTCCGTACACTCGTCTCTGAAGTCTTATTTTGTTTGAGTAACCCTGTATATAATGAGCTCAGAGAAAATTGAAAATGTTAATAAAATAATTTTCTCAATTTTAATTTCATGTCGTTCACCTCCTCGTTGTTATGTTCTAATCTCGCATGTTCTTTCTAAGGCTACTTAGATGGGAAAAGAGGCTCCAATTACAAAAATAAATAAATCTTGCGTGTAAAATATTGTTGAGAATGTGTGCAGTGTGCGAATAGCAGGAAAAGGGGTATCTGGAGATGTATAACAAATCTTGTTTTGTTATACTTTTGTAAGCTGAATTGAAAACAGTTACGTTGCGAATCTTCGTCTCAAACAGTTATCTGTACCTTGTGCAGTCCTACCACAGAGTAGATATTTTTAGAGGTTCAGTGTACTGAGTACAGCAAGCAAGCTGAGCAAAACTGTACAATTTTAGAAAAATTAGGGGTTGTTTGTGTACATGTCTTGAAAACAAGTTATTCCATTGCATCACCCAGATCATATAGCATTGATGTGTACTAAATTTATTTGTTTATATGCCATAATCAAAGTTTAAAACAAACCTCTGCAGACCCTGCTTCCTCTGGAAATCGAGGTTTCGTGAGAGGAGTTGACTGAGTGACTTATGTGTCTAATGTCTATGAGTCCTTCCTCGGATTAATTTAAATCATGGATAACTAAAAATGAGGGATTAAGCACTTAACCATCAATCTTGAGAATTCGAGTTTATGCGTTGTTGTAGATCCACGTCAAAGTTTTGACCTCTATGTGTATTTGGCAATTTAGGGATCTGATACTTTGACTGTAGGTAGAATGTTAATTTAATAATAATAATAGGGATCTGATCATGCAAGCTTGAAACCTGCAGCAGAATGTAAAGAACTTGAATATCCTAAACCTGATAATAAGCTTACCTTCGACCTTCTCTCCTCTGTCGCTCTTACAGGTTAGTATTGTTAGCGCATCCGCCAGTCAACAACCATTTGCAGGGACTGTAGGCGTAATTTTAAATAACCCTATATTTAAATAGTAGCATATTCGCTTTACAATGATACCTTTCTTCCTTATGAGACAATGGACAAATTACCCAGTCAAAGCTTTGTCAAGAGTGGCATTTTCATTTTCTAACAAAATACAAATTCTGAAGAAATTCAATTGGAAATATTAAACGAAAAATGTTGAAAGAAAGTATGTTTAAAAGTTCTTTCAGACTTATTAGAGCAAAACACTTTTAAATATCTTTCCTTTAGTAGTCGGGAGATAAACTCACGTTGTGAATAGTTTTTATAACTTATTAATTTCATGGAAGAAATCTTCTTTTGTTTACTTCATTTTAATTAGTTTATTTAATATACACTTTACAATCATTCCTGTCCTTTGAGCAGTATTTCCTTTCTCACTCTATTCTCCTATTTTAAGAATATTTTATTGTTATTGCTATTGTTATTGTTATTGTTATTGTTATTGTTATTGTTATTGTTATTGTTATTGTTATTGTTATTGTTATTGTTATTGTTATTGTTATTGTTATTGTTATTGTTATTGTTATTGTTATTGTTATTGTTATTGTTATTGTTATTGTTATTGTTATTGTTATTGTTATTGTTATTGTTATTGTTATTGTTATTGTTATTGTTATTGTTATTGTTATTGTTATTGTTATTGTTATTGTTATTGTTATTGTTATTGTTATTGTTATTGTTATTGTTATTGTTATTGTTATTGTTATACTAATTGTTATTGTTATTCTCATTATAAAAACAAATCTGAAACTTGGGAAAGTCTGAAAAAATAAGCTGTTTGAGTCGATAATGTTTCAAAAATATTAATCCAAAAATAATTTACTTCGGACTCTGTTCAGGAACCAACCATGAGGGTGACCAACCTGCTCACCTGACATTGATGGATGATACTGTGCCAGAAGCTCTCAACTTTGCTAAATATGCTGGACCTGAGGGCAGGTAAACTAGCAGGGTTTAAAGGGAGTGACTGGTAAGGAGGGTAGGTGAGATAAAAGTGCTTAAAGGGAGTGACTGGTAAGGAGGGTAGGTGAGATAACAGTGCTTAAAAGGAGTAACTAGCAAAAAGGTAGAAGAGAAAACAAGGTTTAAAGGGAGTTACTTGTAAAAAGGTAGAAGAGAAAGCAGGAGGTTTAAAGGGAGTGACTTGTAAGAAGGGTAGATGAGAAAGCAGGGGTTTAAAGGGAGTGACTAGTAAGAAGGGTAGTAGAGAATACTAGCTATGAAAGGAGTAACTGGTTAGGAAGGCAGATGAGAAAACAAACTTTAAAGGAGTGAAAAGGTCGGTTTCTGTTATTTTATTCCTCTTTTAACCAATCTAAGAATTCAAGTCTGCTTTAACCAATCTATGAAAAAGATAAGGAATACTTTAACCATTCAAAACTTTGGATTTATCATTTTCTATATATATATCTATTATTTAATATAATATATATTCTTAGATTTAGATCTGGTTTTTTTATAAATGCGGATTTTCTCATTGTTCTAGAATCTAAGTATGGTTTATGGAGTAAATTGTTGTTCCAAAAGAGTTTGATCTCAGAACTTGGTTTAGTTTTAAATTTATTGTATTCTTTTAACTCTGGTCAACTTTTAATAAAAACATTCTTGAAAAAAGTCTTGATCCGCAACGTTTGGATTCATTTAAAGTAACTAATGGAAGAATTTCTAAAAATAAAGAAAACATATTTAGTTTCAAGTTCAATATGCATACTCAATTTCCAACAATCGAAAAACTAATTAAAACTTAGTAACTGAAAACCTTAACTACTAATTTTTAATAAAATTTTTATTAAACTTTACCATTCAAAATAAAGGAGATATAACATAGGTACGTCCATAAACGTGATAACATTTATAATAGAAGTTCCTATATATATATATAATATATATATATATATACATAAAGTTGTAATCTCTCTTTGTATGTTTGTATGTCCGATCATAACTCAGGACCCTTGAACCGAGTTAAATAGGGTTGACTCTTAAAAAGAAAACTTTGTTACAAGACAAAGCTGGGTTCCCAAGTAAGTTCGTTATAAAACTGGAATTGTTACAAAACGTGATAAATATTTGCGACGACTTCTAAAATTTTAATTTAATTTTTTATCTTTGGAAAATATTATCAAACTGTATCAAATATCTCAAGTATTTCTCATGTTATGTAATATTTTCAGTTTTTTATCAAATAGGCCTCTTTATTAAGGTTTTTTTTAATATTTAATAACCAGCTTGGAAACTCATTGCTGCACAGGGTACTCATATTTACTTCCCCCATTTACCTGGCCTTGGTCATAATTACGATTTTCGTTATTTTTACCTTTAGAAGGCCGACCTACTTAATTTAGAATCTCAAAATAAAGCTAAGGACATTCCCGTGGTTCTCCAGATTTCGGATTTGGCATAAAAAAACGCCCAAAAAAACACCCTAAAAAGACAAATAAAATCCACTTTTAAAAACCCACCTGCAATTGGGCTTTTTTGGGTTTTATTGGTTTTTTTTTTTGATTTTTCAAACTATTGCCTTTTCTTCCCTCTTAACATGATTAACTCTTTAAGAAAGAAGGTCTACTATCAACTGCTGATTTTTAGGAAGTTTACAGCAGTTAAACTGATACAATTATTCATTTCTCAAGACTTAAACCAATGATCTTAACAAAGTAAATATAGTACGCGTACGAATAATGAGTTATTTCAACAAAAAAAATATTGACGGTCACAGGTTTTAGACCAGACAAATCCAATTGTAGAAAACTTTTGAAGCAATCAAAACAAGTATTAAAGATATTGAAAAACCCAAGAAGATGAACAGAACTACATCAGAGTTTTCAAAACAAAAAATTGCGATAGAACAAGGATATAAAGTTTCTTTGTCATTTTTATGTGTAAATGAGCTGAAGTTTTTCGGTATTTAAGAGTAGGCTTCCTTCATGAGCATATAAATATCTGCCGATTAACACAATCAAAAATATGTATCCAAGTGAGAAATTAGAATTAGTCTAAAATTTAAAGAAATATAATATTAAAAAATTGCAGTATTACCCCTATGAAGATGGGAGGTGATATATTGTATTTATATATCATTATCTCAACAACATTAATATTTTTCAGAACTATAAATACTTTCAACTGGAAAAACCCAAAATTACAATAAAACCCATTGGGCTGGATTTTAAAGAAAAACTTTTTTTTAAACCCTGTCAGACTTCCAAATCAAAATTTGTGGCAATCGGTCAAAAGGTTATGATCGGACATATAAACAAACAAAGAGAGATTACTACTTCATTATATAATATATATAGATTACATTTTTATTCTGTTCTAGTTATTTTCTTATATTTTTCTGAATGCTTAGATTACATTTATTAATTCAAAAGTATTTTATTTTTCTGATTAAAAAATATATGTGCTAGAGTTAAGGACCTTAGTTGTTGTAAAACTAATAATAAAAACATAATTAGTACATTTTTTATGGAAAACGGTCAGGGGCAAATAGATGGGAGTGAAATTTTACAATTTTTTAGAACTAAAACTGTTCCTCATATAAACTAAAAGTTTTAGTTTAAAACTTTTTGTCAAAACTTAGTGTAATTTTACTTTATTCTTGTTTTTCTTAAGGTTTTGTCCCGCTGGAGTTTACGAGTACCAACCTAATGACAAAGGAGATATGCATGTAAATATGTTATTTAGAATTTTAAAATTTGAATTTTTTATTTTTTTGTATTTTTCCAATTATCAGGGATCAAAGACGATCTTTATGCACAATACATAATTTTAATTTTTTTTAAATTCCTAAATTTATAATTTTTTATTTTAGTTGATTATAAACGCTCAGAATTGTATTCACTGCAAGACCTGCGACATCAAGGAAACAGTTTCTAAATATTTTGAAATATTAATTTTTATTTTCTATAAATTTAAGCAATATTTTGAACATTTGATGTTGTAATATTTTAGAAAAAAGTTTGTTCAGTTTGCTTTAAACGCACAACATGCAGTTGCTGTGGTTTCAATATAATATAATAAACATATAACACTAAATAATATCCATAGATTAATAACAATACATATTTAACATCAGATGTCGTCTTTTCAAGTTTTAGGGGTTTTCTTTCTCAATGATGAGGCAGAAGCCTAAAAGAGCCACGCGCATGCTATATCTGTCTTGTAATTCATCATGGCATGCGCTTAACTCCTTTGGGCTTCTGTCTCAGGGTTATTGTGAACGAAACCCCCTAAATCTTGAAAAGACGACATTAAGTGATCTATTTGTATTGTTATTAATCTATGGTTTCACCCCACACATCGAATTTTGTTTTCCCGGATAGAATAAAATCCACAACATTTAAATGAAACTGTTTTGATGTTAGGATCCAAGCCAGAATATCAACTGGGTTTGCCCTGAAGGGGGCGGTGGACCTGCATATGATGGCATGTAAAAGACGAGACTGATCCCCACAATAAGTTTCGACGCAAATACGCTGCAAAATGTCAACAAATGCGTCGTTGTAATCTTTATTTATTAGTTAACATTTAATATTTATACCTAATTTTTAGAAAATATATAAAAAAAATTAAATATTTGTGCACCATTTTTTCTTTGCGCGACTGAAATTCGCAATATAATTTTGTTTTTTGCCCAAATTAGGTCAAAACATTTCTGTTGTTAATCCCGGGATTATGGAGTGTTAATCCCGGGATTATGGAGTTATCTATACCATTTGTGTTGTTAATCCCGGGATCATGGAGTTTTCTATAACATTTCTGTTGTTAATCCCGGGATTATGGAGTTATCTATATCATTTGTTTTGTTAATCCCGGGATTATGGAGTTATCTACAACATGTCTGTTGTTAATCCCGGGATTATGGAGTTATCACATTTGCGTTGTTAATCCCGGGATTATGGAGTTATCTATAACATTTTTTTCGTTAATCCCGGGATTATGGAGTTATCTATAACATTTCTGTTGTTAATCCCGGGATTATGGAGTTATCTATAACATTTCTGTTGTTAATCCCGGGATTACGGAGTTATCTATAACATTTGCGTTGTTAATCCCGGGATTACGGAGTTATCTATAACATTTGTGTTGTTAATCCCGGGATCATGGAGTTATCTATAACATTTGTGTTGTTAATCCCGGGAGTTATCTATAACATTTGTGTTGTTATCCCGGGATCATGGAGTTTTCTATAACGTTGTCCAGTCCTACGGATTAGATTATTTACTCTATGATATCTCATGTCAGAGGTCGTACCGGAAGCATTCTAAAACAGAGGAATCAAGCACTTGTCAATGGAGGGAGTCCGTGGACGCCATGAGCCCCGCGAAGTCGTCTCCGTGCCTCCTCTTACGTTTTCAAGCTTATGCGTCTACACGCCCTGCTTTTTTATCCCGGTTCAATTGACTCATAGTAATTTCAAAGGTACTTGAATTTTGTTCCATGCACTCCACTTGCATTATTATTTCTTAGTCTTATCAGACAGGTTTTCCCAGAAAGGATGAGTCTGTAAAGACGACCGGAACCCCAAAAATAAGAAAGACTACACGCTTATGTCTTGAATAGTGTCTTGCCTATTTATTTACATTGCAACGAAAGAAACCATTTAAGTTGCAGAGAATGGGTAGTATAAATTATGTATAGTCGTCTCTGAAGTATTATTCTTTGTTGGTAACCCTGCAATATACCTGAGTGTTCCACAAAACATGACAGTTTATAGAGAATTAGAGACCACTTATAAAATTTCGGCGTTTATCTTCAAAACAATTGCATTGGTCAATGACTCGTTAACCAAATTGTAGATGTATTATTCTTGAACCAAAAATTAGTCCTTGCATTTTGTGCTTTGAATATTTCATGTTTAGATTTTAGTTTATTAATAGATAAATAAAGGAATGACAAGTTTTAGTGTACTCTTCTCGGGAGTCTAATCAAATCTGATGGCCTAAAAGTATGTGAAGCTGTAAATATCTGTGAAAAATTTGGTTATTAGAAATCAAAATAAATATTCAATATTTAGACTAATATTGTCCTATATTGCGCAGTATACTGTGCAGGTGATAATCAATTGTTGTTAATATTAACGTATATTACTATAAAAGGGATTAGGGCGTTTTTTCATTTAAAACATAAGCTGACAAAAAAGGGTAAAAGTTATGTTTAATTGGTCAAATTGTGATAAAAAAAACAGATCTTCAAGAGACAAGTGAGTTCATAATACTATGAAGACGAATTATGTACAGGGTGTCCCAAAAACATGGGAATTCAGTGACGAATTGGATATCGTCTTAGTTATGAATTAGCATTGTAATACCTAATTTCAAAAGCCATAATATTATTATGTTTGCTAGAGTTTATTTTATGAAAAGGGTAAAAGACTGTAAAGATGTGTCTATAATGTCTCCGCAAGATGAACAGTGAAGACGGACAATTTTACTCTGTTTGTAGACTGTAATTTTCTTGTTTTACTAAGTACAACCAACCGTCGGTATGCAGTTAAATCATAAACAAACAAAATGTGAACATAGCAGCCGAAACTATTACAAATTACAACTTTCTCAGTAGGGATCACTATTCTAAATCTAAGAATTATTTATAAAGACTATATCGAATTCGTCACTGAATTCCCATGTTTATTGGGACACCCTGTAGATTGTTCGTATGTGTAAATACTGTTCATCTATTAAAGGGTGTTCAAATGAACATGACAATTTAAAAATGACTGAGTATCATGTTTGATGTGAATCTTTGGTAAATAATCACTGAGCGTTAAATTTTATTTAAATATTCCTGCAACGACTGATGTGTAATGGATGTTAAAATTAGCAAATCTAGTTGTCAACTTTGACTTCAATTAAGCAGTTATAAAACAAAAGTTTCGACAAAAATTCAAAAGTTTTTAATGTTTTATCAAAAATTTCATAAAATAAGGTTAAAATTTCGCAAGACTAGATTGTTAACAATTTTTTCGAAAAAATACGATTTTGAACAAAAGGTCAAAAATTTTCGCGAAAAATACCTAGATTATTGGAATAAGGAGCCCCACTAATATCTAGATTATTGGAATAAGGAGCTCAACTAATACCTAGATTATTGGAATAAGGAGCCCAACTAATACCTAGATTATTAGAATAAGGAGCCCAACTGATACTTAGATTATTGGAATAAGGAGCCCAACTAATGCCTTGATTATTGGAATAAGGAGCTCAACTAATACCTAGATTATTGGAATAAGGAGCCCAACTAAGATACTTAGATTATTGGAATAAGGAGCCCAACTAATGCCTTGATTATTGGAATAAGGAGCTCAACTAATACCTAGATTATTGGAATAAGGAGCCCAACTAATACCTCAATTATTGGAATAAGGAGCCCAACTAATACCTAGATTATTGGAATAAGGAGCCCAACTAATACCTAGATTATTGGAATAAGGAGCCCAACTAATACCTCAATTATTGGAATAAGGAGCCCTATAATACAGATTTTGAAACGATTTGTGTAACTTTCCTTCTCAGTTAAGTAAAAAAAATGGTTCTTATTAATTTCGTGGCTGAAATAAATACTTTCTTGTTTTTAATAATTATAAATATTTGAAAATAATTAAGGAAATATTTAAAGTGTAGAATTGGCTTTATTACGTTGCATTCCTAATTCCAAAAGTAGAGATATTTATTATGATATTCTGATGATTTATGACGTAAGTATATATGTAGATGCTAATTGACAAAGTTAAAATGCAAGGAAAGTTATTTCAGAGGTGCGTGCATCTTTTGTACTGCAGTGTACTGTCTCTGGGTCCTCTGGGCGGTAGTGTAAACACAAGTCGGATATCGAAGCCTGACATGGGATCCATCTTTCACATAAAAAATCAATGAAATATTCTGGTCATAGGAAACTATTATGTGAATTATCAAAATTTTATGTTTTTGATTCCTCCTCGCGGATACTAAACGAACACTGATGCATCTATTCTTGTTTACAAATTCCGCCCAGAGAGAACTGGTTTCAATATGTACGCAGAGTATACGCAACTGCAATAAACTTTCTTTGCAGTCCCCCAAAAAATGTTAAGGGGGGGCAAAAACAAATATTTCCATGCTGCCCCCCCCCCCATAACAAATGTCTAGTGGCGCGCCTGAAAGCTATCAAGATTCAGTTGATAGTACAGAAAATAAATATTGATCATCTTATGAGCTTTTGAAAATGTGGTCTCCACCACGTTGATTTTAAAAAGTTTGTAGTGGGAAATTGAAAAAAAAAAGAAATAAATGTTGATATATTGATTTCAAAAAGTGTGTAGTAGTGGGTGTAGTGGGAAATGGAAAAAAAAATAATTGAATAAATGTTGATTTCTTGTTTTTAAAGTGTGGTAGGGAGGGTAGTGGGAAGTTAAAAAAAATAATTGAATAAATGTTGATTTATTTTTGTGCACCCCCCAGAAGATTTTGTGTAACCCCTAAAAATCCCTTTTTTGAACAAAATATTGATTAGTTTTTTATCTATATTAAAAAGCTTTATATCTTTCATGCTTTGATTGGTTTAGAACATTATATTTGTTGGCTAACTATATAGTACAGATGCGAAGAAAATGAGTTTTTGCCACAAACTCAAAATTATAATCACTATATCCGTGCAACCCTCGATGTCGTAGATCTTTAATATTTCAAACTTTGAATTCTGTTACGACCAAAAAAACCTAATTTTACACCACATAAATATCAAAGGTTTACACCATCAGGTTTTAAAGAAATAGGGATTAGAAAATTTGAGTTTGTGTACTTTCAGCCTGAAAGGGAGTTCAAAGTGTACAAATCATGTAAATGTTCACAAATTATATGCAGTAGAGTACATGAATACAGTATGCTCCCTAGGCTATCCATTTCAATTTCGAATTTTTTAAAGCTGTTAAATAAACTTTAGAAAATGAATTAGGTGAATAAAAACATCATTTGATTTATAGTTATAACGGAAAATCATCGTTTGCAATGTGAAAGGCATAGAGTCTATGTGAAATGATCAATTATGAAACCAGCCTATTTCATAATTTGGGTTTCTTTTAACATTAATTTTAGATTTTCTATAAAATGATGTTCCAGGGCCCAAAAGGTTATATTGCATAAATATGTGAAGTACCTGCAGTATGTAAACAGTACAACAAATTGGCCGTTTTACACTTTTTTCTAGTAAATTCCACTCTAATATATATTCTATTCTCTTTGTAATTACTGTAAGCACAATTTCAAGAGACCCTCCATACAAAGAGAGCAATGTCCGATTCACAACGATACCCTTAAAAGCTTTGCCTGTTCAATTATGAATTGTAATCAATGTTTATAATTTTTATAACTTATAATTTTTAATCGTGATTTAAATGCCATAGTGACTTGCGCATTTCTACTGCAGGATAACACGTGGGAATTATCAGAATTAAACACTTTTAATTACCGTGAAAAACGGTCAAAAACAAAACGCCCAATGCAAAAAATTGACAAATGCAACCAAATCCCCAATAACAAAACGCCCAATGTTACAAAACGCCCATTACAACAAAAGGCCCAAATCAAAAGAAAACGC